GGTACATTTTACCATATTCTACTGATGGAGCTAACTCGCATTTGCGTTACATGGAGAGGAAGACCATGAGAACCTCCCATGGTTAGCCTGAGGGCAAGGGGACTCTAACCCATGATCCGTCTACCACTGAGGATATTTCACATCAGCACTGTGGTTAGTGCAAGCCGGATGCGGAATTTGTATCGACTGGGATTCGAACCGGGTTCACCTCTATCCCCTAAGCCAGTGTTTCCCAAAGTGTGGTGCGCGTACCCCCAGGGGTACGAGAACAGTTTAGCGGGGGTACGCTTTCTCATCCGAAATATCTTGCAACAAACGAAAATTTCAAAAAATTTTATTCAAAAACAAAGCTAGTCATGAAACTTTACGATTACGTATTTTCTATTGGCTATTTTTTGCTGAGATGGCGATAATTAGTGGTGTCAACAGCCAGTTGTGATTTTTAACTTTTGTGAAATTTTTTTACAGAGAAAAATACATTCATTTTTCTATTAGTGGTACGCAGCGTTACGAGAAATTTAGAAAGGGTACACAAAAGTCAGAAGTTTGGGAAACACTGCCCTAAGCCATCACGGCTCTTGAATATTAAATTAAAAAGTGAAAGGTATATAGATAATAGATGAAATCATATTTCACGGGCATGAAATCTTATTTTAACTAATACACACCTAACCATGGCCAAGCACCTAGTCCCGATTTTCAGGATTCTATCTTATAATGGCCATGGCTAGAATGCCTTAAAATTTTTCACTTTTGTTAAACATCAAGGACATTGTCTAATCAGGCACCCGTCTCCCCAAAATTTTATACCACTTCCAAGGAGATGACTTTCAACCAGGACAGATTTAATATGCACTTTGGTGCTTAGCGTATGTATGCAAATTGTTTTGTCAGCAGCCAGGATCGATCTAACGACCACTCAGCTCTCCTCCAGCAGTGCCTTAATCAACTACACTATCAAAGCACCCTTTAAATAATACATTGCTACAAGTAAAATTATAAGTAACTACTATAAAGTGTTATTGATGTCTAATCATTTCCATTTGTACTTTGAATTTTATTAATTTAAATCTAGAATAAATTTGTTGATTAAGCAGCAATAAATCTGTTTTTTATGTAGCAATATATTTTCTAAATATCTATAACTATTTGTATTCTACATTTATATCAAAAATATCTTGAATAGTCTAATCAAGAAGATTACGTTACTCAAAGTTACGTTAATTTTTTTCTTGCATTCAGGGTTCTGGAAAATTTAGACATAATTTGTGAAAAATTAAAAATTATATTAAAAAATCAACACAAAAATATGGACTTATCGTTTCTTATGGGATACAAAAATAAAATGTTAAGAAAAAGTATTTTGTGAAACTACAGTATTTCCTAAAGTTGAATTTGTGAAGGTAACACTAAACGTTAGTAAATTTGGCCTTGACAGACCCCTGGTATTCTTCTATATTTATGTCTAGAAAATTTAGCATTTTACATTAAATATACAAATGTACTTCTTTTTTCCATACTTTTTTATAATTTAATTTTTTATTTTGAAATTTTTTTCAGATATGATTGAAAATATGACACAAACTAGAGAGGATTTGAAATTTCCTGAAGAGGAGGATTTAACTGGAGCAGCAGAAGCACTACTTAGACTACAAGATACTTATAAACTAGATACTTCAACTCTTGCACGAGGACAAATATCTGGAACAAAGCCATCAAATGAATTAACTGGTAAGGAGTTAACTATAGTTTTATTGTAGATTTATATATATCTTCAATTTCTAAAATCATCTATCATAGAGTGCAAAAATCTTAATTATAATATTCATTTTAAGTTTAACAAATATTGTGTAAAAACTAATCCTGCTATTAATGGTGTGATATATCTAATTTTTTGTGATTAGCTTCAGATTCATTTTTTTTTTTTTTTTATCAAAATCTTTTAAAATTACTTTTATTTAATTGAAGTATGACTAATAAAGTTAAAGTATATATTCTGCTACTTCTGGAAATAAACTTCCAACTAAAACATTGACAGTTTTGAAAACCTTTTTGACCAAAATCTTTTTAAATCGCTTTTATTTAATTGAAAAATAACTAAAATAATTTATATGTTTTGCTAGTATGTACTAGAAAGAAACTTCCTACTAAAATATTGACAGTTACGCGACCATCTAAAATCTGGCATCATTTTGGAAATTTATAATATAAAAGAAAAATTACAATCCAATGATAAGTGAGATGGATTTCAGTTTTTATGTAATGTAAAATGTTCCCAAAGTCTGAAATTATATGGTAAGGGGGCTCAAAAACTGAGTTTGTCCTTGGGCGTTGTAAACCCTAGATACACCTCTGATAATTATTTTTAATTTTTCTAGTACTAATTTTTCTATTTCTAAAACACCCATATAGTAAGATTTATACAAAATAATATATAAACATTAATAAAAGTCTAAATAAATATGTATCTAAATGTTGCAGTACCTGCAACATTTTATTATTCCTTTTATTTTTCCAACATACTTATGACTTTTAACAATGGGAATTTAAATTTTCATTAGTTTAGCATATTTACTTATTTTAATTACATTTTTATTTAATTTTTTTAACATCTAGCAAATGACTGCTTTGAACTTGGTCGTCAGTCTTACAACAGTGGTGATCATTACCATACTATTCTATGGATGCAAGAAGCTCTTGATAGAGTGGATGAAGAAACTAACAAAACAGCTGACAAAGCTGAGATATTGGAATATCTTGCTTTTTCAACTTTCATGGTAAATATCATACTATATGACTCTTAAATGTGTTTTGCACCATTTTTATTATTTTTTCAGTTTTATATATTCTTTTCACATATGTAGAACCTTTTTTATGTTAAAGAACAATGAAACTTAGAACAATACTTTTAAAAAGGGATTTATGAAAAAATTGACATAGACTGCCCAGGGTATAATAATTAAACATAGCAAACGGAATAAATACTCGCAGTGTTACACTATTTGATAAATATCGTAAATAATTATTATTATAGGTTCCCATAACTAATAGTCATTTTACATGTTAGCTATAGCCTTAGCTATTTGTTTTAAAATGCAATTATTTATTTAACGAAAAATTGTTATGGACAAAATATTATGCACCTTACTAAATACAAAATTTGTTGCATTTAGTTTTAATAATGCAGATTTTTATGTTACTGATTTTATTGCTGATTTTTACGTTTTACGTTAATATACTCCAAGAAATATAAACAGAAGGATTTTTTATTGATAGTTCTACGTGTAGAGAAAAGAGAGAGTTGGTGAACCTATTTTGTACTGTTTTATCATTATTATTTTTTGCCGTTTTTATATATATATATATATTTAAATTTCTTGTTAAAAAAACTTTTCTTTTTTGTGAGAAGAAAGTATTTATATTTAAATGTTTGCTTATTAAATCAGTGTAAAAAAAAATACAAGGTTCAGAGTATATATTTTCCCATTTGAAGATCTATATAGCACAAGTCTATAAACCTCAATTCTCTATAAATCACATTAATTTAGGTCTAAACTATGAAAATCACCTTTTAGAAATTTCTGAAATTAAGCAAGATATACAGGCTGCATGAAAAAATTATTTGTGGAGAGGTTACACTCTCTGCAGCTAACCAAAATTTATAATTTTTTTTTTTTTTTTTTTTTAAATGTCCAAATTTTTTTGTGTTTTAAAATAATTATTTCAAAATATAAATAGTTATTTTAAAGAATTTAAATATAATCTGTCCCAGATGTGTATATGTGGTATCAATAGTATGTGAAATGGCATATAACACAATGCCTCGTGTTTTAGGCTTTGCTTTATAAAGGTCTTGTATTGTATTAATCTTGTATTATTTTAAATTGTATTATTTTATTTATAATAAGTTTGAAATAATAAATTTTTTAAATAAATTGTTTCTGTTGTTGTTATTGTAGCAAGGAAATACACGCCATGCATTGAAGCTTACAATTGATTTACTTGAACTTGGTATGTTATTTTAATATCACTCTTAGAGTGTCTTAATGTTGGATTAAAACTTTTTATGCTTATAATTATTATTGTTGAGTTTATTAATTATTATTATTAATATTATCTATGAGTTTTTTGCAACTAAATTATTCTATGTTTAATATTTTAATATTCTATGTTTTAATAGTCTATATTTAATATGTTATTTTAATAATCTGTGTTTAATATTTTACATTAATAATTATCAAATTTCTGATGCATTTAGCTTTGCTTGAATTTATTTTAAATTTGCTTGATTTTATATAAAAAAATCATTAAAACTAACATTTGAAATGTTCAAGATTTATGTATGTGCACTAGTTAATTAGGTTTTGGTATTTGATATGTGAAACCTATCTGCATATTTTCTCAAAGCAAAGGTAGAAAAAAAATCCTGAACTTTTCTTTTATTCAAATGTTGAACTTTTAAAAGCAAAGTTTCTCTTAATTGAGAGTTTTGCATAATTGTATCTTAAGTAGGTTTGCACAAAATTACATCTTGGTTTAATTATTTTACTGAAATTGAGTTTAGTTATTTTTTTAAAATTAATTTAAGGAATTTCTCTTAAGAATTTGAAATAACTGCAGCTGTGCTTTATTCATCTTATTTTACTTCAATTCACATCACCTATTCTTTTAAAGTTTTATATAAAAAGGTATAGTGACCCTAATATTATAGTTAAAGAACTATTAAAATATTATAATCAAAACTGAAATAGTATTATACTGAAGATTATATATTGTATTATACTACTAATCATATTAAATTTGAACTATTATTTTAATAGTTACCTCTAAATAATTGTACTGGCCATTTTAAGTTTTTTCCGGCTTTTTTCTGCCGTCTTAGAACAAATGAGTTAGTTCTGGAAGAAATCCGAACCATGATTCTAAGATAGTTTTTATTTCTTACAGTACCTGACCATCCTCGAGCAAGGGGAAACAAAGCTTACTATGAAGATGCAATTAAAAATGCTGCTCACACAAAAAGAGGTGATGACGGGGATGTTCAGTTAGATGGGGATGTTAATTATTCTGAATCTTCTAATGCTGATTCAGAAATATCAGAAAGAGAACAATACGAACAGTTATGCAGATCTGAATCCGTTTCAGTACGTTTATTTTTTATTGTTTTTGAGACAATGATAATGCTATGTTAAATGACAAAATAAAATCAACATTATAGTCCAAATTTTGTAAAAACATTCAATTCAGCGTTGTTTTGTTTCATAAAGGTTTAGTTGAAAGATACTGAGAAACCTATCTACTGTGAAAGAGGAATGAAGTATGATTTTGCTTAGGTAAAAGTTACTCAGAAGTTAGATTATAGAATGGAAATTAAAAAAGTACATGTCCTATCAAAGTTATAATAAATCTTGTAATCAAAGTTTTTACCACTTTCTGAATAGCTAGAGGGCTCAAGTTTTAGCTGGAGTTCTGTACTGAATGCCAATATTAATTTCAATGGTTTTCTGATCACTTCAAGTAGAATTTATTATTTACATAAAAATTACCAACTAATCAAGATTTTGACTACTTTTCAACTAAAAATGCTCTAATTTTCATTGGAGCTCTGTCCTGAATAACAATGCAGGTTTTAATCATTACCCAATCTCTGCAAGCAAAATTTATAGCCAATTAAAGGTTTGGCCACTTTCCAATATAGTAAAAATAATGATATTAAAAAGTTTATTTAGAGTCATGTTTTCTAGTGAATTAAAATGGCAAGGAAATAATTCTAATTTTGTTACACTTAACCCCTTAATGATCAGTTAATTTTCAAGAAAACGGTCATAAAAGTGCCTATTTTTTTATACACGAATATCATACACGTATTTGCTTAGTGCTGACATCTAGTTTAAAATAAACTAACTATCTACAATTACCTTAAAAGTATCCTGGTACTGCCATCTGGTGTGCAAAATGAGAAATAAAATGTTTTCCCGGCAAAAGAAATAAATTAGTTTTATTCTTATTGGAACGTTACTACTGAGCACTCCTGTCCAGGAATATCGCGGGAGCGAGAAATAGAGGGCGAAACCTCATCCTGTCATTTTCATGGGAGCGAGAAGGAAAGGGTTAAAGTTTAAAAAATGAGACTTATCACTTTCTCCAGATATGTCATCTGAAATTCCTGCACATATTTTGGAAGTATATTTAATAACTTTTTCACCAAATACAATTTTTTTGCATGTAAATGATTCTGTTGTAAAATTAAATGTTTCGGAACATATTTTCCCTTAGATATCCTTGTATCAGTTCAAATAATCAGGAGTATACTGTATTTCGTCCTTGAAACCAGTTGTTGACCCATTAAAACAAAACAAATAAAAATTATTAAAAACCTTTTGTAGTTTTTTAAAAAATATAAATTTCTTATTTGAATCAATATGAGGTTTTGTATAATAAAGATGTTTTGTTTTTAAAAACTTAGTACTATTTGATGAAAATACTTAGTTTTATAAAACGAACTTATAGCTTATCCAATGTATTTTAAATGTCGTTTTTTTTTCTAAATTTTTATTTGCTTTGTAATAAATTTTAAATTATCTATTATTCAATTATATTGTTCTGTGTTGTTAATACATCTTAAACATCTATAGAATCTTGCTAAAAGCAAAGATCTCAAGTGTGAACTTATCACGAATGGACATCCATATTATTTACTTCAACCTGTTCGAAAAGAAACGGTATTTAAAGCTCCAAACATAGTTATTTTACATGATGTCGCTACAGATAAAGAAATGGAAATAGTTAAACACTTAGCTCAACCAAGAGTAAGTACAATCGTTTGTCAATTTAAATGTTTTTCTAATTTAATTTGTTTTAAAATTCATTTTTATCTTTAAAAAATATTTGCATAGTTCAATTTCAGATCAGTAAACTGAAATATGGGTAAAATTATTTTATCATTATGCATTAATTAAAAATAATTTTCCTACTTATTATTTTTTGTGCTTCGTTTTTTTTCCTTGTCATATTTTAATTGTTTTAGTTCTTTAATTTCATAATTAAACACTATTTTCCATTAACTTATTTGTATTTTTATATAAATTCGATAAATGAATCTAGCATGATTTTTGTGTATTATGGAAAACTTCAGCTGTTTAAAGATAATGTTTATGTTATTGATATTCTTTAGATCTAGATTATCAAGCTTTTTGATATAATATTTCTTTTTTTCTCAAAACCTTTATTAAAGTGCAATAAAATATGGGAACTGTACTTGTAAAGTAGCAAAAAGTTGTGTTAAATTGCTTCTTAATTATTCTATTTTTTTTTTTTTTTTTTTTTTTTTTTTTTTTTTTTTTTTTTGTATTTAAACAAAACTACAACAACAACGTACAAAACATATCAGACATCATATTTTGGTGCTATTCTGTTTTTAAATTAAAGTTAACAACATTCTAAGGATTCTGCTCTGAGTTTTTATAGATTGGTCACCACTCTTTACTGTTTTGAGTTATAGTTTTCATCTAAATTATTATTTCAGCACTAATTTTTCATTTAAATTTTTATTTTATTTTTTTCAGCTGAAACGTGCAACAGTGCAAAACTCTAAATCTGGACAGTTGGAATATGCCAGTTATCGAATTAGTAAAAGGTACAAGTACCTTATAATTAATTCTCTTAATATTTTTTTTAAATTTTTTCTTTAACTGAGTCAAAATATTTTCATTTAGACTTTTAGTAATTTAGATTATTGTAGATAAATTTTTAAGAGTTTCCTATCCTTAAAAAATAACTTTTAATAAAAACAATAGTTGTCATAAAACAGTTTGTTTAATTTGCCTCCTTTGCATTAGTATCACTGTTTAATTTCATTATAATTAGTAGGTAGTGATGTTTGTTGTGTATAAATGATAACCATTTCCAGTTTTTGTATTATTAACTGTCTTCTATAGATTATTATTTTAACTGCCAAATTGGTGGGGAAAAACTTTTATTCTAAAATAATTATAAATATTTCTCTGAATTAATGACATACCATTGTACTATCTGTTAAATTCTCTTAAGAAGTATGTGCAAAATTTGGAACTAATACAGAGCTTGCATAAAAAGATGACCTAAAATAAGTTAAAAATGTATTCCTTGTATATTTAATTATTTAAAAAATTAAAATCTCCTCAGGAACATTTTATGTTTTGGGAAATCTGTTAGTAATTTTCCAACCTATTTTTTCTTCTTGAATTTTTTTTTAATTTAATGTTTTTTTAAGTAATTTCCTTTTTATTTTTACAGTGCCTGGTTGAAAAATGAAGATCATCATGTGGTTGCTAAAGTATCCCAACGAATTGAAGATATAACTGGTTTAACAGTAAAAACAGCTGAAGAGCTTCAAGTTGTGAATTATGGAATTGGTGGTCATTATGAGCCTCATTTTGATTTTGCCAGAGTAAGTGATTGAAATTTTAAAAACGAAATATTTCTTAATTTTCATGTGTCATTAATAATTTTCATATAATAATTTCATGCTCAATCTTTAAGATATGGCTTGATTCATTTAGCGTGCTATTCTAATACATCTGTTATAATATATTGTTCAATACATAAAGAAGACTGGGGTTATTTTATATATATATGCAAGTGGCTTTTATAATAATTGGAGACACACACTTTGTGCTGCTTGACTTACAAATAATTAGCCATTTTCTGCAAACAAAAAGTGCAGGTGAAGTTGGCTTATTTGGTTCTATTAAAAGAATAGGAAAATCAGTGATTCTGCTCAACTTACAACTGCTCAACTTACTTGAAAAATACAGATTCTTAGGATTCATAACTTGCATATTGCATGTTTTCTTTTTCAGCTATTAATAGCAAACAATTGAAAATAAATTTTTTTATAATTAAAGTTGGTGCAATTTTACTGTGTAAACCTTCTGAAGAATTATGCATGTCATGGGACATATCAGAACTTATTTGTCTTGTCATCTCTATGATTTTTAGCACATTTGATGCATTATAGGACATAAATGGACTGGATAATTTTAACTTATAATTTTTCATCTGCTTATATTTAAATGTAGTCTAATTTCATCATTATGGCATCCACTTCTGCTTAAAGGAAACACTACTTTATGTGTAACATTTCCTCCATCTTTATTTTCAGAATCAAGGAAAGACTATGTTCAAAACTGGCCTGGTATTCTCTATCCGAACAGTCTTGACATTTTCTTTGCATCCATAACACTAGTGTTTCTTAAGGTTACAGACCATTTTTTAGTATACACTAGTCCGGTACTGCCAATACACTTCTACAATTAAAGAAGAATAAATTATCCAAAAAATAGGTTTTGGCTAAAGAAATTTTCAAGCAATCGTCAACTTTTCAGAATGACATACATAAAATATTCAAGATTTTATTGGTTTCATATGTGTGTTGAATTAACTAAAATCTTTTATAAAGTTGAATATAAATTTATAATAAATTTATTTCTATTACTGATTTGAAAGAAACATTATTTTTGCTTCATTTTAGAGAGAAGAAAAAAATGCCTTTCAAAGTCTAGGAACTGGGAATAGAATTGCAACTTGGCTTCTTTATGTAAGTTTTATTTTAATTTTAAACTATATATTTCTTAATTTTTAAAAAATCTGTAAAAATAATTTTTTTTTTTTTGAAATACAGATGAGTGATGTTGATGCTGGAGGAGCGACTGTGTTCCCTCAAATTGGAGTGACTCTACGACCAAAAAAGGTAATATAAATTGATTTGTTAGTTTGTTCAATGCTTTTAATTTATAGTTAATAATGAAAAGGCCTTGGGTAAAACAGAGATAAGAAAACTTTTTCAAAGGTGACATTTTGTTACATCATACTGTTCCTTAATATTGTTCCCAGATGGGTGTCTTTTTAATTTGCAGAATTATCACCAGAGAGCAGCAGAGTACACAGATATATATAGATTACATATATATCTGTTACTAGATATATACTAGATAATCTGATCTTATTACCATTGTAGATATTGTATTTTTCAATTAAATCGCTGTCCGGAAAAATTTGAAAATTTTGACTTATAATTATGATGCCTTAAACTCTTTAATTATCATGAATGTAATATGTTTCTAACATGAATTTTAATTACGAAGTTGGATAATTACAGCATTTTAAATAGAATATCAAATGATGAAATAATTACAGTATGCAATGTTTTTATTTTCTCCTTAATTTTAAAACTTAATTTTCTTTTCCAAATCTTGTCCGAGATTACGAAGATAGAATTTTATTTTATTCTGGTTATCTATAAGTATATTACTTTATTGTATTTAAGCTTTTTTAATGAAATACGAAAAGAAAAAAAAAACTTTCCCTTCATGTATGAACTAAACGTTACAAGTAAAAAATATTTCTAATATTTAGTGGAATAAATAAGGCCTGGTAGCTGAGTGGTAATGCTTTGGGCTCTCATGTCACAGGTCTGGGGTTCTATCCTTGAACTGAGCAAGGTCAACTCGGACTTTAACCTCTTCAGTAGGTCGATAAATTGAGTACCAAGTATGTTTAGGGAATAAACATTGAGAGTTCTGTATTCAGCAGACCACCCAACTAGAACATAAGCTCCAGCACCCCAGTGCCCAAGGTGAAAAAACTGGATTGGGGACAGTAGGCTTTGGCCCTTCATGGGCTGTCGTGATACTCAGTTTAGTTTAGTAGTGGAATGAATGTGTTAATACTTTATTTTTTTAATAGATAGAATTTATTTTATTTAAAAATATTTTTAAAAAATTTTCAACCTCAATTACTATGAATACATGTATCTTTAATAAAATGTTGCAAAGTAATTTTGAAAGTGTCATAAAGCTTTTGAAAGAAAAATATTATTTAGTAGGATATTTTCAAAATATTTTATCTGTCTGTTTCTTTGTTTTTCCTTTAAAAAAGAAACTAAAATTTGTATTTATATAAAACTTATTTCATCATTTCTTATAAAGCTTAAAATTGCCTTTTTTCTTTATTTTTAAGGGAGCTGCTGCATTCTGGCATAATCTTCATAAAAATGGGGAAGGAGATATGCTGACTAGACATGCAGCTTGCCCTGTACTTGCTGGCTCAAAATGGGGTGAGTAAAACATATATTATTTGCTCTAACTATTAGTTTAATCATTTAAACCATTATTCTTAAGAACAGTAAAGCCGTCAAACATTACTCCCTTGTAGGATTATGTAAATTTGACTGGTATTAAGAGGTGGCAACTGTTCAGAGTTATCAATTAATTGATTTTTGCTCAAGAAATAAAAATTGATAAATCACAAACCTAGAGGCAAAACCCTCTAGTAGACACTGCAGATTATTTTTCGAAGCTTAAAAATGAAATAAAATGAGGAAAATTTTTGAGATTTCTTTTTTAAATATCTCTAAACTTGTTTCTTAGAATAATTTTAAAAAGTTGAATTGAGAGAACATTGTCAAGAACAAAAAGTAAAAAGAAAAACAAAAAAACTGTTACTTGATTACAGGCTTAATTGTATTGTGTTTTATTCCCATTTTTTTTTTAATATCATTGTATAAATTCAATTTTAATATAAAAATAACATGAATTTTTTGTGTATGATTACCTTATATTTGTAAATTTTTCTATGTGTATGTAAGATTTACCTAAATTTTTGCAATAGTCTTCGCTTGACTCCGTTGAGATCATAGACAAATTTAGATTTATGAAGATAGTAGACAAATTTAGATTTATGCAGATTCACTCCATAATTTCAACGACCAGGATCGCAAACATTATCAAACTTCAAAATTGTAAAATGAGACATAAATATGTAGTTAACTTATTCACTATTTCCTTTCATAAAATTAAGATTTGCAGAAATCAGTTATAATACTTGATAATGTAAAGAGTTTTGCCGCTTGCACAAATACCCTCCCCTCCAGACCATGATTGACGTAGGATTTTGGTGATGTTTTACAATTGCTAAGGTGCTTGAGACATCTATAGACCGGATCCTTTTTTTTCTGGAATTTATGAGTTTGATGAATGGTAAAGAGCTTCTAATCCGTGAGAAAAAATCTCTCCAGACGCTGACTTTCGACCCATTGCTGAAAATTTCAATAAGCTTTTACACCTTTTCATCCCTGTAAAAAGCAGTCATTTTAAAACTATTTGTAATATTTTGTTAGTTTTGTAATATTTTGTTTTGTTATTTTTGATAAAGTTATATCAAAACCTGTTTTGTTACACTATAAAGAAAATTTTTTAAAGTACTTTTTTATCAAGACATGTGCACAAAATTTTAAAAATAAATCATTTTCGTAATTTTTTACAGGATCATTTTACCTTAATTTATCAAATTTAATTTTAACATTTTTACAGAATGTTTCAAAAATAACAGAATTTAAAAATATATGAAAAGGAAAGAAATACTTCTTTGGATTACTGATTTTTGCTTAGAAAACTAGGTCTTTGTAACTTATATTCTAGCTTCTTTCTCTCCAAGTTTTATCATTAGTTACAAAATCGGCCAATAGATAAGGCTGCTGACTGAAAAATCTTTTGCATATTGTTTTCTGATAATTATCATGTCATTTGCTTGAATTTTATAAGGAGTCTTATTTTGTGGTTAGAATCCACTGCCTTGTTAGTGCCAATGGTGTTTATTTTAAAAACATTATTTTTAAGTTTGCTCTGTTAGCAGTATCATCTTTTGATAAACTCTCTGTACTAATTTTGAAATTTGTTGAATGTTAGTTTTCTGATTTTTGTTATCAAAATGTACCTATTTCCTTTTTTACATTGGTTTTTAAAATTGCAATGAATTTTTTTGACATCCTACACTTTTATACCTGTTTTTAACTTGTACTGATATTAAATTTCAGTTTCGAATAAATGGTTGCATGAACGAGGACAAGAGTTTCGAAGACCATGTGGCTTGCATGAAAATGACTAGTACTTAAATATTTTCTTTTTATATTTTTGAGTTGGATTTTGCTTCATCAATTATTAATGCATTTTATCCTAGTTAATTTGTATATGTTTTTGACAAGAGTTAATCACCACTCTTTTTAATAGTGCCAAAATAAAATTTGCAAAAAAATTATAAAATATTTATTTAAAAATATCTTCTCTTTTATAGCTTTATTTTACTGCTCTTCTTGTTGCTTTTAGTTTAATAATGGTGCCATGTGATGTTTGTAATTTTTAAAAGATTTTGTGACATTGCTCCTCGTGTGTATTGCTTGAACTTTAAGTTCAATTACTGCATTGTGCCAATATTTATCAAAGCTAAGCGAGCATTATTGTTGGAATTGATTTTTATTGTAAGAACCCATTTGCAATAACTATATTTTTGTTATCCTATTTTAATGTTTATTCTTGTTTGTTTGTCAACCTTTATTGCAGAGTCGATAAAAATGATTTTCTATTTCCTTAAAACATACACATTTCTTTTATTTAACAGCAGAACTCAATTTTTTTTTCTGTTGATTTTCTTAGCAATCAGTTTTACAAACTGGTAAATGTAGCTCTTTATTATGATGTTATGTTTTAAATTGTGAACTTTAGTGTGTATTTATTTCTATTTTTTCATGATTATTATTTTTAAAGTTATAAATATGCAGTGTGTAACTGAAATTTGTGGATAATATAAAAAAACATTTTCTTCAACTAAACGTTTTACTTACTTGATATTTCGTTGAGTTATTTAGTTGTTTTGTTATGTTGTATGAATTATATTTTTTTAAACAGCAACAACTGATTGAATTAGGTATAAATTCTTTAACGAAGAATTCTTTTAAAACTAAAAGATTTTAGCTATTCCTTTTTTTTTTTAAATATTTTTAATTGCCATAATTAGCTGTGATTAAAAGGTATAAAAATTTTTCTTCCATTCAAAAATGCCAGAAAGTACAGATTCATTGTAGTTAAAAATTTATCAGTTGGATAATTTCTTAGAACTATTTTTCTCTATTCTTGATTTTCTACTTAATTTTAATGTTTAATCTACTTAATATAATCTTTTTTATATGTTACAAATAAAATTCTTTGTGTATTAGTCTGAAACAAGTAAAAAAAAAACTTTTTTATTTCTTTTCCACTATGTAGATTGATTTGAATAAGAAGATTCATGTGAATTAATTTGACTTATCCAATTTTGATAATTTATCTTCGACTGTTGTATTATAACATTTTTATTTTTTAACTAGAAATCTGCACAATTAAGAATAAAAATATGAGGGTTGAAATAAAATTTTATTAATATCTCATTAATATTCATGAGATTTTTTTATACTATTTAAGTTGGAATTGGGCTCAAGCTCTTTGAATACTGCAGAGTTGAACATTTAAAAAACTGTTCCCATAGCTCCGATTAAAATAACTGTTACTTTTCATTTCATTCATCACTATATGTGAAATTCATTGTTAAAAGATTAGTAAAAATTATCTAATTTTTAAAAAAAACTGGGAAATGCTGACTTCTCAAATTTTAGAAGTATGGGGTATTTTAGTAAAAATTGCCCTTTTATTCCTCAGGACTATAAATTCAATAAATAGCGAGTTTATAAATGAATTGTACTTTTTTAAATTCTTTTTAATTGAAGCTTATTATTAAAAAAACAAACAAAATTATATAAAACAAACAAAAATATCTAAGCAAAACGTATGAAGAGAGCTTCTAAACAAAGTTGAATTGTTGGCTCTTTTGTAATTTTCTCTGGCATTTCTTTTTCTTTTTTTTTTTTATTTCAAACAAAGTTGTTTGTTTTTACTATAAAACCTGCTCAAGTTGTTTCTAATTCTCTTATTATTGTTTTATCTCTAAAATTTGTTAAAAACCAATAATTACCATATACATGAAAATAAATTCAAAAGTTGATAAATGTAATTTTGTTTTTTTAATTTTTAAATGTCAAAATCCAACTATTTTTAATAACAAAATGTATTCATTTTTTTATTAAGCTATTTGTTTTGAAACCAATATTTGCATTGCTCTAAACTATCTTTGTTTTGTATTCATAAATTGTGTTCAAACTTAAAAATCATTTAATAATATAAAAAGTTTGTAGATCAAACTTGTTGTTTATGTACTGAATGTTGTGATATTTCTTTTAACTATATCAATATGGTTTGTGTTCAAGACAGTAAAATTTATGTATGATTAGTTAGATGTAACTTAGTTTTATGAAGTATTTAAGCATGGTTAAGGTATAGAATTAAAAATTTAATTCCAACTCCTAATTATCTTTAATAATTATTAAAAATTCTGAATCTTCAACTAAGAATTTATATTTGAAACATTTATTTTGTTAATTAGATTATTTTAGTTATTAATTTTCTTCAAAATTAATGGGTAAAAATATGTATCAGTATTTAAAATTCCTATGGATGTAATATTATTTATAACTAATTAGTTCATCTAAGTTATAACTTAGACTTAAGTTCATTGATGATTTTGTATATATATGTTTATTTGATTATACATAAAATAGATGAGCAAATTTACTTTAGCAATAGTTTTTAAAAGTAAATTTTTACATTAAAAGCGTTTAAATTTAAAAAAAATATTTCATAGTTTCATTTATTTTAATTCTTGTTTTAAAATAGCATATATATAACTCTTAGAATTCAAATAATTATATTTATTTTATTTTATTGTGTTGGACACTTACTCATAATATAACAAAGAAATATGGTATTTGGTTAAATTACTATAATTCAGATTTTCACATGCTTTATCCAATCAAAATTTTGTTAATTAATTACTGACTAATTAACGAATTGTAAAGTTTTTAGCATTCACATCATATTTTTCTAAAGAACCCTTCCAATGGAAGAATTAAAAATTTTCATCTTTATTGTAAAAGATAGGGATAACATAGTATCACTGGAAGATTCAATGATAAGCCATATTTTCAAATTCTTCAGTTAAATGTTTCTGATGAAAAAAACCCAATTACTTCGAAGCATGTAATAAAATATTTCTGTGTATTGTACTGCCTTCTAGTATATGCCAGCATATGTCTTTAAACGTTTAGCATATTTATATTATTTAATGCAATTTTAGTTCAAGTTAAGTTTTTAATAACTCAACATGTTGTGAAGAATTCTGGCTAAATATATTTTAGTAAATTCAAGTAAAGTGCTTATTACAAGAGTGTTTCTAGTTTATTTTTAGATTTCGATTGCAATCAAAAGAAAACATATTTTGATAAATGAGCATTTAGAAGGCATACTCATATCATGAATATTATTCCTGTTTTTTGAAGGAATGTCATATATCATTTTTAATCAAAATGTATACTTAAAATCCTTTTAATGTAGTTTTTCTCTAGATAAAAATTAGTTTTTAAGTGAAAAGAAAATGTAATATTTTATCTTTCTTCTTGACTCATCACTATTTTTGTCAAATAGTGCCTTGTTCATTATCAAGGATCAATAAATTGTACATATATGCATAATAAAACAGACTTTTTTCAAAGTTGTTCAGTGTGAGCTTGCTTTAATTTCCAAAAAAAGGTTTTATTTAATCAGCGATGCAAAACCTATGACACCTAAAGTGTATGACTTGAACAGTTTGAACTACAATAGTAAAATATATAAAAATTGTGAGAAAATGTCTTTTTTTTTCAAACTTTGAAAAAAATACTGCTGTATTAGAAAGTTTTTCTATTATTAATTTTTTTTCTTACTGGTCATCCTTCTCTCTTACTGGTCATTTAGTAAATTAAGACCTGAACTTAATTGTAACCATTTTAGTTTTTAAGTTTCATTTACGGCCACGAGTTCCATGCTTGTAGGGAAATCTAATTTCTTGAAAATTGTTACTACACATATAGATCGATGAATTCCAATTAGAATCTTAATCCACTTTACATTTTTATGATTCTGTTGTGTTGTTGACGTATGCCATTAAGGCAGAGGGGATGCGAGTGTTCTTGTTTTCCAGTGGCGCCATCTATAGCCAAGAATTCGTCTTCTGCCACACCCGTTTATAGGGTGGAGCCATTCATACATCCATTTATTCATCCACAGATCGTAATTTTGACCTGAATCAGCGAACGATCAATCTCCAATTCAGTACCCCCAGAGGTATTGATTTGTTATGAGGACATAGAGACTCAACAGATTTAACGTGCATCAGTCACAATTTACTACACATAGAGTCTTTAGCCGGCAGGGATCGAACGCACGACCACTTGGACATAGGCCCAGTGCCTTACCAACCAAGCTATCCCGACCTTTTATGGTTCTAGATTTACCTACTCAAGCTGGCTCCAAACATGGCATTTTTTAGTTCTTGTACCCAATTACCAAAAAAAGATTATGCATACCTACTTTAAATGTTGTTTGCTTTCATTAGACACATAACTTGTCATCTATTCAACGACTAAATTTTATTCAGATTATTATTGCATAGGTAATAAACAGATTGTTGTTATATAGGATGTTCTAATATAGGGTTCTCTAAATATATATTGGAATCCTTACCGAAAGGAAACAAAGTATAAAAGGTTTACACATGTTGAAGATAAGTTAATATTTAAGCAAAAAACAATGTTTGATTGCTACTGAGAAAGTTCAAAACCTGTTAGATGGCAAAAGAAAAACAGAGTGGTTGAAAGTTGATCAGGTAATTTAACTGATTTCATATTCTTTATCCTGCCTTGCTCTATAGTGATTAAACAGATTTTGACAGCATTTAGTTGCTTAAGTATATCATTTTCTCCATATGAATTACGAAATTTAAGTTTTTTTTATCCCTTCTGTAAATTCATAAAATGAGTAAAGATATTCAAATATCATTATTCATTAGTTAGAATGTGAGCGAGTTACTATTTTCCAAATATTTGTTACATTCCTTATGTAAAGGGCAAAGAGAAATAAACCAATATTCCAAACAAACTTTCATTTTTAAATACATTTTATATTTACAACATTGTATGAATTTATAATTAATTTTATCATTAATCTCTATATTTAAAAAATTTTAAAATGTCACAATTTTTATATCAATGGAATTATTTAACACCCTTTTTAATAAAATTCCCTGCAGTTTTTGGTATAGATTAGCTGACTAATTTTAATCATGGGCATCATATATGTAAAATAATGGAATGCCTGTGTCATGAATACATGTTTCCTGAAAATTTGCAGTTTACAAATAATCCCATTGGTTACAGTTTATCACTATCTGCCTGCAAAGCGTAGTAAGGGCACTTCATCAACAAAAAAAAAAATATACTAAATTTTACAAAACTCTTCAGTGGCTGCTTTAACAATTTTCTACAATTTATTGGTTCTGTTTTGCAATAATTTATTCACTTGTAATATTCAAAAAAGAAATTTTTTATAGTTTTAGAAACAGTATAGTTACAAAATGTTTCCTTGAAATTAGTATTTATGATACAAAATAGTCAATATTGTATACCACATGGAAACTAAAATAATGTAACTTTCAATTAAAAACTTCTATAAAAAAAAAAAAAAAAATTAAAGTACCAATAAGTCAACTACATATTATTTTAAACTTATCTTTCAAATGTTTAATACATGAGAAAATTTTTTTTTAAAAAAAGTCAAGATTACATGGAACATACTAAATATAAATTTTAAAAAAAATGACCTGCTCACAATTATCTTATTTAAGTACTACTACTTTACAAAACATACTCTAGTTTCTAATGCCACTTAGGCATACCAAGCTTGCCAGCTATTGGTCTTTACAAATTAAGTCAAAAAGCGCCTTTCTTTGAGAAGAGAGTGCCACTAGGGTGAAAGCGTAACTTAGCTCAGAACTCCCAGATAAATGGCAGCACCACTCATTCATAAAGCTACATCCACAATTTAGACAAAGACCTGAAGGGGAAGAAAAGTTTTTCTACATCCCTGTAATTGTGGTACGGCTTAGTAATCAACTGCAGTACTTTTTATTCCAAATTTTCCTAGCATGTATATCGCATTTACTCTGGTCTCAGTGGCTTTTAGGATGAACATGACCAAAGTTTGATACTCTAACCACAGGGCTATCATGGCCTCTTATAAAACGAAATTTAGTATTCATTTTCTTCCTTCAAAAAAATTGTGTATCTATTGAAAAAATTGTATGCATTACCATAAGATAATTTTTTATGCTTAATATAATAAATCAGAGTGGAATATTTCTATTCGGAACTCACCAACCTGAATAACCTATAAGAGTCATTTTGTTGAGTTTTATAACAGCATTTTAAAAAAGATACAGCAAGGATCAATTAATTTAATAACAATATTTTAACAAAAAAAAAAAACTCAAACTTAATTTTTTTGAAGAAAAAAATTATTTTACTCCTTTTCAGCTGGCAATGTCTATGCCTAATTTTAATATTGTATTCCTATCAGATGATGAAGACAAAATATTTTCTTGTTTAATATTGATATAAATCATGTAGCGACATGAATATCTTACTGAAATACAATCTTGAAATTAGGTACACAAATTACATAGAAATTTTAAAAAAATATCAGAAAAATTAAAAATTTACTTTAAAAAAAAAAAGAAGCAATGTTTTCTTGCCATGTTATCTATTTTATAAAATGCTATCAAAAACTGAATAAAATATTGCTCTCTGGGTCAATTAGTTCTCGAGTTACAGCAATTTAAAACAGGAAAGAATTTGCAAATATTCAAAAACACAAAAATCTAAAAAAAAAAAATCTGGAAATTGGTATTTTTTTAGTCATTCTGCCTTTTCAACCTTAGAGTCACAAACCTAACAAAATAACCTTAATACAAAGACCAAACATTTTGACCAGTTGATTTGATGTGGAATCACCTACAAGTCCTTTTATGCATTCTCTGAAATTCAAAATTTAAGGTGTGTTACTCCGAGATGGGTATAATATATGCTACATTAAATATTTTTAAATAACCTTTCATCATATGAATGCTTTTTAGATAATATACTTTTTTTATTACTGTCGTAATTTACACAGTAGCAATCCATTATGAAGAAAAACAAGATTTTAGAAAATGAATAGCATTAATTAATTCCGTTTATTAATACTATTTGAAAAGTTTTTTTTACTAACCTTTAGTCCTATTTTTCTTTCTTTTTTTAAGAAAATTGATTATTTCTTTGTTTACATAAAACCAAAGGTTTTTATCAACTACATTATTTATAGTTTAAAACCAAAAATTTGCTTCAAGTTAAAGGTACTAAAACTGTGGCTTATTTATTTTTATTAACAATTGAGCTTTGAAAAGCATTCTTAAAGAATCTTTAATTCATTCTTTCAAGGTAACTCTACATTTCAACCTCGTTTAATCATAATTCAAAACTAAAATATATTTTTTATTTAGAAATGCAAGTGGTTTTGAAAGATACTGACGAAACAAAATCAGAATATATGGTTCCACCTGATGAAATGTGATTAAAGCTTAAAATCTGTATCCTATGTGTTGTATAACTGTGTTGTTATATTTAAACACATTATAAACTTTCAGAAAATACAAAAAAAGCTAATTTTCGGAGAGGTTTAGATTGTCTTCTTAAGAACTTAAGATAATGAGAGGTAATGCATTGCTGCATTACCACTCATTTTAACACATTATACTCATGAGAGGTAATACCTCACTGCAAAACCTCTCATATTAAAACACATTATACTCATAATGAGATGTAATACCTCTCATTTTAACACATTATAAACTTTCAGAATACAAAAAGGAGTCAATTTTTGATTTTCAATCTCCTACATAAGAAAAATAAAAATTCTTTTGCATAGTATGTACAAATTTATTTATTGGAAATGATAGCAATATAGTCAGAAAATAAAGTTTAAAAACAGCAATGAGCAAACATTTAAATATAAAAACAGAATATCTCAGAAAAACAACAATACATACTAATTATTAATTTTTTTTATCTAAATTTATTCTGATTTTAAATACAAAGAGTTAACAATATTTCCACACTGCACTTAAAAAGCAAGGAAAGTAACACTATGAAGAACAGACAGCAATTTTCCAACCCTCTGCAATGTTTCAAATCCTTTCTGATAAATTTACATAGTGTCTTTTTAATCAAATACAACAGAAGCATAACTAGAAAAAAATATTTTTATACATATAATTCTTATAATTTTATGATTCAATTCTGGCCATGCTTTCATGACATCACAGTAAAAGAAGTAGAGTCAAATAGAAAAAGTTTTGACTGAACTATAGTGAGCACAGAAAGAAATGTCACGGTAAAAATACCAAAAAGCTAATGATAGGTATTTAATCGGATGAAGTTAAATTAGTTGGTACTGGTACGCTTCAAGGAATCAATATATTCTTGCTGAGACTCGGCAAGAACTTTTGCTAATATACCAGACTCTTCCCATTCACTTAAACCGAACACAGATGGTGGAAGTTCATTGAGAAATGAAGCAGATTCATCCAACATAAATTCATTATTACCAGAGGAGGAGGCACAGCTACCGGCCATTCCATCTACTTCTTTTTTTCCAAATAAAGCATCATCAAAAGAAGTACCACCATGACAAGCTTCAGGCGTTTTTGATTTTTTATCAGCAGCATGACAATCAGATATTTTGGGACTCGAAGAAGCAGAAGTAGAGCACCTTGACTTTGTGTGTGTTCGATTGTTGGACTGTGGTGACAAGCTGCCAGAGTAGCAATCCATTAAGCTGGAGCTGCTAGTTGCTGTTGCAGTACGTCCATTTTTCTTTCGAGACTTAACTTCATTGTCCCTGAGCCATTCTAAATAAGATTCTCTGGCAATCTGCTCTTCTATCGCTTCATTTGTGGCTTCCCAATCTGTTGCTCGCAATTTATCTTCCAACATGGCTTGTTCAAGCTGAAGGTTTTCAGAAGCTCTTATTGCATCTGTAATTAAGGATTTGTTCATTACGTCAGGCTTAAAAGAAGGCAAACCCAATCCAACACCAATGGTTGCTTTGTATGGGTCGACTATGGAGTTATAATGGACATTTCTGTGATAACTGAGCCGTATTGGTTCATTATCAGTTTTTTGAGAACCATGGAAAATATTGATGGGCTCAGAACTGTAATGATAAACTTCGATGTGTCTGTTGAACATTTCAGACATAGCCTGCATCTCTATATGATTTCCATGAATATGGTCACTTCTTTTACGTTGAACGTATTTTTCAAAATCTTCAGTTACATACTGCGAATAATAATCAGAATTTTTAGCCATGTAATCCATGCATAATTTTCGAACTGCTGCATGCATATCTTGGTCTCCGTAAATTTGGTCAGCCACAGCTCTGAACATACAAGCTCCGTCTTCACCCATCTTTTTAATTGAATATCCTTTTTTCCCTAACCTTTCTTCAAACATCTTTTCTTTTTCTAGCAGCTCCTCTTCGGTCATGTTGTCTAAGGAACGATCATATTCATCTCCACTATTATATCCAGATGGATCATCTTGGCACTCAGAAGCGTTACCTTGGACATTATTATTTTGTCTTTCCTGAACAGAAACTTGAACCTGGGAAGGGCCAGCAAGAGGAGGATAGGTCAGGGGGCTGCCAGCACTTCTTAATGAATGATTAGAATGAGTACGAGCTTTCCTGACACTGCGGTGTGGAGAGGTCTGGTGACGCCGTTTTGAATGGCTTGGCCCTGAGTCACTACTTCCATATTCATCGAATCCCTGTCCTGGAGAATGAGAAGGCCTTTTTTCTTCACGAGATGAATGCAGAGGCCAAGCAGGAGGAGAAGTTCGAGTCGTAAAATTAAACCTTTCTCTACTTTCTGGAGGATGTGCAGAGTGTCCATGACTTTCGTTAGTATAATTATGATTGACTGAGTCAGCAGGCTTTTCTGTCTCAGACTTTTGTTGAGAGTTTTTCTTCTTTGGTAAGATAGTCATGTTTGTGTAAAATCAAAACATAATATTTAGAAATATATAAGTTGTTTAGACGAACTAACCAGTAAGTATAAAAAAAAAGTTCAATATCTCTTCTTAAATATCCTTACCTATAAAGCAAAAAATATACAGAATTACTAAACAGTACAAATTAAAAAAATGGTACAAAATATATGAACCTATTAACAGTAAACAAGTATAACATCATAAATTGTAACTGTATTGAAAAAAATCTCACATTTTCGTTAATAAGAAGAAAACCAACTATCGAGTTATTGAAAAACAAAAAAAAAAAAAACTTTGCTTTATATTTTCAGGGCTTAGGGATTTTTGACAATGTAATATCTAACAAAAAATAAATAAAATCAATTTTGACAACTTACATTATTTTGGTTTGGTCCACAGAAATCATATTTACGATTTAAGATGTTATGTATTTTGTAAATAGTATATGAATATAAAAAAATTCTGTCAAAAGTTAAAAAACTTTAAATTGGAATAACTTTACACTTACAGGGGTGATTGTGAGCCCAACTCAAAAATCCTGAAAATTTCTCCAATAAAATCATTAATTACGTATTGCAAAAAAATAACGTCTTTATAAATTTAAATCATTGATATTTTCAAAACATGAAATTCTAAATAAATTATATGCAGCATAATTTAAATGAATAATTATGCATAAGTTTACTTTTATCTCTAATCACATTTATTATTTTACTAGAAAAAATATTTACAAATGAAAGAGATGCCAAGTATATTAGTTCTAAATATTTCTAAATAAAACATAAATTTTTTTTTAATACATAAATGTGATTAATAATTTCTTGAAACTTTTGCACCTCGGATTTCCGGAAACTTTTGGATCGTGTTTACCGAAAAATCCAGAAATCCGGATTTTTCCCGGAGCACTATCATCTCTGCACTCAAAATATTTTGGGGCATTCTGGGACTAATCTCTCTAATACCTTTCCACAAGATATTTTTAATAATAAAAAATATATACATATTACAAATAGAAAATTTATTAATAAAAAAACCGTATTTTAATAAAATAAAATTGTATAAAATTTTTTAAAATTGAATATGTAATATTTCTTTATTCTAATATTATTGGCGATATTCTTGTATTTTCTAAACCATCATCACATTAAAAAAATAATTAATAATCGCGAAATCGGTAGCAGTTATAACCGTAAAAAAAGATCAACGGCGAAATCATGCAAATGGTACTCTGCAAAATGGGGTTATTTGACTTGTGCTTCAATACCAGATTCAGTTGTCATAATAAGTAATATACTTTAATAACTTTTTACCTCTCAAACGAAAAATCTTTCTGTAAGAAATTTGCGACAATGTCGCCATGCCTTCGCGATTCTGGCATGAGGTATATTTCTTAGAGTTCTCCCTGGGAATGAAAAAGGGCAGGGCACCCATTGTAAAAACTTTCAAAATGTGTAAGATTAGGCAATAACTGAATTTCATTCTCAACAATTTTTAAATTACCCTCTTATACTATTTCGTATGTAAATTTCAAAAAATAATTCTTACTCATTATCAGAATAAAGAGAAAAATTTGTAGTTCATAAGAATAATTAATTGCTAAAACAATCTCTGAGCATAATTTTATTTTTTTTAAAAAAGCAATCTAAAAAAAATACTAATTGATAAACAACTTAAAAGATTTTTAGATAATTTAAACTGAAAATTATAAGAAAATAAACAGTTAAATTTTAAAAAGTTATTAATATCCCCCATGGAAAAAAAAAATACATATAAAAATTTAATGAGTTGAGATTAATCCCAACAAAGTAAATATTTGTAATATAGTAATCAGAATTAAACCTATAGACACAGATAATTTTACTAGCATGTAATTATCATTTAAACAGTGAATAATTTTGTTTTTAAATGCAATATGAATAAAAAGGCAGAGTTTTTAAGGGATGGTGGTTTATTTTTACTTAAAGGACAAAGAGAGAGCATTTTTACAGGGATCAAAGGGCAGACAGGGCAAACCGCCCTTTTTAAAAATCCTTAAGGAAAACACTGTATATCATTTACAAATTTCCCATAATTGCCAATAATTATTTTTCCTTCTTTAAAGAAAAACAGTTAATAAATTATAATTGTTTGATATCAAATGGATATTCTGATATAGTTGCATTGTATCTAATTTATTTTGCTACGACTAGAGATGAGAAGATGAAAATTTTCAAACGTCATAATTATGCGATTTTTTAGTACAGTAGGGAACCGATTATCCGGAACGGTCGGGATCATCGCTATTCCGGATAACTGATTTTTCCGGTTTTCTGAATCGCTACAAAAAGCCGTTTTTTTTATTGTTAAACCCAACTTAAAAAAAAGTATTTGAAAATAATCTTAAAAAGAAGAAAAAACGATGAAGTGATACACTAATGATTATTTCCAAAATGATGGTAAGGTAAAAATCTTTCAAAAAAGAAAGAAAAATCCTAAAATCTTATGAGAAAAAAAAATCTTTTTTTAAAAAATGGCGAGAAAATTTATCGAATTTCGTTCCGTTTTTTTGGTTTTCCGGTTTTCTGATTTCCGGATAACGGGTCCTGTACTGTATATTTTTTAAAGGAAATATTTCCACTTTGATTCTGTTTTTCTCCAAGTACTTATACTGTTTTAACATTTATCATACATCATTCATAACAAATTCACACTATTTTAAAATAAAAGACGATATTCAGAACCAAATGTAGATCAGGATTTTTTAAAAAAACAAAATAAAGTCTGTTTTTTTATTTAAAATAAAAGGTTAAATATTTTAAGGCTCAAAGAAAAAGTAGCCCAGTGTTTTCACAACAGCGCGAGAATCTCACATATTTTTTTCTTTTCTCGCATTAAAAAATTATTACCGCAAGAAGTTCGCGCATTCTATAAAACCAATTTTAAAATTCGAGAATTTCTAGCATTTTGAAAAAAATTTCTCATTGCACCATTCAGAATAAAATCCGTTTCACTTTTCTTTCTGTATCTTTCATTATTTTCAACATCTGTTCCATTATCTAGCTTCCCTATTTACCAGTGTTGTTCAGAGCCTTTAAGAACAACGAAACACCATCCCTCCGAACCACGGAACCTCTTTCAAAAAGCATTTCTCTGCAACCACGTGTTTACCGTAGGTAAGGTTTCTTTATGTAAGACGTTCAAATTTTTCGCGCAATAATGTAAGATGGACAAATACCTTGTAAAGGCAATATCTTCTACTGCGAAACGGACAAATTAAAATGAAACAAACGCGGGTAGAAACGATTAAAACGAAACAAATACGCATTTGAGCAACCTAATGAGAATAGCTGATGAAAAAGTAGATGTAGAACATTTTCCATATGATGATGCAGCAAAAATATTCAATGCTTAAAAAATTAGAAGATGTTAAAAATTTATTATAATTAAAGAAGTGATTTTTTTTCAAGTGTCTGAGTTTTTTTTTTAGAAATCTCACCCAGTTTTTAAAAAAGGGTGAGAAATTCTCACCCATTTTTATTCTGTGATGAAAACACTGTAGCCAAACCATTAAAAAGCATTTAACAAATATCTTTCTTAACTATTGATTAAAATTAAACAAAGAATTCAAAAATATTCACTTTTGTTCCATTAATATGCCAAATGATAAAACAGCATAATAACTTAAGATTTTAAAGAAGCCTAATATACTTTACAACTCCATTTAACATGCAAATAAGCATTAAATATCAAAATGTTTTAGAAGAGCTCGTAAAAATGAAGTTTTCTTCTTAACCAGTATGTATAAAAATTTCATGTTTCAGCATTATTTAATGTCATTATTCAGCAGTACAATTTGTATTAATTGTTAAGATGAAAATTTATTTTCTTAATTTAATGTTACAAATTTTAACATAAAGGAGCATGAGATATTTAAGACAATGAATGTACCACTTCAATTAAAAAAAATTTCAAATTAATAGAATAATGAAAAGGAATAAAATTGCTAAATGGGCTACTTAAATAAAAACACATATACTATAAAAGGTATAATTTTGTTCTAATAGTTAGAAAAACGAATAATAATGCAAAGAATTTCTTTATCATTTATTTTAACATTATGAAGCTTTGAATATAATTATGTTTTTATTGATGCATTGTAAGATTAAAATGCATTAAAAATATTTTAAATGAATTTTGAATATTTTTTCTAAACAATTTTTTATTCTTAAAATATAGTATAAAAATTATAATTTAAAAATATAATAATAATGAATGTAAACATACTGCATATAATAAAAATTCCTTTACCCAAATTTAACACAAAATAAATCCAAAATCTAACTGAAAAATAAAATTTAGAAAAGCACCTTATTCTAATTTATACTAGCATTATTATAGCAAGCATTATGCATCTTTTGTATAAAAATAAAGTTTGAGAAACTTTAATTCTTTCACAATGTAGCTAATTTTAAAACTAACAAGACATGATATTAGTGATGGTCTATTTTATTTTAAGCATTTTTAAGAGATCCCACGATTTTATCTTAAGCTCACATAAATTTATTTTACATATAGATATTCTTGAAGGAAACTCAAAACATTTAAAAATGCTTAACCATTAAACATTTAAAACTATGTAACCAAATGTAAACATTTAAAAATTATAGATTAATATTTTTTTAAAATAAGCAAATTTCTATTAGCAATATAACTCAAAATTACAAAAAATGTGACAAAACCATCTTTTTTTCATTTTGTAATATTCATAAGGAAATTTTTTTTATAAAAATAAGAAGGAAAAAAAAAATTTTGTAGTTTTTTTTTTTTCCATTTGGTTTTAACCGTGGTTTGATCACATTGACTGGTCACCATAACGCTGATCATTTTGAAATGTTAATCCACATTATCTTAGACCAGTGGTCGGCAAAGTGCGGCTCCAGAGCCGCATATGGCTCTTTGGCTCCTTAAGTGCGGCTCTGGCACAAATATTCACGGAAGACGCAATAATATTTTCATTTAAAAAAAAACTTGGCAAGAGAAAAATTACGTCTTATTTTGATAAATTAAAATTCTTCTATAAATCGAGAACATGCATAATTTTTTGTTTAAGTTAAAAGATAGATAGGTAATTAAAATTTTATATTGTTGTGAAAATACGTAACATCGAGTTTAATTTTATTAGTTTTTGTAAACGAAAACACAAACCATGTACAATATACCGGCTGAAATTGTTCGTATGTTTTCGGCGTACTCCGGTGTGATACAATGGTACCACAAGCATGCGCGCATACTTTTCTAAAATAGTGGGAGTACAAATTGGCATCACAGACCTGTCGTGTGAAGTTATGTCTTATAAACCGTGTCTGCCGTTGTCCTGTCTTATTAAAAAGTTGTTGTATTTTTCAATCTAGCTGCACATTTTACAGGTATTTTTATACAATTTTATTACACCTGCTATGTATGTTTGCGATTTCGGTACAAAATTTGCCATCGATTCTTCGATAACTTCTATTTGTCCAAATGTTGGAAGTTTTCTTCCGATGCTTTGCATTGCAAGCAGATTTGGCTCCCAATTTTTTATTAAATTGCTGTAATGTTCATATTTGGCTCTTTGGCTAATAAGTTTGCCGATCACTGTCTTAGACCAAGCAATCCTGTTCAAAAATTTCAGATCATACTTTCGTTTCATTTCAGATATCGAAAGATCATTTTAATAAATTTATCGATTTAATTTAATAAATTTATCGATTTAATTTAATAAATTTATCAATTTAATTATTTCATAAAGTTAATTAAATTACCCAAGATTGTATTTTCAATTATACTGAGACCACATTATATTAGATGCATGATAATATTAAAGAATCATTATATTTTAACTTTATAGCTTTAAACACAATTAAAAACTTATAGATCATAATTTCTTTGTGTCATTTTCTTTTTTTTTCCTTTTTGGAAGAAAAATTCAAATGGGTAACATATTCAGAATCTAGGAAAATACTCCAGTTTTGTTTACATGTAACCTTAAATGCATGATAGTTTAATTTGTGCAATATCTATTTAATTTAATGTCTTAAATTTTCTGGAAAATTTACAAAACATTTCCCTGAAAATTTCCTGGAAAATCATCATCTCTAGTTACAACAGCAGAAAAATATCAATATAAACAAATTACATAGATCTTTTACATAGACCACACAGGCATTGTTAAGTAAATTCTGATATTGCTGAAGATTTAGAAATTATTAAGATTAAAATTTGATTACAATTCAAAAAAGGTAAGCCGTATCATGATCTGCAATAGAATAATCAACAACTTGGCAACATTTGGACAGCAGATCTGCTGTCCAAAAGTGAATGGAATTTTTAAAAAGAAAAACATCACAGAATGGGACCAACTCATAGGGTATAACTCACAGTCAACCCTTGTCAAACCTCTACCTCTTACATTAAAAAAAAATAATAATAAATTAAAAGAAATATATCAGAGTTTAAGATTTATTTGGCACCTTGGCGAAGTAGTAAAGCTTAAGATCACGATATGGAAATATACTCAAATATCTCACTTTTAAGTTATTTTCTGCATCAAGTAGATAAAAATTTACAAAGTGAGATGGGCTATTGGCTATTGCCAAATTTTGCTACTAAAAGTCTTAAAATTTGGTTAAATAAATAGAAATATACACATCGATTAAAAAGTTCCATTAGTAACCGAAATAAATATTCTCAAAATTCTTTTACTAAAAAATTAAAACCAAGCTTTTAAGTCCATATGCACATAATCTGAAACCAAATTTACAGTCAACCTACAACATCAAGAAATTCAAATTTGTTTTAGACCTCAATGCATTCAGACTTGTAAACATTAGACATAATCAACATGGATTTAGCATAATTCGTATAGAAAAGATATGTCGTTTAAAATTGCACAAAAAGTCTTGTGTTTAGAAAAATGTATAATAATTCATTTTGAATTCTATTCAAATATACTTTTTTAATAATAGGAATAAATTTCTGTGTAATCATTATAGGACTTGTAACCAAATAACCATTCAGTTAATTATTAAGATTTTTAGAAATTTCAGTAAAACTAAGTTTTTTTTTTAAAGAAAAAAATCAATCTCCTTTTGCATATATCTCTAATTACTTATCTCAAATTTTTAACACATGTAAAAATTTTCCAGAAGATTACCCTACAACCTGGAAAGTAAGAAATCACTGTTTCTATTATGATAACAAAATTAAGGATTTTATTCATTTAATGTATATTAAACTAGAGTTAAATATAAAATATCAAATTATATACATATCAAATCATAACGCTATTGAACTACTTTCTATGCTTAAATATATAAGAAAAATCATATAAAATTTAATTTAGTTTATCTTTTTACACAAAAACATGGTAAAAACTTACTTTTTATTTTAATTTTCGTAAAATAAAATCTACAAACATAATTAATAATTAGGATTCATTCAAAAAATTTCGATTGATGTATTTAAAAATTTATGATTTTGATAGCGACTTTATGAACTTGAAAAACAAAATCGATAACAAAAGTAGTCAGCTCGAGGTATAACAATAAAACGCGTGCCTAGATTGCTTTCAGAAAAATATATCTCCAATCTTAGGATTTTTGAAACATCTTTCACAATATGCAATTAAAATTTTAACGAAACTTTTAAATTTAGAACTACAGTTTTAACTTTTTTAAGAGTAGAAACTAAATAAGATAATCACGCTAGTACTAAATAGCATGATATGTTAAAACTTTAGAAAATATTTACTTGAAACATTATAAACAAATAAAACATCATATACACAGAACAAATTAAATGATTTCTGAATAAGTAAATCACTTAAAATATAAAAAGTATTAGAGACAAATTTCATACGAGGTCAAATTAGACATGGCGGAGTAGTACCTACTATTCAAGAGAATTAGTTTAACGTTACGATTATGATGTCCAAATAATATTTGGAACACAATGTGCAAAAAGTTATATCCAAAATAACATAAAGTAAATATACCAATTAATAATAAAATTATTAGAGAAAAAATCGATCAAAATTTAAGAGTAGACATACTATTTATTCCTCAATTGATTGAGAAACAGGAAACAAATAATAATTTGAAATCAATTCTAGAATATTCACGCAACACGATGTTAATGAGTTATCAGTATATATAATATAAACAATATGCTATTTCATTCCACCTTATGGAAATATGCTCAATTTGAGATGAAAACTGAAAATATCATTACACTACTTCTCCTAATTCAACTAAAAATAAGTAAACATTGCTATCGAACAACTGCCTATGCAATAGAAAACGCATGATAGAGGTCACCGCCCTGTATGGAAACATATGAAAGAAATTTACACATTAGTTGATAGGTGTCACTACAGTATATATTTCAGTAATTAAATTTTAATATTCAATATTGTATTAGTTAAAATTTTCATATTTTAAATTTATTTAGCTGTTCATTTGTTTTTGAAATACAGTTTTTTAATTTCTTTTGAAACGATATTAATTTCCATTATTGATGATGGAAACAGTAATGTTTATTTACAAGCAACGGAGAAATGTCAACAAACAAAAATTTTAAAATGTCAGCTGATGCGGTTTGAAGTATAATTTACAAATAAAGATTGAATGTCACTTGCGTCAATTATTTATGTAATAATAAAATGTATATCACTTAAATGAAGTAACAATTACGCAGTATATATGTTTCATTTTAAATTTTTGGCTAGTTAAACGAAATCATGTTAATTTTAAATTTTCATTTTAAATTTTAATGATTTTGTCATTTAGAATAGGTTGTAATATTGTGCGTTGAAAAAATTTTTGTTGTTTGTTATATATTTTTAGTTCTTCAGTGTAAGGCTCTATGTTATTATTTTATTACGTACCCGCAACATTCTACGTGCAGTTAATACACTGACCAATTATCCTACAGCTTTGTGTGTCGGCTTGCTAAAAAAGAATATGAACACGGCTGTATCATATCATTTTTAGCTAACTTAGTAGAAAAAAATTTCTCTGACTATCAAATGACTTTAATTTCTGGAGTGCAATTTGCCCTTATTATATTTGTATCTACATAACTACTCTTTGCTTATAGTTAGATTCGTTTCATTTCCGCTACTTTATTTATTTATATTTTCTACTAGACAAACTGTAAAAGAGTATTTACAAATAAATCCTACATTTAATTTTTTTCTCTGTAATTTGTTTATATGTATTTACAATTATTCATGACACTTGAAAATAACTTAAAATACACTTGAGCTAAAATCAGAGATGCACAACCTCTCCTGGGTAGGCTAAAAGTAACTCACAAAGCCTTTGGACGCAGTCCTTGAATGTCTTCAGTATAAATAAATTATTAATTAAAAGAAAATAATAATTTTTTTTAAGCCTTGTTCTGTCATATTCAGTTATCAACTGAGTTAGTCCATCCATCCCAAGAATTGTAATCAAATTCTATAAATCAAAACCATCACCTTATCTGATGCCTTAATAGTGACAAATTCTGTTTTCTTAATAGTTGTAAAAATTAACTTCTGGAATAATGAAAATTTTTAATTCTTTCCCTTTAGTATACTTTATTGTGAATTCATTGTTATAATTTGCTTTGAAATTGCATATAATTAGATATATCTAATGTAATTATATATTTAACAACATACTTTAAACTCTATTTTTAATAAATAAAAATATTTACGTAAATTATATATTTTAATTTATTTTTTTCGATGTTAGGATTTAGGACTAGTGTTTAAAGTGTCTAGTCCTTAAAACCAGGTTAAAACTGTCAAAAACCTGTGCTAATGGTCGTGATGCATTGTGAAGAGTTGTGTTATATATCTAATTATTTAAAATACAGATTTATGCCTAATCAGTATGTGCTAATATATAAATATTGATATCTAATTAACAATATTTAGACTTAAAAGTGAAATTATAATTTTGAGGAGAAAAAATTACTTTATGTTCTTTACTCTTTTATTTTGAGAGCTCCTACATAGTAAGAAATTTTGAAATAGAATAATTGAAATCTGTATATGTTATAGATCTCAGATTGTTCAAATGAAAAAGTAAAATCTTTATGTTTAAATATATATACAGTTCCTTCAACAAAACAATATTAAATTTAAATAATAATATTAGATTAATTTTATAAACAAATGATTATTATACTGAATTAATTTTATAAATATTACAAATTTTTTGTGCTGCTATTTTATTAATATTTATTTACTTTTATCAAAAAAAAATATTATAGAGGTGTGTAAATGGACCGGTGATAAGGTATACAGATTTATAGTATCTATTAGTGGTTGTTAATTTCAACCCTTGTTTTGTCCATTTTTATAAGGATCAGTTTTAAACAATATTAAATTCAAGTTAGTATTGTAAAATAAACAGGTACATTGTTTTAATGTTCTTATAATTATCAAAGTATTTATAATCATTTTGAGAGTTATTGTTCTAAATAGTATAGATTTTTTTCCATAATTTTTACCATGTACTAATGAATAAATGGAGATGTTTTCCTCATCTTTAGCCAAACATTTTTATGAATTTATTTATTTTGATATTTTAGTCAATTAACCATGTCATCCAAACTGAAAGAAATTAAAGCAAGAGGTTTAGCTGAGAAAAAGAGACAGGCTGGAGCTGTTGTTAAGGATAATGTTGAAACTTGTTTCTTTCGACAATTGAAAGAATCATCATTGCACCCAAGAATCATCAAACAAGCTCGCCAAAGTGGAGTTTTAAATCTTTCTAATCGGGGAATAGCAGAAAGTAACTAATGATTCCTTTATTTGGATAATAATTTACTGGATATCTAAATAATTAAATGTAAATAAACATTTTATTGTTATATCCTAATTTATTGCATTATAAACATTTGATGATATCAAAATGCTGTATTTTAGTTTTTTGTACTAGTAAGTTATTTATATTTCTTTGCTATTTTTTATAATAACTGTGGGTGCCACTCTTTAGTTCTGGGGACTGAAATCAGTCTTGAGAAAAAATTGTGAGACTAAATTTCATCAATTAGGTAATATCTCTTTTCATTTTGTTCTTTGAATTAAAATGTCCTTTTTAACAATAAAAATATTAATTCTATACAAAGATTACAATTTAAAGAAAACATTGTTACTTTTTATTATTATTGCGAAGTGATCTAGTAACGATGTCACACCGCAATGAAAGAATGGGATTGATTGAACTTCAGCTCCTGCTTGCTTAAACAAAATTTGTACAATTGTTGTATCTAAATTTATTTCAGTTTTCATTTTTCCTGAAGTTGTGAAATGCTGACCAAAGTTAAGATTCTTTTTTGTTTTAATTTATAGAGATAGGACAAGAAATAAATGCTGCAGCAAAAAAGAAAAAAAGTAGACCTATAAAATATATCCAGTGATTGGTGCAAAAAAATCTATGTTAACTATTATTTTTATCTTGTTTGCTAGGAAAAACTAAATTAACAAAATTAAGAAAAAAAATCAAGTCATCGATTTAATATTTGTGTCATTATTATAGAAAGTTGCATTTTGATGTCAGTCAGCTATAAATTTCTGAAAATTCTGGTAAATAAAGCTCGTGTTAGTTATTCACAAAATAAGTTCTGTCTTAAAGTTTTTTAGAGTGGAACCCATGTAATAACTAATTCCCTTAATGTCTTGTTTTTAAGTCAAATAAAAAATTTTTTTATTTAAAATTGAAAAGTTTAAGTTACCACTATTTGAAATAAATGAGTGAAAAAGTTAAGAATAACTAACTGATACTTTAATTAAGTTTTTTTCTTTGCTGAACATACACAAAATCCTACTTTTTGAAGTCAGAAATAGAGGATTAACTTACGTAACAGCAACTTGATTACCAGAAAAAAATTTTATTCTTGATTTTAGTTTTTTAGAAGGAAAATTTCATATTTAACAAGAATAAGTCCAAAGGTCTGTTTAGAAGAAGTTTGGGTCCGTTAACGGATCCTTCACAGAATATCTTTTCATAAAAACGAACCCTTCACAAAATAATATATCTTTAAATTGGACCCTTCACAAATTTGTTTATCTTCATTATTGTTTTGTTAATCGAGTAAACCCTTCCCGGGGGGAAGAAAGACGGTTCGAGACAAACTAAGTTCCCTAAGTTTAAATTCCAAATGTAGTATTCTAAGAAAGTATTTTTACTTTTGCAAACATCCTGTGTGCATTCTTATTAATATTAAATCATAATTTTTTTGTGAATAAATAATTGATCTATTTATATTTATTCATAAAATTAATTATAATAGAATATTATGTAAATAAAAATTAATTTATGGCAATTTTTTAAATAAAATATTATAAATTTAAGAATTGTTTAAGTTTACTTAATGCGTAACACATTAAAAGTGATACATTACTAAGGTGTGTTATTTAAAATACGTAAATTGAAATTATTAAAAATGTGAGTGATTTTGTTTATATTATTTATCCGAAATGAATATTCTGTGTTGAGCAGCAGTATAGGCTAAATACCAAATATTTGTATGTTGCATCCCTAATTTAGTAGCAGAAATTGTTGAGCAGAATCTTGTATCCATTTACAATTTAAAAACTTCTTGAAAAGGTTTTTAGCAATTTTTGAAATAACAGGACCTTATTTGCACAAATTCACAAAAGCAGGATCCTGGTTGAAAGAATGTGACTTAATGTTTATTTTATATTCACAAATTATGAATAGTTTTTTCACAATTTTTCAAAAACAGGACCTTTCACAAAATGTCTGGACAGACCCCTGAACTCACCTGTTCCCTCAACATTCACGAAATCCTCTGCTTTAAAGTCAGAAATAGGGGGTTAGCTTATAGGACAGAGCAATTTCTGTACCAGGAAACATAGTGATAAGTTATTTATATTGAACTAACCAATAAACTAAATTGATCTAGTATCTTATTTTTTTTTTTCTTTCAGTGCCTGATATAGTCTGGAATGTAACCAATCTTACTGCTGAGGAAAACAAAGCTTTGTCAGTATCTTTAGAATCTGCAAATGATGATGATAAGTGGTGGGAATATGTGGATTTGACTAAGCTTGTTTTGGCATGCAATACTCTTAAGTTCATATCCCCAGAAATTTCAAACTACCGGCGTCTTAATACCCTTGATGTGAGTATATTTATTGATTTCATAATAATATCAATATTTTGTTGCTTATGTGTCTAGTACCCCAAGCTTAACACCAATTGCAGTGAAAGAGACTTTGAAGTGTTTGGCATAGTAACGTAAAATGTTCGTTTCTAATTGGTAATGAAATCCACAATGGTAAAAATAAGCGTTAAAAAAAGTGAATATTCGTGGTGAAAAAAAAACGGATCTTATGAAACTAAAAATTAACGTTGAAAACTTGGTTAAAATAACGTAAAAAATGCGTTAAAAAACGGATCCTCTAAAACTGAAAATTAACGTTAAAAACTTGGTTAAAATAATGTAAAAAATGTGTTAAAAAGGAAACCAACTTCGTTAAAATAACTTCAAATATTGGTTTCAAAATTCATTATAGTCAAAATAAGGGTAAAAATTGATCATTTTTAGGACAAAAAGCAACCAAATTGTAAGGTTTATTTAAAGGATTTGAAACTACCATTGAAACCAATAAAAAACGTAAGATAGAAACGTTAAAATGCTCGTAGCCTTATGGCATATTAATGTTATTTTCGCATAAATTTTACTTTTCTCTGCTGCATGGGTTAATATGTTTCAGAAAATTACTTATTATTATTTACTTGTCTTTTTAAGATTGTTCTCATTTTTCTATTTCTTTATCTTTTTTCTATTTTGGTAAGTTAGTAGATTTTTACCTTGTGAATCTTGTTCCAATTAGGGAGCTTAATAATCTGTGGTCAACTTATAAAATTCATAGCTGCCAACTCTACTGGATTTTCCAGTAGACTACTGGATTTTTCCAGTTTCTCCTGGTCTACTGGTTTTATAAAAATTCTCCTGGTTTTTGTACATTTTAGAAAACTCCCTAAAATTGAGTCAGTTTCATAAAAATCCCTATTGAGATAGAATTTTTATATAGAGATTATTGCTTGAATATTTAAATAAGTATTACTAATATATGATGAAGAAATCCTCATTTATAAAAATCAGTTAGAAACTTTTTTTGTTCTAAAATGTTCGGTTTATTTTTATTCAGAACTCCCTTTATTACATGTATTAAAACATCTTAATTATTTCGTATGAATTATATGCTTATTCAAAATTACGAGTAAACATAATTCACAACATTTCAAGCATATTTAACGCCAATTATGACTGGAATAATTGCAGTTTTTCTATTTTGATGTCTATAAAAATCCCTAAAATTCCCTGTGTTTAAAATATTTAGCACATTTTGCTACAGTTATCATGAAATTTATATTATTTTGTAAAATCTACTGGATTTTTGTCTATCTATGTTGACAGCTATGAAAATTATATTTGTACATTTCATTTGTATTTTGATTCGCCAAAGTATTAGCAGACACATTTTAGAAACATTGTGTAAATATTCAGTAAAAGAAAATATTTTTGTTATTCTGTTTCGAAGAACAGAAATAGAAATAAAAACTTTCAGAAATTTTTTTTTTTTTGTTCAAAAATACCTGCTTAAATTTCCAAGATTTTATTACACTACTAGGGTAGTTATAACCTCCAATTTTCTATGGACTATGCTACTCACAATATATAAAAAAATTTATGTTCTCAGTAAAACTGTAAATCTATTAAATGTTCCAGCAAAATATTATTTAGTGGTGCATTTGTGATTAAATTGACTTTTAACTTATTTATTCAGGTTTCTCAAAAAATAAGTTTTACTTTCATCAATATCCAAGTTCAAGTTTATTGAAGAAAAGAACTTAGTAATGTGCAGAACTTCTCCAATTATCAAAGCCAAACACCATTACCTCGGAGCAATTTTTCTTTCTAAAAGATGTATTTTTCCTAAAGTGCATGAATCATTTACAAAAAATACATGTGTGTACAGTGATTTCGCTTACATGCTTAAGTATCAAACTGGTCAAAAATCGTACATGGGACTAAAAAAAGTTATGGCACGTCCTCTGAGACGCATAGTTTTCCAATGGAAAAAAATTTGAAAAGAAAAAATTTACCTAACCAGCAGATTTATGTTATCCAAAGTAAACCAAACATTAAAAGGAAAAAAATAATTTTTACTTTTCTGCATTAATAGCATAAGAAGAAAATAAAAATAATTCTGAGTCTCAATTTATATAAATGCTTTTTCTTAATGCAAGTGTTTGATCAGTTTTAATTAAAAACTTTGATTTCAAATACAACTCTTTCCTTGTTGACTAACTTTTTTCCTCCTTTATAATTTTGAAAATGCAGTCGGACTTCTATTTAACGAACTTCCATTTTACGAATTTCTCTATTTTGCGAATTTTTTCGTGGAACCAAGAACATTTTGGAAATTTCTTCGTTAAATAACTTCTAAATAGCGAAGTGAATTTTCTATTTAACGGATTTTTTTTTTAGATCTACTTTCCCCATTTCCCAAAATATTTGAGAAAATTATTAACTAGTTAACGCATTTTATGAGGGAAATAACCTTGAACTGATTTTCGCATCCCCTTAACTTTTAGAGAAAGCAGTAAAATTCCTTTCCCTTTTTGTTTGCATTTCATACAGGAAATGCAATCCCACTAGATTAGGGGGGAAAGGGTCAAATTCTTTGAATAGGAAATGAGCAGAGAAGATAAAAGGAATGGGTCATCAAAGTGTGTGGTCCCTGGTCCCTTATTGACATGTCCTATTATCTCCACCCCCACTGTTCGCTTCCTTTCTAGAAAAACTTTCAACTTTCTCGTTGTTCACTCGGTAGAGCTCCTGTTTTAAGATTGCTGATCAGAGTGCTGCTTGTTGCTTTTCTTACGGCTGCAAAATGTCGAAGCGAAAGTGCCTGACTATTAAAGAAAAAAATTACAAGATAAAGGTGCATCAATTGCAATTTTAATTATTTCTAGTATCCATGAATTTAAAACCTATTCTACGTTGTGTAAGTATTTCCAAAGATGATTTTCTATTTAACGAATTTTCCATATAACGAACTTTTTTTCGGGATTTAGCGACTTCATTAAATAGAGGTCCGACTGTATAAGACTTTTTAAATGATTAGATTTTTAGAATAATATAGATTTTAAATAAGAAACTGCTTTTAGTTAAAAAGAACCTGGAAAGTCTGTTGTTCTCAGGACCCATAGTTTCCAAAGTCTCAATGGACTGACTAATATAATTAATGCATGTACTTCTCATAAAATGGCTAAGAACTATTACTTTCTGCCTAAAAAATTCAAAATTGGTCCAAGGTAGAATTTTCTCTATAATCATTTATCTTAATTCATTCAACTTTATTAAATATTCCAGTGTATCAAAACCTTTTTTACTCCTATAAAAAGTTGTATTGATACCAACCAAATATGTCCTAATATTTGATATTTGGTACACTTTTCTAATCCGTTTTATTTATACCTTTTTATAAGAAAAGTTTAGTTGTGTCTTGCATTACACATTTGTAGAACAATTTACACACAAATTTAAAAAATAAATTTTTTATTTGTTCTTTTTCTCTTTTTCAGATTTTTACTTGTAAAGGTAAACTATAATCAGAAAATATTTGATTTATTTGAAATTTTTTTGAGTTTTAAAATAATTTTTACTTTTTTTTTAAAAAAAATAAAATCTTTTTAGTTGCATGATAACTGTCTGTCAGATCTACCTAATAGTGTGGGAGAACTTGTATGCCTTACTAAGTTAAACATAAGGTTAGTTGATTTGATTACTATTTATTGTCATTATTCTTGATTTACTTTGATTACTGCAGATATTATCTATGAATTATTCGTATAACTTTGAAAAGCATTGTTTTTAACCATCAAATATAGCAATCAATGTATTCTCAGATTTTCTAGTCTAGTAAAGATTATGAAATTTGTTTACAATATAGTAACTATTATAATTTAATATTTTGATTTCTTTACTTTCTTAATGTATGCATATTTTCTCTTAAATTCAGTAGCATTATATTAATTATGTTAAAAATATTTGTTGTAAACAAGTCTCAAAAATTACTGTCCTACAGTGGACTGATCGTCAAGACACAGTTCCCAGTAGAATACCGAAGTCAGGCATCACTGGCTGTGGTCAGTGCGTGGGTGGATTACCACTTTGATCAGACTGCAAAGAGACCAAGGGCGTGCGGTATCGGGCCTCGTTAAACTGTTCTACCATAAAGTGCTCGACTTCGCGCATAAGCCCTCAGGCTACCAAAATAGGAGAGCCATCCGCTTTGTGGCGGATCAGAATTGTGATGGCATGTCTTCTGATCATCCTCAGGGATGTTTCCCAAACCGTCGCCAATAGCCCATTGTGCAGCTCTAGTGCAGTGTAAATCAACAGCAACAATAAAAAATTACTGCAGTAAAACAAACATTCTAGTAATTTTCTATTAAACATGATAGTAAAATTATTTCTTATTGTCTTGAATTCTGAACATTTTGAATAGTTATATGCTAAAACTATTTTATTTAGTTTGTAAACCAATCTTATGGAGTTCCTGAAATATTTCACACATCATTTTATTGTATTTTTCATGACTTTATTATTTAAGTTTAAGAAAAGAAAAGTTGGACATATCTGGATTAAATTAAAATAATTTTTCTTTATAATTACTAAAATATCAAATTAAAAATTCATTAATGAATTAAGCTTTAAATTTAACTATTCAGCTTCTAAGGATCTCATTTATACCCAAAAGGGATTATAATTCCTTAATGTTTATCTACCATGAATTATAAAAACACAATTTCACTTTTTGATAAGTAGCAGTAGCTAGTTATCAAATTTAAGATATATAAGTCTTTAAAAAAAAAAATTTAATATTCCCAAGTACCAAATTTTAAAAATATTTACTTTAAAATTTTGTAGAAAATATGGTAACTGAATTCATTGAAACATATTTCAATGAATAAAAAAGAACAAAACATATTCAAAAATACCACTTAGTTGCTTAATAAATATCAAAGTTATATTCATATAATGCTAAGCTATTAAACTCATAACTCAGTGGCGTGACAGCACAAAGAGGGTGAAAAGTGTGTTTTATTAGATAATTTAATCATAAATCTTTGTTCAAAAAAATTATATTAAGTATGAATGGTATATAAATTTATATCTTGTTATCGAGTTTTTGCACATAAAATGTCAAGGTTTTTTTACGTTGGGTCACAACTACCCCTGTTTTTATTTGTTTAAATATATGACCATTTAAAAGTGTATTACCCCCAATAATATTTTAATATTGCATTTGAATAAGTAAACATTTAATACTATAGCAATTTATGTCTTTTTTTCTTACAAATTTTGAAATATTTTAATTTAATGTAACATTCAAAAATGTTTTAATGTTGCATTTGAATTAGCTTCTTTCTTTTCTTAAAAATTCTTTTAACGCCTCTTTGGATACTTTAAAACCTTTCTAAAACATTTATAATATATTTGGTTATTTTTGGACTTTATTTTGTCAATTGCAATCTTTATAAAAGAAACTAATGTGTTACTTATTTTATTATAGTCGAAACAACTTCAATAATTTGCCAGAATGTATATTTCTTTTGAAATCTTTACTTATTTTGCAAGCTCAGCATAATAATTTGTGCACTTTAAATGATGATATTGGAAATTTATCCTTCCTTGAAGAATTGGTAAGATTATCATATATTTTTTTATCTAATGCTTTAAAGAAAACTTTCTTAATAATATTAATTGTTTTTTTCTTTGAATTTTTAGGCTCTATTTTAGAGTAGAAAAAAGTAGAGTAGTTTAGAGTAGTTTTTCATTACAGAAAAAAAATGAGAGAGAATTTCTCACCCTTTCTCAAATACAGGGTGAGATCTCAAAAAGTTAAGTGAGATTTCTAAAAATTAAAAAAACGCGAATAGACTTGGAAAAAAAAATTTTCTTTAATTATAATACATTTTTAACATCTTCTAATTTTTAAAGCATTGAATATTTTTGTTGCATCATCATATCGAAAAGGTTCTATATTTACTTTTTCATCAGCTTTTCTCATTAGGTTGCTCAAATATTTATCAGTCATTTGTATACGATATTTTGTCTTACTAATTTGGTTTTGAGTGCTGAATGACCTTGCAACAGATGCTGAACAATTCGGAATCACTTAGTAAATTTGTAGCATTGAAAAAAATTTAAACGTGTTACATGAAGAAATCTTTCCTTCTGTGAATACGTGGTTGCAGAAAAGTGTGTGCTGTCATTCGGGGGGAGGGGGCATTGTGTTCTGCTGTTCGCACCGGTTCTGAACAATACTGGTAAATGGGGAAGCTAGATAACAGGGATCCATGTTGAAAATAATGAAAGATCAAGGAAGAAAAGTGAAACGGATTTTATTCAAAATTGCAGAAGACTAATTTTTTTCCAAAATTCGCTCATTTTGAAATTGATTAATAGAGTGTGCGATCTTCTCGCGTTAATAATTTTTTAATGCTAGAAAAGAAAAAAATAAGCGAGATTCTCGCGCTGTAGTGAAAACACTGTAGTTATTTGTTAGCATAAAATCTCACATTTCAATTATATGCTTGAATTTCAATGTTGCAAAATAATTTTAATGGCAAAAAAGACATTACATTTTATTTTATAATCTAAACCTAAATATGTTATTGTATAATATCTTTTAAACAATTTTAAGTATATTCAAAGTTAGTTCTAAGTTAGTTAAAACATAATACTCATGTAAATGGTAAAGCTTTGATCAAGATTTATTCTTTTGATAAGCAAATTCAACTATTCTCAAACGGAACTTTAAAAAGTCATAAAAAATATTGTTTAGCAGTTGAGCAGCAGGGCTTAAACTGGCCTTTTGATTTAGATGTATTTCCAACAAAAAAATTTAAAGATTAAATGAAATATTAACTGATGGTAGGTACTAAATGAAAAATTAACTGATGGTAGGTACATGGTCATTCCTTCAATATATTCATCTATTTTAAATTATTTGCTTTAATTGAAATTTTATTGCTTCTTTTTCTTCAGAAGATAGATATTTGTTTGAACATGAGAATCAAAATTTGTTTTTGTTTTGATCATTAATTGTATACCTTCTGCATTTTGTAGTTTTTTCAATGCTAAAATATTGTTTCTTGACATTATTTCATTAAATGTAGATTACATTTTTATTGATTTTAGGATTTATCAAATAATAAATTGAAGAAACTTCCTCACTGTATTGGGTTTTGTTCAAGGATCACCCACTTTAATATTTCGAATAATGAATTGGTTGTTTTGCCTGTTGAGATTGGAGATATGAGTGGTATTTAATTTAATTTTTTCATATTAGCTAATTTAATATTCCGAGCAATAAGATGTTTTCAGAATTCTTTTTATTTTATTAGTGATGAGCTAAATATACATATGTTCATTATTTCTTCAAGAATTAAATTTATAAAGAATATTTGTCTGATTCCATTTAATTACAGTTTAGCACATTTTATGTAAGCATTGTAAATCCTTCTCCAGTCTATCTATTGAGTTTTGTTAATTATGATAAGAGAGAACTTGGTATAAACTTTAACTTAACAAAACTCTTCAAGACAAAAAATTTTGCTACAGAATTATCTGTAGGTACTGAATTTGCAAATGTTTTTGTACTATGCATGGTAAACATTTTTAGATCCATAGCAATTGAAATTAAAAGTGAAATTTTTGATTTGTTTCATTGCCTGATCCAGCCTATATTCCTGAATCAATATTAATTTTTCAAATAGTATTAAAATTATGAAGCTGTTATTTAATAAGTGACATTTTTTCTAGAGTTTTTCACACGTGAAATATTAATTTAAGTTTTTTAAAAAAGGTCAGAACCTCTTCCTAAAAACTTGTACCTTCATTAAAAGAAAAGCTTGCTTAATTAATCTAGATTTAATAAAGTGACAGTGAAATGCCTCACATTTAATTATGTCTGTTCAATTATCAATCATGTAAATAAGGTGTATGGAATAAATATGCAATTTTTCATTGTGCTCTTTTAATTGTACTAAACGTAATATTTATTCTAAATATTTAAAATTTTTAAAGTGCAACTACATTTGATTATATTATATGTACTTGCACAAAAAGTATGTATACAAAATATTTAACAAAATTAACTCTAGATGTGTTAACCCTATATAGACTCCTGAATTTTGCTAATTTTGCAAAGTCTAGGTAATAATGTAACATTTTAACATCTTTAAAGATTACGAATGTTAAATTGTATCCCTGATTTATATTTTAATATATAAGTAACATTCATTTACTTAACATATAAAAGTAAACATTCATAATGATCATAAATTTATTTTAAAATTCAATTTTTGACTTATTGGCATAATTTCTTATAGTGGTCTTTCACAGGTTGATAATAATTTTAAAATATTTGACAGAGTTGAGTTATTTATAATTCTAGTTTTTTTAAGTTCACTATAGTATGAATAGTAGTGAATATTGTTATCTTATTGAGATAGCTCCTAAATCAGGATTAAATTTTATTCCTTTAAATTTCAAGTAATTTCATAATAATTCGTGTTCAATCAATCTAATAAGTGTTTTGCTTTTCCAAAATTTAAATTTTGTTTTTGTAATTCAAAAATAAGTTGTCAACTTCATTAATTATTTTGTTTCACTGTTGAACAGAAAATGCACCTTTTTGTACTTTGACATTCTGCTTTACTTATATTTAGCTCTAAGGCATTTTGATGTATCAAAAAATAAATTGAAGTCCATACCAAGCTCAGTAGGGATGCTTAGCCATTTGGAACAGTTTTACATTCAACATAATAATATTGCAGATATCGCTCCCCTGTCTTGCTGTTCGTCAATAAAGGTAAATACTTGCAACATTTATTATTTTAAAATTTATTATTAAAAAATGTACAAGTAATATTAAATGTTTTTACTTGAAAATAATTTGTTAAATGTAATGCTTGCAATAAAAATAATTTGTATGAACTTTAATATACAAAAATTAAAAGCTTTTTTCTCTTTGGCATGTCAACAGTTAAGTATACAATTTTTATTATTATTATCAACAATATTTTAAGCTAATAAACATGTTTATGTGCCTTGGCTAGTTTTGCCTCTTAATCGTAAGCAAGATATATGATTGTCTATGTGACTATTAATAAGCTTTATTACATTTAGTTTTAAATTTTTTCTGGCTCTTGTGTGCAATATTGCTTGTGTATAATAAAATCTGTTTGTTAAACTTTCACCCCGTATGATTGTTTTTTATAAAACATAATGTGTGTCGCAATTTCCATAAAAAAAATAGTAATAATTATAAGCTTTATTGCTTTTTGAATAAAAAAATCTTGTAGCAAAAGCATGGTTTGGAATTTGACTGACAGCTCTGAAATTTTCCAGGATAGTTTATATAAGTCTACAAGTTTTATTTCTGAAATTGAATAGGAATCCTGTAAATATAAAGCCACATCTTTTAAATGTGTATAATAAAAATAATTTAAATTTAATTTTAAATAATAAATTTTAGCCTTGCTGTCTTAAACTTCCCAAAACAAGGTATTGCAATGAAGTTTCACAATAAACAGTTAAGAAAATGGCTGAACCTATAACGGGAAATTAATCTGTAATTTTAATTAGGGAAACATATTTAAAACATAAATGGCTGGTTTTTTTTAATTATTCAAAACTACTATTTGCCTGAAGTGCAATTTTAATCAATATTATTTGTATTTAAAAATATTTCTTCAATATCATTATGTGTCTTAAAAATAATTAGCATAATCTCAAAAATATAATAAATTGTGGAATTTCAGTTAGTTATGGGCAAATATTTAAAATCAAATATCAGGTTAACTATACTAAAGATATACATTTATTTATGTGCACTGAATGCACAATGATTACATTTGGAGATTACAATGAAACAATTCAGATTTTTTAAAGTTTAAGGTGGTATTGAGCAATGAATCCCATGCATCTTATTCGTGATACATGTACAAATAAATAAGCTTTTTTTTTATCTGTGATCCTAATTTAGAATGTAGGAATTCTTAGATGAATAATGCAAACCTGATTTTTATGAGAAAAAAATAATCTGGCTTTCAAGTGCCGCAACAAAATATCATAATTAAATTCTTTTTTAAAGTACAAAAAGCAACATAAATTTTACTTCAAGATTAATAATATATAATAAATTATGTATAATATTTGTAAATCGTAAATTAAATGAATTTTAATTGTTTTCTTGTTTAATAAAATTAAATTATAGTAGTTAATTATAAAAAAAATAAAGGTTTTAATAGTTTAAATATGAATACTTTAATTTTGAGTGAAAAATTTTTACCATTAGCTATTAAATAAATTATTGAATTGCATTTGTTTTAAATGTATTTCAAATGCTGAATATGTAATTTGTATCTCTATAATTTGTAATTTTAATGCTACCTATAGTTAAAGATGTGTTTTAAATATGCATATATCTGTTCAAAAGGAGAGGTGTTCCAGAATTTTTTTTTTTAAACATTCTAATATTTGAATATTATTTAGTATATAAAGTATATTTTACTTTAAACAATAAGATAATACATGTGATCTGTGTGTTTCAATGGTATAAATCATTTAACATCCATTGCATTAAAAAAGTGTAGGTTATTTTAAATGTACAATAATAATTTAATATCATTAATGATTTTAATGTTTGTATCTTTTGGTTTTTGTATATTTTTTATTTGTTACACATAAGTTCACAGATATTGTATTGTATTATGAAATGTGTTTAACATTTTAATAGGAAGTGCATGCTGGCTTCAATAACATTATTGAACTATCCCTGGAATTCCTAGAATCTATTCCTAGTATAAAAATCCTTGATTTTAGAGACAATAAGCTTTCTCAGTTACCAGATGTGATATGTACTTTACAAAATATTGAGAGACTTGATATTTCAAATAACGGTTTGTCTAGGTTTGTTGCTTTTTTACCTTCATAACCTTTTCATAATTTCATTGAAATGCATTTTCTGCTGCCATTTTTGTTTTTTATTTTCTAATATATGTTTATTTTGATGAACTCAAATGTTGTGCTGTTCAATTACTTATAATGAATACTTAAGTAAGTTTGCGAAAAAACTGTTAAACTTTTTATTGCTGATACTGAACTCAGTTGGGGTAATATTTGGTTGTTTTCCACGCAGAAAATAGTTTTCTTTCATGTTATTCCATGGAAAAACTGTTGCAGGGAAAGTCTGATTTTGACATTCGTCATCCTACATCATTCATATAGTCACTTTGATGAATGTCTTTAATATTTTCAGAAAATTGCTTTGTGCTTATATTGGTATTCGATTACAATTAAGGTAAACACTTGGAATCTGTCTTAAGTATTGGCAATTTTATGTGAACCACAAATACCTGCCAGATAATGAGATATTCTTATGGTTTTATTAATAATAATCACGTCTTTTAATTAGATAAAATACCCATTAACCACTTTACCAAATATTCCCTATGCTGGTGCTTTATTTAGATTATTTAAAGGTCCAATATACTCTAAATAATTATAAATAAGAAATATGTTGGTCATTCCCTGATCAAAAAAATTTATTCACTTCAAAATACGTAAAAAGGAAATAACAATTGACATGCTTCAAACACTTCAAAAATAGGTGCCCTCTTTCGAGACTTGCAAGGACACGAAATATGAAAATGTAAAGTTGTAAACAAAAATGGAAGAATAAAGATGAGAAATAAAACTAAAAAAACCATAGTAGCAGAGAGAGGAAAAAATGATGAAAAACAAAATCAAAGGGTAATCAGGGTAATCCCAAATCAGGGTAAAATGCATTTCCACATGCTTTGGTGAGGTGGCAAAGAACTAATTTTGTTAACAAAGGAATCAGCATTTGTATTATATATTAAGAGAATCAGCATTCACATTATAAGCTGATTTATTCATATTGTTTACGCGGAAATGCATTTTATTCTGTTTTGCCCCTCTTGGCCACTGTGATTTTACTTATTCTGTTTTTCCTTTTTTTCTCTCTCTCTGCTACTGTGGTTTTTCTAGTTTTGTTTCTCATCTTTATTTTTCCATTTTTCATTGGCAACTTCACATTTTTATGTTTTGAATCATTTTTGTTTCTTCTCATTAACATCTGGCAAGTCTTGAAAATGAGCACCTATTTTTGAAGAGCTTGAAACATGTTGACTGATCTTTTCCTTTTTGTATTTTTGATGCAAATGAAGTTTTTAATCAGATAAAATCTAACCGCTTCAGTTTCTTGGGATTATTTATTTAATATTAGTCATTCATTAAAGCATTATGTGAAAGTCAAGAGTAACTGGAGATTGTTGTTATTCACTTATTTTCGTTTTTTCTTTTAGTAAGCTTTTTTGTGTAAAAGTCCTATAATCAGCCTACAAAGAACATTTTTTTCCCATTTATAACTTTAAGTATGTAGGAATAAATAGAAATGGACATGCATATTATTTTTTTCTTTTGAAAGGATTTTTCTTTTTTTCTTTTCTGCTCTACAGTCTAAAATAGCTGAATGCATATTTATGTTTCATAGAAATTTTAATAAAATAAATGAAAAAAAGTTTTGTTTCACATTTTTAGAAAATCTACAGCTACTAAAATATATGATATATTACAATTTTAAAATATTTTGCAATTCCACTTTTTTTTATTGCTTTAAAAAAATTTCAGCTTGCCATACACTCTTGGCACATTACCACATTTAAAGTTCCTTGCAATTGAAGGAAACCCTATGAGAACCATAAGAAGAGATATTATTCAAGTAAGTTATTTAAATTGATCATTACATATAAATAAATTAATTGATCATTACTAAATTCATTACTAAATTGATCATTACTCAAAATATCAAACAAAGCTATGAAAATTCTAACTAATTTATATTTATGCCTTTTCTTTTGGAAAAATACTCACTTTTTTCAATTAATTTCATGATACATCTATATAATTCTTAGGAAATACAAAAAAAATCCATATATTTTCAAAACAAAGACTTTATGAATCAAACATATTTTTGTGAAAATTTTTATTTTTGTTGCATGTGTATTTTAAGCCATTTTTATTTCTTTTGAACTTATCGAAATGCTTTGAATGAAAATCAAGAAAAGTATTATATATTACGAAATAAAAAATCTGTAAAAGCTCTAAATTTTTCTATTTTTTTTCACAATAAAATTTTTTGTGTTTCTCCTTACTTAAAATAGTTTACATAATGTCTCTAGATACTGCATGAGAAAATAATATATAAATATGAGCTAAACTCAGTGGCACGACAGCAGATAGAGGGCCAAGGGTTACTGTGCACATCTCAGTTGTCTTGACCTTTGGGCTCTGGAGTGCAAGAGCAGATATTTCGGTTAGGTGGTCAGCCCAACGCAGAATGAAACATATTCCTTATAGTAAAATAACAATATTTTTAGCACAACAAATTGCAACACTAGGCTTCTGCTAAGCTTCATGATTTTTCGAGACCACTAACAAAAAGAGAGTGTGATAAAAATCATTTAAAACAGAAAAATTACGAAGAAAGCATTTAATGTTTTAACAACGTTTGTCTTGTCGGCCCTCATAGTTTCTTCTCTATTTTTAAAAGTTTTTATTGCACTCTCTTCTCGTTTGTGATTCCAAAAAATGGCAATGCTTAGCTAAAGCCTTGAATCGCAATTTCTTGTGCTAAAAATATCCTTCCAATTCCATTTTATGCTTTTTACTGTAAAGATTATGTTTCACTCATAAAAAGTGGTTGTTGCAATTTGAAATTTTAACTTTAACCGTAACCGCAAGAGCTACGCAATTATTTTGAACATCATTCTTCAGCACATAGATCATAATACCAATGTACAAAATTTTATTTAGTTCACTCAAATGGTATGCTCTCCGGAGGGTCATATGCCGACAAAGTTATTTAAAATCGCCATGTATTATGCATTGCCTATATTTCAAATAAATGCATCAAAAAAAAATTTTTTTTTTTTTCAATTTTAGAGAGGCACTGTGCAGCTTTTGAGATGGCTTCGTAGCCGGCTTGAAGATCCTGATGCTGTTAAAAGTATGTCCAATTTATCAACTGAATGTGATGGATCAAAAAATTCGTCTGCCTGTGATGTTGATAAATATGCTTTAAAGTCTACTAAAGCTTTACCTCTAAGGTATATATGAAAATTCAACAGATATTCTAATATACTGTTTCAAGTCACATTTTCTATACAAAAACTAGTGCATTAAGTTTTGTTTGCTATTCCACTCCCTTTAATGCCCATTATATGTTATTTTTAAGCCCATTAAAATCTGAAAATTACAGGCAATAGTTTTCCTTTCTTTTTTAATAGTTTTCCTTTTTTGTACTAAACTTTAATGCTAATAATTGTATATGTGTCTTTAATAAAAATAATTTGGCATTATTTTATGGTTAAATTATTTAAAACAAGTGTAATTTTTATCTGTCAATTTTATTGGCTATAAAATTAGCAATATTATGTTTTTTTTTCTTTACAATTTAATGATAAATATTTATAATCTAAAAAAGTAATGTACTTTTTAAAAAACCTTATTGATTAAAATACAAATGAATATCTCTTTTTATTTGAAACAGAAATTTTATTGATATTTATTTTATTTTAATTATTCTGATACGTTGTGTGAAAATGTTCCTTTAGCATATTCTTTGATAAAAGGGATGTATTTTTTTTTCACTTTAATCAAACTTACACATTTTTATTGTTATTATCTAAACAAATCTCATGATCAAAACAGTTTCTGTTCAAGTTATTCATTTTCTTAACACACATTACCTTTTAGGGTGCTTAAATTTTGTGTATATTTTCCATTCATAAAAAAAAATATTCTGATTTCTGAAAATAATTCTTCTTTGGTACTACTTTAAATACTCTACCTTTTAGAACATTGCCAAAGTTAACTTGATATAAGTCTGGAGTTAGTGTTGTTTAACATTTCCCATTATTAAGACATTCTAGTTTATGTTTCCTATTGTTTAACACTTCCTATTTTACTTTTATTCTAGTTTTACTGAAGTTAAATATTTAAATATACGAAAAAAATAATAAAAATAAAATCCTAGTTAAAGTTTTTCCACAATTTTTTTAGCTATGTTTTAGTTGAGTTTAGTGTGTTTGTTTTTAGTTTAGTTTTAGTTGATTATTTTATTTATATTAAAAGAGTTCTTTTTTAAAAAAATGTTTGTTATTTTGTGAAATGTTGTTACTAAAATCTTACTTATAAAAGGATAATTTTTTCGACATTCTTCAAATCATAGAAAATAGACAGTGGTGAAGAACAAAATTAATTTATTATCAAATATTATGTATAAATATGCAACCTTCTTGATATCATTAGCCATATCTACATATGGTTTAAATAGCTTAAAAATCTTCATACTATAAAAGTAGATCCTAATTAGCAATAAAGCTCTTTTTCAGTTTGAAAACTAGGGTCTTCAAATCAACAAGGAACTACCTTCTTTATCATGTTCACTTATCTATTAATGATGTCAAAGGGTAACTAAATTTAGTTTTCTTTAAGTTTGTATAAAAGTTCTAACCTGGAAAAGCACAAAACCTCCTAGCTCATTGGACGTCATTTAAAGAATTGATGAACTATTGTGCTTAATGAAAAGGGAATGTTCATCGTTTGTCTTGCATGAAGACTAATATTTTCTGACCAATAAGAAGCTTCAAACTCCTTTATGACCATTTCATAGTCTTCAAAAAATCGGGGGTTGTTTTTCCAAGAGAAGAGTTTAAAGCTCCTTCAATCTTATGCCAAATGTTGCATCTTATGGCAATTATGTCATAAAATGCATATACAAAACTATACATATTCTTCAGTATTAAATCTATTTTGTTCTTCATTTTTGTCTTTTTTTTCTTTGGTGCAGTTGGATTTGAAAAAAATATTATTTTAGTATTTTATTTATTCCTTCCTATCTTGTGGTTAGTTTTTGTCAGTAGTTTGATTAATTATTTTAAATTTATTTCATTTTCTAAATAATTTTTTTTGAAGCAATAAAAAGCTAAACACCATTCCTAAAGATGTTATTGAAACTGCAGCAGCATCTGATGTGACATCAATAGACTTAAGTAAAAACTGCATTTCTGAAATTCCTGAATAGTATGTATGAGTTTTTTCATTTTACTTCCCATTGTTTTTTGTCGATATTTTTTGTTTTCTATTTGAAATATAAGTTTTCTGTCACATTTTTAATTTTTAATATTTTAATTTCTATTATAATAAATTTTTAATTTCTACAAATATAATGAAACTTTATATACCTATAGAATAAAATGTCCATATCGTAGTATAATTTCTATATATTATAATATGTATTATAATTTTTATAGCTTTTCAGTCATATTACCTAAGGCAGTGGAAGTTAATTTGGGCTATAACAAATTAAATAGCATTCCTCCCTTCTTTGGATGTGGTGAACATTTACAATACTTAGATTTCAGGTATTCACTCATACTATTTTTTTCACAATTATTTAGAACAAAATTGATACAATTTCAAATAAATTGTTATTCTACCAAAATATTTAAAATAGTAATATGCTATAATTATTGTGAAAACACTCATCCCTGATTAAGCAATTAATTTAATATTTGGTAAAAATAAATATCTTGGTTAACTAAGCAAAGTGCTATCTCCATCCACTTCTCTTTAATTGATTTTTAATTAGTGGATGGGCATATTCAATGAGTCCCTATTCAGAGTAAAGTTTCATATTGTATTGTGACGATTCATAATATGATTCGAAAAGCTTCGTAAAAAATGGAATGGCAACTACTAAGGGAGTGGTACAAAACAACAACACCTGCTATGGTGTCGCGGTAATATTCTTGTTAGTGTTGGTGTAAAGTTCTTTAATAAAAAATATATATTAAACAGTGTAATTAATAACTAGATTATAACCACAATATATTTATATGCTGTTCTTTAATTACAAATCCTGATCTTCTTAAATGATTTGCAAAGTAATGGTATTGTTATTTTTTTATTAGGATAATAAAACACTGATATATATCATAATAATTTTAGTTTCCTAAAACTAAAGTTATGTCTCTAAATTGAAATCCAGTTATATCAAATATCATAACTTAAAACTTTTTCTTACCAAATTATTTAAAAAAAGCATCAAAAATGTCCTATTCATTTTTGCCCCATTAAATAATGTCTGTTATACACTCTGGGAAATATTTTTTTCATAATTCAATATTTTCTAGTTTTAATTAATTAATTTATTAACTCTCTTTAATTTGGGACTTACACCACATTATAAGACTTTAACTAGGGTTAAACATTAATACTTTGTTTTATAACTAGTAGTTGAAAATGTTAATGAATCAATTAAAAATATGAAATACTTACTTGCAAAATTGATTAAGATAAAAAGCGAAGAAATGAGGAATCATGAAGTGGCGTCCTCTAACAAAATATCAACTACTAAATAGTTCCATAGGTGCTGTTCAACTCCAAATAACTATGTGTTGCCAAGTAAGAATGATAAACAAAAAAACATACATGCATCATATTACAGAGACAGACAAGTTCCAAAGAATTTTTTTATTCTGTTTCAAGGCTGTATGAAAAAAATGTTAGTGGGGCTTAAAAGTCCTGTTGGTACATAAAGGGTTGACTGAGTTTTGTTTTACTTAATCTAATTATTTATTGTTATTTGCCAGTAGTAATTTAAATTTAATTGGCATATTTACACTGCTCATATGTTTTTGTTTTGTTTTTAAATATTACATAAAATTAAATAACATTATAAAAAAAGTTGTAGAAAAAATATGCTTTTTATTAAAACTAAATTTTCTTTTTTTTTTTTTCAGAAATAATCAGCTGAGCAGTTTGCCTGCTGAAATAGCTAACCTTTCGCATTTGCGAGAAATGAATGTATCATGTAACAGGTATACATTACAATGTTTGGTTATGTATTTTATATATATATATATATATTTTTTATTTTACACTGGAATAAAGTATTTGAAATGTATTTCAATATATTTTGAAACTGTATATGTTTATTTATTATTAAGTTAATCCTATTTCAAATTCTATGTTAAAAGCATGATGTATAGCTGTTACTCTTACTGGAATTTTGAGGAACCTTATAGTTTCTTATCTAGTTTTATTAAAAAATTTAATTTTTTTGAAACCTTTATAAAAAATTTCCTTGTTTTTGAATTGTATTCATTTTATTCAAACATACAGTGCCTGCAATATATAAATTCATTGATTAGTTAAACTAGCCACTTTTTATCGTATTTAGACCTATCAAAAAACAATTCTCATATTTAAATTTTTTTCATTATATTTAAATATTCAGTGTCTACAGTTTGTAAACTCATTGTTTAGCTAAACTAGCTGCTTATCTTTAAAGAATTTTCAACTACCGAATCAACAACTACTGATAGATTTGAAATTTCTTCCGCTACTGAACTTAGGAAAACCGAATATTTGAATCAAAACTTATTAATCAATTATTGAAACTAAAGTACTAAAAGTGAGATAAAGCTTTTGATTTAGAAAATTGCCACTTTTAAATTGAATTAAATTAAATTCTTTTAAATTGAATTAAATTAACTTCAAAGAATCCTATTTTATATTTATACTCAATGATGCTGTATAAAAAGGAGAAAGTGCTATCTCATTTCTTATGCAAAGCAGATATTCTCTTAATGGACTCTAAATACAGAGTTTTAATTCTAATATTTAACATAGTTAAAAGACAGTTATAATTTTCTTCGAGTAGTCATTTGGATTACATTTAAACAGTAAGCACTGTATTAATTCTTATCGAAGTAAAAGTCTTTAACTATGCTAAATGTTACAACTTTAGTTGAACTATTTTAGTGAACTAGTAAATATTTTTATTTCTTTTTAAAATTAAAATTATTTTAAATTATGTATAAATTTTTTTAAATTTTTGTTACTTTAAAGTAGCATATTACTAATACTAATAGAAATTGTGCATTGTACAGTTATAAAAACAGTATGTAAGGAACAGTGGTAGGCACTATAAGGAATAAAACTGTTTCTAAATTTTTTTTGTTCGATAGAAAACAATATCTGATGTATTTTTTTTTACATAATTAAGTGAATCATCACATTATTTACCACTGATTCTAAATTGTCTCCAAAATTTGTATATATGTATGCATATTTCTTGTGTATTGTATTTGAGCTGATACATTCTCATGGTTTGCATTTTCAAATTATAAGCCAAGTTATTCCCTGAATAACTGCATATTTCTTATTTTCATAATTAACCAAGATTGTGGAGCCTTTATCTCCATGACCCCTCTGGCTCAAAACAGGCTATTGTGGGAATGCTTTCCTTATTAGCCAGGAATTCCTCTGCTTTTATTTCACATACTTTCTAATAATTGTTATTCAAGAAAAATTCGTAAATTTTGACCACACATTTTCTTTTTATTACTCAGTCCTATTATCTCATCTACTGAGTTAAATGGTCATCAAATTCTAGTTACTCATATTTCGATGATACTGTTTCCTTTTGCTAAACTTTGTTGCTATACATGTGTAAAACACCCATTACCTTTGTTTTGTTTAGGAGTTAATTTATTGTAAATTCCTATCTTATTATTTATTTCATTATCATAGTGTTCATCCTTATGTTCGCTTATTTCTGAATGTTTATTAAATTTCTACCTGTTCTCCGTTTGTGCTATTCATTAAATGAGCCTGTGTCTCAGAGAGTCAGTGTTTGTGCTACCTACTCCAATGTTCAGTTATTATTATTATTATTATTATTATTATTTTGTACAGAGCTGGTGAGCTAGTATTCCTTTTGAGATAAAGTATTTCACAAAGTTTGCTAAGACTCATGTAAATGAACATTTTATTTAGGCTAATAATTTTATTTGCCTCATTTTTAAAACTTTCCTTTTTTTTAAGGTTAACAGCTTTACCAAGTTGTTTATATGGTTTGAAACACCTTGAAATAATATTGGCTTCTGATAATCAAATTGAATTTATTGATGTATCTGGATTATCAAGTTGTTCAGCTCTTGCTGTGTTGGATCTTCATAATAATAGTATTAAAACAGTACCTCCTGAACTTGGGAATTTAAAACAACTTAGGTGTGTTACCTTTAATTTATGTCTGAATCTGAAAACTAATTTTGCAATGGTAAAAAATATGCTTTCATAATGCTTCTCAAAATTTGCATGCTATATTAAATATTTCAATGTAATGTATTCGTGATTTTTGATATTGGGTTTTTGTCTTTTCCTATTACAACCAAATTATTATATTTCTCAATAGATATTATGTATCTGATATATGCTCTAGGGTCAGAGTATGTCAGTCTGGAAGAATTCAAATAATGAATATTTTATGAGTAATAATGAATATTTATAAATGTAATTAATGATTTACAAAAGTAATAATGAATATTTTATGAGGTTATAAATGCTATAGGCTTTAATTTCACGTCAATTTAAATAGTTCAGTTGGCTAATTGCTACACATATATTTAATTTTCAAGCATTTTTTGGTCGATAGTAATTAGTTTAAGCATTTTTTTTTCCCTTGACCCTTTTCTTCCAGTTTTTGTTGAATGTGGCTACCCTGATGACAAAGATTTAAAATGTATATCCTTTATTCATGTTTTCTTATTACTGTATATACGAGGCTCATCCAGAAAGTAAGTTTCCCGAATTTTTTTTTAAAAAAAGAACTCTCACTTTTAGGAACATATTTATTGGCAACAAGTGCAGCAATGTTTCAGCTATTTTTCAACATAGCCACCACCAGAATTGAGACACTTGTCGTATTGTGGGATCAACTTTTGTATCCCTCTGACATAGAACTCTGTCTCCTGTAAATGGAACCAGCGTGTGACAGGCGTTTTCAGCTCTTCGTCGTTGCCAAAACGCTCACTAGAGGACAGGAATTTCTTGAAGTGCAAGGAAACGTGAAAATCGCTGGGAGGCTGGATGATCAAACAACTCCCAGACAAATTCTGTCAAAACAGCTGCTGTGCATTGTGCCGTAGGTGGACAAGCATTGTCATGGAGGAGCACAACACCCACAGTAAGCATTCCACGACTCTTGTTTTGAATGGCACGTCACAATTTCCTCAGTGTTTCACAGTAACGGTTGACGTCTGTCACACGCTGGTTCCATTCACATGCGGCAGAGTTCTATGTCAGAGGGATACAAAAGTTAATCACACGATACGCCAAGTGTCTCAATTCTGGTGGTGGCGATGTTGAAAAATAGCTGAAACATTGCTGTACTTGTTGCCAGTAAATATGTTCCTAAAAGTGTGAGTTCTTTTTTTTTAAAAAAAATCGCGAAACTTACTTTCCGGATGCGCCTTGTATTCTGCCGCTCCTTTTTGCTTAATTAATGTAACAATGTCATACAAACAATTTTTTATCACTTTCAAAGAAACTGAATCGCAGTTGTGAATTAAATTTATTTTAATTATTAATTTTATCATCATTTGTGCACATCCCACTCAAGAAGTGACATACCTCGGGCATTAATTTACAGTGCCCAAAGCCAAGAATTTGAATAATCATTGTGGTATCGGTCTTTGCATGGAAAACCATCCCCTCTGCAGAGGATCAAAATTGCGATGGCATGTCTTTGGATCATCCTCAGGGATGTTTCCAAGACCAATAGCCCGCTGTGCAGCTCCAGTGCGACGTAAATGAAGTACCTACCTGGATTAATCATAGATTGCTACACATTATTCAACTTGTAATAATAGAAAAAAGAAGTTTTTTCTAAAATCTACTTTTGCACAAGCCAAAGCCAAGCAAAGGTAGCTTATGTCTTCATAATCCGCATTTGAAGAATTGTGAGTTCAGTAAGGATAGCCAGTTTTATTTGTTTTTCTTTTTTTTTAAAAGTTATGTGCTTTTCCACAATTTTAAATGAATTTCTTTTTGTGGTAAACTGGTAATTGCAATGAATGACTTATACTAATACTATTTCAAACCGATTTTACCATTGCTTCTTTAAAAAGTTATTCACATGAATTTTTCAGATCATTATTGCTGGATGGGAATCTATTTCGCAATCCTAGGCCAGCTATTCTCTCTAAAGGAACACTTGCTTTATTGGAATTTTTGCGAAGTCGTATTACACAAAATTAAACTTCTCAGAAATGCTTGTTATTGGTTCAACTCTGTATTATTCGTGTTTTAATTAAAATGTTGATTTTTTTTACAATTTGCAATGAAATAAAACAACTTTTATATAATTTTTGTTCTTTGTCCATTCTATAGGTTTGTTAATGAATTCAATTTATAAAAAAAAAATATGTTAAGTCCTACTTCATTAGTACTTTTTCCCATTTTTTTATGTTAATATTTAATTAAAATTATTTTTGTTTCGTTTTTAGCAATACTTTCAAATGATATTTTTATAATCCTTAGATGTCTAAACTAATTTATTTAAAAGCAATGCAGTTTTTAAAAATTAGTGATCAATGGTTTATTTTCGAAAATAAAATAAGGTGTATGTGTATTCATATTTTTAGCACTTGATAAGTCACTGAATTCTCTTGAGTCTTCACCAAAAAATTTATATTATGGAAAAACAGAATAAAATAGGACTTTGAAGTTGAAATTGATGATATTCTGGCAAATGAGAATAGTTAGTCAAACTATTCTGTTTGTTTTTTTTTTTTGTTCTTTTTTTTCCGTATAAATCATAAAAAAGAATCGTAAATTTTGTAAAGAAACAGAATATTTAAATACAAAACTGAAAATTCTGATGCCATTAGTTTTCTTCTTTTTTTCATAATTTAATTTTTTTCCAAAATACAAGAAATTATAACAATATCATCTTGGTTAAGAGTGTTACTTATTGCTTGTGCTAAATTCGTCATTTGTTCCTTCATATCTTTTTGTATTCAAATATTGCTGAGAATTTGTATTAATTTTTAACTTAAATATTGACGCCTTTTATTTCTGACAGAAGTGAAGATTCCTGACTGGCCATGTAGGACTTAAATTTTGAGAACGATATAATTTTATATGTAAGGTTTATTTACGAGCATTGAGTTATAATTTCAGGTGGGTTTGAATATACAATTTGGATAAATTTGACTAATAGCGTCACACTAATAAACTAATATATATATACTAATAAACTATTGGGTGATTATGTCATTTTCACTGCATCCGAGTTTATTGACGTTAAGTCTATACCTGTACATTTCACATCAGCATGATATAATTTTCTAACAGAAGGAATGAAAATATTTAAGAATCTGGAGCAATGTATTCGTTTTCAGGAATGATCTAAAAACAATACTGGGGCATGCATTCACTATATGGTGACACATATTAGATGATGGTTGTAATCATTTGGAGATTGTCTCACATTACCTAATTGCTGCTTATTTGATGAGCACGCTTAGAGTACTATTTTAAAGCATCCTACTTATGCGTCTGCTTGAGTAGTTTCTATTCATGCATTTTCTAATCACTCGCTGTCTGTTTATGCCACACTTACAGGCTGTAAATGGCACTGGCTGTTACTCCTATTGCATTTTATTTGCAACTTGCATATCCATACACATAGAGTGTGGCAACTCAAGCCACGAATAAGGTTAAATCCCCACAAAAGGGATTTCTACTTGGCGTCTTCCCTAACCGAGGGAGAATTCAATCAGATTGAATCTTGAACTGGCGGGATAAACATCTCGTGAAATCGGAAAAATCCGATTTGAATGTATAATGCACAATCAGAAAATTTTTATGTTTATTTGTGTTTATGTTTAGTGTTCCTATTATTCTGTTTAATAAATATATAAAAAAGAGAAATTTGGAAAATTATTACAATTTCAACGGAAGGCTATCACTATTGAATAATGCAACCTACAGGCTTGAAAGATAAATAAAAATTACATAGAGTGCTATAAAAGGTGCCCTGCATAAGTAGTTTTTTTCACGTGTGTCGTACCGTACGCAAGCAAACCAGATGTTCACACACCGTCTGTTAATGTGATACATGCTGGCTGTTGGGGATCATTCAAGTTGCATCTGACTACCTTACTCGTGTGTAAGTACTTCTAGATACTATCTAGGAGCATTCAAACTGAATGCGGTAGCTGCATTTTCCATTGTTGTCATGAGACAGATGGAACTTAATTGCTAAGTTTTTTCTAGTGACATCATATTTCTCCAATCGGGCTGTCATATTTTCTCGGCAGTGATTAACGTTGGTGAGTTCATCTTGTGTTATTCTAATGAAGCATTTTCACACTAGATGCAATTAAGATGCTTGCATGAAGGTTTAGAAACTATACGTAGGACGAACTGCCCTTGCAGGACCGATCCGTGCCGATTTTCATGTGTATGCATAAATATTTTTGGAGACCTCTTACTTTAAGAATAGTAATAAATATGTGCGGAATAAAATAAATTTTAGTCAATCTACAATTTTTTTTTTTTTTTTTTTTACAAAAATGCGGTACAAGCTACTCATATAATGTACTTTTATTTAAATTCGATAAAGCAAAAAAATGTCCTTCCCTTAGCGATTTCAGTAGAGCAATCAAAATATCAGATATCTATGTATTATATCTACATTTTTATCTACTTATGATTTATGCCTGGTATTCTCAAATGAAAAAATATTGTTTGCATACAATTATAAATCTTACCTTTTTATATTTTGAAATTATTTTATTTGATAATGATAAAAATAATTGGATAATAAATTATATAATAATTTTGTTTTACTTTTTCATGACGAAATACAAGACATAAACGAAATATTGCTAAAGCCTCAAAATTGCCCAAATTATACATTAGATTATTCAGGTATATGCAGATGTTTCTTACTTGATTATGTGAATTCACTGCTAAATATTTATTATAAACATTAGTACATTTCTTTATTTCATTCATCCACCCCCATTCATAATTTTTTCATGGGCTGTTTTGTACAGCGCGTCTTGAATAATCGTGTAAAATTTAATGAATAAAGGTAGGATCACTTCAAACACATATCACAATTAACCGACTTTAAAAAATCAGATTTTCATACATTCTGATCAGTATAACATTTCAAAAATACCTGTTTCTGACATTTTGCTTAAAAATAAAAATGATTTTTATCAATCCGATATTTCAATTTTGTAAACAAGATAGCAAAGAATTTTTAATAATGTGGACATTTACATAAGTAAATTAAAATAAGAAATAGTTATTGTTCAATTGTATGTAAAAAATACATTGCAAATTTTTTTTACAATATATTGTACAATTTAATGTAAAAAAATGACATTTCCGGTACATCTAATATGATATCAAAAAGGATTGATCGCAAAAACTTAATGAATTAATAAAAATTAAAAAGAAAGATTAATGTGATAAATGTCATAAAAATAAATGTCTTAATGTCTCAAAAATAAAGTCAAAATTTGACGCTTTTAAAAATTTTCAAAATTTTTATGGAATGTAAGAATAAAAAGTAAATACAGTGATATAATTTTAAATTTTTTTATATTTAGGACATTTTTTTAAAAAAAATTTTATTAAGAGAACATTTTTAAGAAAGCGAAATTAAACTGAACTAAAATACAAATGTAATTACTACATTTTGAAACGGGAAAAATAAAAGCAATGTGTTGAACTTTTTCTGAAAAACAATTATTATATATTTAAGATTATACTTTATCGATAGGTGAGGTTAAAAACAATATTATAATTTCTAATTTTTTGAAATTTGACACAATTTTAAGTTAAATATTTAGAAAATTAAGGCACAAAAATATAGAAACACATAAAATTTTGAAATCTCAGGGATAAAATCACAAAATTAAAGAATAATTAACCAATGATTTCAATTTAAATTAGAAATGTTTGAAATCACAAAAAAAGGTAAAGAAAACACAATAGATGAAGAAGAGGGAAATTATTTAATAATTAATTAAGAAAATCAGTACTAATCTAACAGGTTCACATTATTTCATACTAATTTTTAAGTTTTCATAATTTTTCTTAAAATCAAAGCGTTATTAACAAATTATATTGTAATGGTAAAAGAAAAAAAAACAATATTATTATAAAGCTTTTAATTTAAGTGAAAATTTATAAAATTATTATTCAACTTGAAGGAAAGTAAAAAATTTTGTATTTACTTTTAGAAGGAAGCAAAAAGTAACTTGAATCTGAAATTGCTAATATACTCTCAGAATTTGAAAAACTAATAAAAATTTTAGATGGATATTTTCTTTAAATTACACCCTTGATGGATATTACACCCTTCCTCTAATTATTAATTTATGTTAATGTTAATGAAATAACATGCCATGGTAATTGTTAATTTTTCTGAAAAATTCGAACCACCTTTCGCTTATTTATTTTCTTTAAAAATTTAGACTTCTTTTTTTTTTTTTTTTTTTTTTTTTTTTTTTTTTTAATAGACCAATGTACAAGGTTGTTGCACCAATAATTGCAATTTCCCATTTTTCTTTTAAAAAAAAAAACGCTTTCCTTCAAAAAATAATTTTTCTTAGAACATTTTGGGAGGTGAAATTATTATAAGCGAGCCGCTCCTCTCTCTTCAAAGGTTTTTTTTTTTTTTTTTTTTTGTAGAAACATTAAAGGAAACTTAACATTAGTCTCTATCAGTGACAGCTATCTGTATCTGCAGATCGTAACTTATCAGGGTAGAATATCATCGGCACTCTTGAAAGAATCTAAAACAAGGAATGCTGCATTGCTCCATAGTTTGAAGGGTTATTTTGTTACCTGACTATTAATATTTAAACATTTTATTATAAGAAAATAAGTACACTTTAACTTTTATTTTTCAGCAAGCAAACGAAAAAAAAGCTTTTATAAGGAAAAAAAAAGTTTTATTATTATTATAATGCTTGACTCAGGCACTCCCTTACTCGTCGCCCTACGCAGCCGCTTACTGGGTTTATACCTAGAACCGACCCTGTGCATACGCATGCGTGAATCACATTATACATATGTTAGAGCCGTGATAGCTCAAGGGATACAACGTTCGCCTTTCAATGAAGTGAACCGGGTTCGAATCCCAGCGATGGCTGGTCGATATGAATTCCGCATACGGCTTGCACCAGCAATAATGCTGACACAAAATATCATCAATAATGGACGTTTCATGGGTTAGAGTCCCTTTGTTGTCAGGCTATCCGTAAGAGGTTTTCATGGTTTTCTACTTCATGTAACGCAAATGCGGGTTAGCTCCATCAAAAGTCCTCCACGAAGGTAAATTTCTCCCAATATTGGTTCCAGGAGTTCCCTAGTCTTCTGGATTGGGTTCAAAATTACAAGGCTATGGAGTTGAACATTAGTAGTCGCAAACTCAAAAAGTTGGGTTGGCTGATCAATGACGTCTATAAAATAAAATAGACATTTGCGAATCGTATCCAATGAGAATGTTTTATATCACAAAAGAGATCATCATTCATTCACGACTGGTTTTCGCTAAATCTGCCGGGTTTACAAGTCCTTCAAGTTCCATAGCAAATCAATACCTCTGGCGGTACTGGATCAGAAATTGATCATGCTCTGGGTTAAAATTATAACCTGCGAATGATTGGATGTGGTGTGTGAATTTGTCTTTCCTGTAAAATTGGATGTGACGCATGTATTTTGTCTCCACGGGTCATCCCGGTCATCCTCAGGGTTGTTAGACCGTCGCCACGAACCCATTGCGAAATTTGCATTTATAGGCAAAAATATTTTAAGCAGTGAAAACAGTGCATAAATGTGCTCATGCTGTTTTTTTTTTTTTAAAGTTAACTGTAACTTTGTTTAAAAAGGTTTCGTTTTCTGAATTTCGTCGTAAACCCTGTAAAAATATTATAATAACGCAAAATGCTTTGAACTTATTATTTATTTACGTCAAAAATGTTGCGTATTTTTACCCTCGATTGTTTTTATTTAATGTGTACCTAATAATTCTTTCTTTCTGATCTCATTATTTAGAATAATTGTTGTAATTGTTGATGTTATACCTGCTTTCTCCCGAAAGCTTGCATAGGTAAATTTTTAAATGTACCTTTTTCAATTTTTATTTTATTTCCTTTTTGTTGTTTTTGAGTATATTACAGTAAAACCGCTGTGGTTATACAAAATATTTTCTTCATGCTTATATGACTTAGGCTCTATTTATTATCTTTGGCTGTAGATTTGTTTGACTACTCTCTATACAATTTATTTTATGCATTTTATGTTATGAAATTTGTCAAAAATGCTGAGTAATATTGAAATTATCTTTAAATATTCTATTCTGCTCCTCTAAGTCTAAATTTACTTTCGTTAGTCACCTGTTGGTTTATTATACTCGAATTTTTTTAAAATCATAACTGCTTCTAATTTTCTAAAACAGCTTATATCGAAAATATCGCAGATATCTTGTTTATCTGTTATTCATGATAAGTCATTTGCATGGTTGTAGTGGCAAATTCAGTGGGTGGATGCTAAAAACTGTAACATTTTATGTATGTTAATCAAAATTATTGGGAATATTTTTGTATTGTTATCGATGCCAAAATAATCTCTAAAATTTGAAACTAGAAACGCCAAGCGAGAGACTAAAAAAGCAACAAAACAAACAATAAACTTCTGCAACTTTCTTTTTTAAACTTGCAAGTTTAAAACCAATTTGTCACTATGATAGTAGTAGTTGGAGCAACAGATTATGGTATGTAAATATCCCCAAATTTCTTAAAAACTGCATTTAGTTTAAGATGTTTGACATCAAAGGTGAAGTTTTAACTATTCGCATTAAATTCATAACAAAGTTTTATGGTGCCTTAAAAATATAAAATAAAAAGGTTGTTATTAACAAATCTAAACATCATCAGGGCTGCGTGTAAGGATTGGCGAACTGGATCACCACCCGGGGCCGCTAAAAATTCAGGACTGATGAACAGTTTTATTACAAGTTTTTCTTTACATTTTCTAAATCCTGTATGTATTTTTACTATTCTTTGGATTTACTATTCATGCAAGTTATTGTAATATATATTTACAATTGTGTCTAATTTTATTTCAGTTAATGTTCCTTTTTATCAGAAATGTAATTTTTGAAATAACAACAGGGAACTTTTTGTTAACTTTCAACTTTCATGTCATAGAAATTTACTGCATTAAGAACTACAACTATTACCAATTTGTGTGTGTGAGGACGACAATCTGTAAGAACTGCTGCAGAAAATGTCAAGAAAAATAATAAGCAGGGTTGGCATGTTTTAAAAATATGTAATTAAAAAAAATCATAATAAATTTATGATTTTTTAAGATCATAAATTTATACTGTACTACATTATATAATAATACTGCATGATAATAAACCATTGATGTCAAATCTCTGATAATAAATGTTTTATTCATAGAATTAAAGAGTAAGTTAATAAATTAAAAAGAAATATATCTTTTTGTTTGTTTGTTCAAGAGGTTCTTTTAAATTATAATTTTTCATTATTCATTTCTTATCAGTTTCATATTTTAATGTGCGCTTTGTAGTATGTAAAGTAATTTGCTGTTTTATTATTTATCAATAAATATACACAATTACTGTACACATTAAATTATATACATATTTATTTCAATACAAATAATTTGGAAACTTATTAAATGTGTAGTTAGGCTATCTACTTGTAAATAAAGAATAAAAACTTGTTTTGCAAATATTTTATTTTTTAAAATTTTTTCAGTTCTAAATTAAATAACTTTTTATTTGACAAGTTTGTTCTCGGCTTTTGTAATTCATTAATGTTTTTAGTTAGATGAAAAAATAACTGATTTAATTTATTCAGTAATTAGTTGCAATAATTAAATAATATTAACCTTTTTATTATTAGTGGCATTAAGAATTATAGTTGCAGTATTATTGTTAAATAATATGAAGTATTATATCTACATTTTGTCATAGTTTTAATTGTTTAATGCGAAAACAATTTTTAGAAAAATCTCATTGAAGTAACAAAAATCCAAAGTTTAATATGTGCTTAGTTAAACAAAACGTGATTTTTATTAATCATGATAAATTACTTTAATGTTTCACCCAGGGCCACTAAAACCCAAAGCAAGCCCCTGAACATTATACATAGTTATTAATTTTTATTTCATTTCAAAGTGAGGTTCCTTAAATGGTTGCTTTAAATTTATGCTATTAAGATTGAATAGAAAAAGTCAATTGAAAATGTGGTGTATATTCTTGGCAGGTGGCTAAGTATTTTGCATTAAATATGCTTCAAATAATATCAAGAAATAATATTGCATTGAAAACTTTTAAAAAATATTCTAAATCTAATTATATGCATAAAAAATTGTTGCATTAAGTGGATTTCACAACAAATGCTACAATTCTAAATTTAATTACACTTTAACATTTATAAAAATGTAATTTTATCAAAAAACCAATGTTGGTATGTTTTTACTACACCTCTAGTTATTCACAAACTGTAGTTTATGTTAATATAATCTCACTTATGATATTTAATTTAAAACGAGAATGTGTGAAGAATATTTTGGAAATGCAATAAAGGCATAAAAAAAATTTTTTTTTGTTGCTCTGAACTGCTTTGGTGTTTTTTGTAATTTTTTTATTTAATATTTTTTTATACAAAATTTAAATTTGTATCTTAATTAAATCTCAACTTTCTTAATAGCAAAAAGCAATTTTTTGTGGTACATTCAATTAAATTACTTGTTAAAGTATTTTCAATCATTATTTGTATGAAGTAATCTCATTATGATCATAGGCAGTAGAAGCCTATTGTGAAATAGTAAAACACTTTTAAAAATATAAAGCAATTATTTCCAATAGGCTGCTTGTTACAGTTAATAAAAATCAAGTGGGGTTAGAAGGGAGTTATTTTTTTCTCTTTGAAGTTAAAATCAGTTAACTATGACAATTTAGCACCTTTTGACCTTTTATTTACTTTACTCACTTCACAAAATGTTTGAGTTTTCATAAATTCACTTTCTATGCACAGTTGCTGTGGCACATTTCTCAGTGAGGGAATGCTGAAAATTCCAACATTTTGTGTACTCATTTAAGAAAAAAAAACACTAATAACACTCAGTAGTGTTATAAAACTTTTGTTTTGAACTGTATTTGGTATAAAATTCTTTAAATGATAACCATTTTAGACTAAGTTTATTTTTATGTAGATTTTTGGAGGGTAGCTTTACTTTTTTTTGTCAAATAAAGCAGCTGCAAGAAATGATACTGCACGCAAACTTTAATTACACATAAAATACAGAAAAAAAATATACAAATTTTAAAATAAATGGATAGAAATTTACTATCAATAAAAAAATGCCAAACCAAAGAATAGCAGGGATGATTTTATTGAAAAACCTGTAAAATATACCTGTGGGGATAGTGTTATCGACCATGCCAACCTTTTTCTATCAAAAGATACCTGAAGATTAAATCAAGTTAGCATGTCTTATATGCTAGTGAATTGATGTTTAATAATCATAGTGGTAGTTGCACCACAATGCTCCCCCACCAGAATTTTATCAGGGATAGAATTCGATGAACAGACGACCACAAGTAGTTGTATTTGCCAAAGGATGGGAGAGCTTTAGCACTTGTCGTGAAAGCCGTATTAAGTTCACAGTTGTGTCTGTAGTGTCTTCTGTGTTGCTATTAGCATTCGAGTGTACCCCAAGATTGAATTGAGTTAGCATGTGTTATATACTAGTAAATTAATGTTTAATAATCATAGTGGTAGTTACACCACATACCTATTCCCCTCATATTCCCCCCATTTCAAATCTAATCCTATTGGACACTCAAGACTTTTGGATTTCTGCTATAAAGTTATCTTTGGATTTAAATCTGTAGTGGCAAGATATAGCAAAAATTATTATAAAAAATATTTTTGTTTGGATATAATTTATTCTCTTTGCTTACCTTTCTACAATCCTTTTTCATTTATAACTTTCTACCAAACATTAAAATAACATGATGTAGAATTATTATAAACCGATTAAAAATTAATACTTTTCATGGTTGTCAATGTCAGGAGAATATGATTTTGTTACAAATGAATTATTTAAAATTTGTTTAAGGGAAAAAGAATTCCTTTTTTATTTCAGGCTTTTGTCCTATATGAATCTCCCTTATTTATAATAAAGACTTTGATATTAGAGTATATTTCATTATATTTTTGTACTGAAATAGGTGATAAGTTTCTTTATTATTTATATATTTGATTGTATTATTTCAGTCAGGATCTGGTGCTTTCATGTTTTATCAGCTGTCTCTATGTTCATTCAGGTGGAACCTGTCAGAGCCTCAGTTCTGGATGTATTAGTCTGTTGTGTAGATATGGTTGTGAGTAAATTCTATTTATGACAGTTGTGAATCTTTAGCTTGCATTTAACTATAAAATTCCTAAAACAATAGGTGGTTTAAGTGCTACATCATTTTGAAACATAATCATTAATTTCTTTTAAGTAAATAACTGTGTGAGAATAAGTTTATACTGTATTAGAGTCATTAAGACACTTTATGAAAGACTAGGGTTCTATCCTTAGTATAGCGGTTTAAGGCCTCCTCAGCTTTAGATCAATGGGCACCAGCTTGTCTTGGAAGTAAAGGAGGTTGGTGTTCTATGCTGATCTCATTTTATGTGCACCTGGTTTTGTAACCCTCAGGATATGATCACAAAACTTTAACCTTCATTATCCTCCTTGCCCATTGCTTGCTTTTTTTATAGAATTTTGCTTTATATAGAACATTTCAGATATCTTTTGACTTATACCTACTAAACACGGCAACTTTATTAATCTAAGACAGATCAATCATAAAATGTTTGAAAATAATTTTTAGATACAATGACTTAAAGGCACAATAATTTGAGCTTAAGTATCATTTACCCCCCCAAGAAATTGAAATTTCCTAGAGCATTAGAACTTATAATAAGTTTATCAATTTTAATTTGGTTAGCTTTTGAAATTGTAACCTCTTAACAAATAATATAACAATTAATGTAAAAAATATAAGGTTCTTGATTAGTTACAGAAATTTGTTCAATGGGATTGTTATTGTTTACAACCCACAAAGTTAATCTGGTTTATGGAAGATTGTAGTTTCTAGAATTGTGTTATATCCATTTTTAACTCTATTATATTTCTATAATTTATGTAGTGTAATTTAAAAGCTCACTACAGGTGTTTTTTCCCCCAGCTTAACACCGAATGGGTGCAGATTGAAGCAATAGACTTAAATAGTGATGGTTCTTCTTGGGGATTTGGTATAACTGGTGGTAGGAGCACTGGTGTTGTGGTGAAAACTATAGTTCCTGGCAGTGTTGCTGATAAAGTAATTCTTTGTTTCATTTATCCTATTCTTATTAAAGTAACTTTGCTTAAGTTCCTGCATGAAACAAAGAACATATAGTTAATTTATTTCTTTTTATGACATTTTAACCCCTATGTCACCTGATAAGTAGTAATATAAGTACACAGATAACATCAAATGGAATTTCTCATATAGCTACTTTTTTTATTCCCTAACTTGCTGTGCTAAGCATATTAAATTTCTATTTGTTTTAGTGAAATAAAGTTTTAAACCATTTTGTTACACATATATTTAAGCTTGCTTGCTCAATAATGGCATGCCTAATGCACAACAAATGCTACAAACATTTTGGGTTGTCATTTTTATGTATAATTTCAGTTATATTTATTAGTGTGACTGATTGAAGTATATATATGGATGATTGTTAATTTCATAAAGCAGTCAATTCCTAATCAGAAAATATCCATTAATATACTCAGAAATTGTTTTTTCTTCTTTGTGATACACTTTTTGTTAAGAAATTAAGTGTTAAAAAAGTAATTTCTAATAAATTTTGAACAAAGAGTAAGTAAATAATTTTTAAATCAAACTTCTAACCTTCTGGAAGTTTAACAAACCAGTTACATTTTAATATTTTCGACAATTTAATAGTTAAACAGTGTGGTATTTATTATAATTATATTCTAACTTTGTATAACAATTTAAAAGCATTGTTTTGACCATCTTAGAATATAAATGATATACTTTGACTTTTTCTCTTTCAGGATGGCAGATTGCAGATAGGCGATCACATTATCCAAATTGGAGACATAAGTCTTCGAGGTATGGGTTCAGAACAAGCTGCCATGGTTTTAAGACAATGTGGTTGTCAAGTCCATCTTATAGTTGCTAGACCTGTTGAATCTAACCCCCCTAAGGAAAATCTAATTTCAAGTGCTTCTGCTATCGTTCCTACCCGTATTCTTAATGAACCAGAAGAGTTAGAACAACAACTTAATTTATACCAATCTGGATCAAATGGTTTTCCTGATTCTATGTTGACAGATATGTATTGTCAGGAAACTCCGGCCTTAGTGAGTGTTTTCTTTGATGTATAGTCCACTAAAAAGTAGGCAGGGGTTTCTTAATGGTAACATGTTGTGCTTTTAGCTGGTATCAAACGTTAGTTCATTATTAAAAGTAAAAATGAATCTAAGCTGTGATACTTTTTGAGTAATTTGTGCGGGAAATAGGAGAAAGTCAGGAGCTAAGAAAATCACAATATCTAGATGCCTAATATGCTTTTTATGATATTTCAAACTCTTCTTTGCCAAGCTAGACTTTTAAATATACTTTTTATTCCAAAAATATAGTTCGTCATTTTTCTAAGCATTGGTATTTCCCCATTTATTCAGGAGACAACTATGAAAAAGATTTATATAATTTTAAATGTTTTTTTCAATCATTGTTATTTAATAAATATTATTAATTTTAATTAAAAGAAACTGTCATTTTCAAAAATTTATTAATAGTACTTAAAAACAGATTGTAGGTATAAGTTTTATGTTTATATGTTTTTGTTATAAATTTATTTAAAGATAAATGACGTAAAAAACATAACATAAAATCTTGATTTCATTCCAAATATTTGCTTTTTCTTTGTGATCTTTTTTAATCTAAGTAATTAATGATTCAATTTATAAATTTTCTCACTTGTAACAGGTTTTCAATTAGATTCAGTAAAGTATAATTATGTGTAATGTATGAGTTCTCAATCAAAACTAAAAGTATTGAGTAATTGCATAGTAATTAAAGTATACCTGATTATATGAATATAAATCAAAAGTTTTTGATATTTTTTGCTTAAGGTAACTTGTGACAAAATTTAGTTGTTAAATGAAATTGTTAAAAACTTTCATAATTTATATTCATAGGTTCATAGAGATTCTGTAATATATAGAGGTAGAAGTGATAAAATGGATATGGAAAGTTTTGAAGTCAACTTGGTGAAGGATCATCAGGGATTAGGCATTATTGTTGCTGGCTATGTATGTGAACGAGGTAAATTCAGATAACATACTTGTTGGAAACAAAATATTTCCTTTTAATAGATTTATTTTTACTGTGATAATCAATTGTTTCTTTCTATAACTATATACTTTTAATAAAGCTGGTTTCAAATATATTATATTTATAATAAAGTCAAACCTTGATTCTGGAATTTGTCAATAACTTGGAGAAAAAATTTCCTTTGCACTCATTTTCAAAAAATCTTATGTTCTTTTCCTGTTAACTTCAGTTTTTTTTACCACAATTGAAATTGTATTTTTATCCTAAAGGGGAAAAGAAGAATAAACAATTACAAATTTCTAAAGGAACACTTTTTTAAAAAATTGGAAAAATAGTTTCATGTGATTCCAAATTCTTTATTGTACATTGTGTTATGAATAATACAAGCAAAAGTATTTAAGTATTGTAACAGTAATATCCACTTTCAACTTAGCTGGAAATTTATGGCCACTGTGTTTTATTTATTTTTATTTCATATCTTATTTATTGTTAAAAAATGTCTAGCAAATTTAAAATAATATATTTAGTTAAAAAAGGCACTTATTTCTCAAAAATTCAAATGTACGCTACTACTCTTTAAATTCAACTACTTTTTGCCTCTCTGCTTTCTTTTCTTTTTTAATTTTTCACCAATAGCATGCAAAATCAATGTGATAACATGTAGCTGTTGCTTGTTGCTTCCATCTATTTCTGTATAATACATATTTTACAAAAAAAGGGAGATGAAAATTAGCTCATGGTCACAAAACGAACATTTCAGAGCTAAGTTTTGACCATTTCTTTATTTTATGCAAAATATACATATCGTTATGTATGCAATATGTTACGACTATGTGTCATCTTGTATCAATTAAAAAATATTATTTTGTCTTTGTCTCTTGCTGTTTGTTAGTACGCTAAATATAATTGTATTGCTGTGTACTTTTTAGAGGACATATCTGGTATCTTTGTTAAAAGTATTGCTAAAGGAAGTGTTGCAGACTTATGTGGCCAGATACGAGTTCATGATCAGGTTGTAGAGGTAACAACAATTGTCAATGTATTTATTTAAAAAACAATTATTCTTATACAAAGTGTTACTAAAGTCTGCTAATAAAACAAGAAACATTATAATAAAATAGTTTAGTGCAGAACACATGACTCTTAAATTCATTGATTAAACCAGAAAATAATAACTCTTTAATTGTTTAAGAAATGATTATTTGCAACTTATGTTTAATTTTGAAGAGATTATGTTGCTCTTTAAAATGTAGTTCTAGAATGTTGTTCGCTATCAAGTTAGCAAAGTTCTCTAAACTGATATATTCTGTTTCTAATTTTCTCAAACGAACAAAAAAGTTCTGCTCAATTATCTGTGCTAAATGAGTTTCAACCCATGTTTCTTAAGATATATATATATATATGTAACATAAAAAGCTTCAATTAATCTTTTTATGTTAGTTTCTCTGCTATAAAACTTCTTCCTAATTAATTATTCTATTTGAAATACTTTCTCACACTTTTAAAAGCCACATCCTGTTCTTAAATCTATTTTTGGCTCAACTATGCATTTAATTAAGAGCAGGACATTTTTCCCTTTGCTCTTGTGTGGGAAACGTTCGATCTATCTCATAAACCAATAGCAACTACTAAGATTTCCCTCTTTCCCTAAATTAAGACATTTTACGGATTTTACTTTGCAAGATTTTCCCTAACATATAACCAAGGAGCGCAACTTTTCGTGTGCNATATATATATATATATATATATATATATATATATATATATATATATATATATATATATATATATATATATATATATATATATATATATATATATATATATATATATATATATATATATATATATATATATATATATATATATATATATATATATATATATATATATATATATATATATATATATATATATATATATATATATATATATATATATATATATATATATATATATATATATATATATATATATATATATATATATATATATATATATATATATATATATATATATATATATATATATATATATATATATATATATATATATATATATATATATATATATATATATATATATATATATATATATATATATATATATATATATATATATATATATATATATATATATATATATATATATATATATATATATATATATATATATATATATATATATATATATATATATATATATATATATATATATATATATATATATATATATATATATATATATATATATATATATATATATATATATATATATATATATATATATATATATATATATATATATATATATATATATATATATATATATATATATATATATATATATATATATATATATATATATATATATATATATATATATATATATATATATATATATATATATATATATATATATATATATATATATATATATATATATATATATATATATATATATATATATATATATATATATATATATATATATATATATATATATATATATATATATATATATATATATATATATATATATATATATATATATATATATATATATATATATATATATATATATATATATATATATATATATATATATATATATATATATATATATATATATATATATATATATATATATATATATATATATATATATATATATATATATATATATATATATATATATATATATATATATATATATATATATATATATATATATATATATATATATATATATATATATATATATATATATATATATATATATATATATATATATATATATATATATATATATATATATATATATATATATATATATATATATATATATATATATATATATATATATATATATATATATATATATATATATATATATATATATATATATATATATATATATATATATATATATATATATATATATATATATATATATATATATATATATATATATATATATATATATATATATATATATATATATATATATATATATATATATATATATATATATATATATATATATATATATATATATATATATATATATATATATATATATATATATATATATATATATATATATATATATATATATATATATATATATATATATATATATATATATATATATATATATATATATATATATATATATATATATATATATATATATATATATATATATATATATATATATATATATATATATATATATATATATATATATATATATATATATATATATATATATATATATATATATATATATATATATATATATATATATATATATATATATATATATATATATATATATATATATATATATATATATATATATATATATATATATATATATATATATATATATATATATATATATATATATATATATATATATATATATATATATATATATATATATATATATATATATATATATATATATATATATATATATATATATATATATATATATATATATATATATATATATATATATATATATATATATATATATATATATATATATATATATATATATATATATATATATATATATATATATATATATATATATATATATATATATATATATATATATATATATATATATATATATATATATATATATATATATATATATATATATATATATATATATATATATATATATATATATATATATATATATATATATATATATATATATATATATATATATATATATATATATATATATATATATATATATATATATATATATATATATATATATATATATATATATATATATATATATATATATATATATATATATATATATATATATATATATATATATATATATATATATATATATATATATATATATATATATATATATATATATATATATATATATATATATATATATATATATATATATATATATATATATATATATATATATATATATATATATATATATATATATATATATATATATATATATATATATATATATATATGTATCCCTTTTTATTAGCTTAATTCAAGAATATCTTATGTGCAATATAATTGATTTTGTGATAATACAAAGTTTATACTTCAATTTTATTGATTTCACATTTAGGTTGATGGCCACCCTTTAAAAGGTTATTCTAATTGTGAGGCTGTGGAAATTTTAAGGAATACTGGAAAGTATGTTAAACTTCAATTAGCTCGGTACAATCATGGTTCAAAGTTTGAACATTTGCAAGAAGCAATGGGTATAGTATAGAAACACTTTTTTCATTCTTATAGTTTTTTTTACTTACTATATTCATGATATTAATTCTAAGTAATTATTTCAACATTTGATCTAGTATAAAAACAGAATTACTTCATTCCGATTTATTTTATGATTCAGTTAAGAAAATTGTTTTTAATATTTATGCATTTTTCTCTAAACTCTTCGAACTATTAACTAAAAATGTTTTTTATTTCATAGCTACTAATTTTGAGCTGACAAAAATATTACCTCAGATTTCTTTCCATTAATGTTCATTAAGGTTCAATAAAAGTCATTAACATTAGGTATTTTACTCATTGTTTTAATTTAGGAGCTGAAAGAATACATAATGCATATGATTGCACAACTTATAGGAAATCATTAACTACTTCCATTTCTGATAATAGTACGTATTCAAAACACATTTTTTCTATGTATTTATTTTTATTTCCTTCAAAATATATCTTTTTTTTTTACATTTATGTATGCTATGCAAATAATGATGCATATATTTTTATGTGTAGAAAATGAATAAAAATTTATTATGTACTCATAAATTATTATAGATGTAAATCGTCATATAGTTAAATGCTTAAATATAAAATATAAAAACTTTATTATATAATAATAAAATACTAAATATTTTCGCCCCAAGATGTTAGTTTTTAAAGGTGTTTATATTTTTATAAGTTATAATTTTAAGTCGCATTTTTTAAAATTATAATTTTAAGTCACAAATTTAAGAAAAAAATGCAATGATCAATTGAGCTAATTTTGTGTTTTTACATTTGTAATTTACTCAAAATCTGTTTTTCTTTTTTAATTTTAAATTTTTTTAACTGCAGACTTTCCTGTGCAATTTCCAGTTGAAGAAATAAAATCAAAGTGGGAAAAATTGCTAGGACCTCGAAGTGAAGTTATTGTAAGTTACTACTTGTAGTAGAAATAGTGTTAATAAAAATTTGATTTTTTATCTTTTATGTCGACAAGATAGACAATTACTATTTCTCATTCATTGTAGCTTAGTACCTTGCAAAATAAATGCACACATATATGGACATGATAATAGTTATTTCATATCTATTTTAGGTTAGCACTTTGCAAAAAAATGACAACGAAATAGGGTTTGGACTAAATGTTGAAACTAAATGGGACGGCTGTTCTTCTCTTCACCATTTTATTTCAGATATTTGTAAAGATTATTCTGTTGATAGGAGTGGGATGTTTTTTATTGGAGATGAATTATTAGAGGTATATTTATTAACCATTTCTAACTTGCTAAATATGTATTTGAAATATTAAATATAAGCCCTGAATTGCTTGCTTTGATTTATATGCATAGGTTTATGATCCTTTTTTCCATTACAACTCAGAGCATAGTTTCGAAACAACTTAAAATTCTTGAACGTTTGCTGAAACATTAAATTTTGTTTTTTGTTAGAAATTTTGTCTAGAAATATTTTTTTTAAATACACCAAAAAATTCACAACAAGAAAGTTTTGAATAAAGTTTAACATTTAGCTGCTGTTTTATAGAAGATATTGAATGTCAATCCTTTTCTGCAAACCAACTGTGCTAAATCATTAGGCAAAAATGTTTGCCTAAAGGGCCAACATTTAAGTGAAGAATGTGAAGATTTTGATCAAAATCAATTTCAATGCCTACTCCAAGGTCGGCTGAAAGAAACACTGTCTTAAAAGAATATTTTAAAATCTGATGTTGAATATATAATTTTAAAGAAATTCTCACCAGTTTTAAACTTCTGATTCCCTGACATTTTTCCAACCTAGTTAAGAAAATATACATTACAAATTTATTTGTTTTAATTAATAATTGGTCAAATAGTCCTCAAACCAAATAAATTGCAGATTGGAATATATTTATATATCTAAAAACCACGTAAGGGAAAAAAATAATAAAAAAGAAGAGAGATTAAAGAAGAAAAATAATTAGTTTCATTTACTGCACATGAAGTAGAACACATAAAATAAGTAAAAACATGATGAATACATGGAAAAAAATGTATAAATTTTTTAAACAAAAGAAAAAAAATCAATAAATAAATTATTTTTAAAAAAATATTTAAAAATTAAAAAGCCAGAAAACAATATAAGGAAAAGATATCTCTTCATCCGCTCACATGATTAGATCTGCAAAAAAGAGTGCATTTTAATATCGTATTAATATAGCCAAAGCAAAATATATCAATACTATATTGTGAAGAGTACCAAAAAGTTGATGCAAAAATGGAACATATTAAGCGAGAAACAGAAAATAAAAATCCAAGAAAATAAAGAATAAAACACAAAATGTAATGTATAAAGCAAGTAGCGATTTCAAATGTACTTACACTTTCTATTGACGAAAAAAAAAGTTTTTTAATTGTCTTCATAATATGTATACTTTTTTATTTTCTTACCAATATAATTTAAGAAAATGGGTCAATTCTTTACACTCATATGTACAAAGTAAAGTTCATTTTTTAAACAGCAATTTCTGGTGATGAAATTCTTTACGCTATTATGAAAACAGTGGTTGGTTCATTCTCTGATCATGTTTTAAAAAAGTTGATCGCTAAATTATGTATTTCAAAAAATAAAACAAAGAGAAAGCTTGTTATAAAATTTTCATTTTATCCTTTTGCCACAATTTTAAGTTACCTAAATATGGTTGAGATTCAGCGATAAAATCTCATTGATGGAAATCCCAACATATGGTACAAATTGGTAATGTAGAAAGATATTCCTCATTTTGAAACACTTTTATCATGTATTTATTATTCCATAACAAATATGCTTTGAGATGTGTTTAAACTTTTTCTCATATGTCAGATGTTGCTGATTTTTGGAAAATTTGAAATTAAAATATCAAGCAAATTCTTACAGAATTAAATAAATTATAAAAAATAATATAAATATCTAATTTTAGTTTTTTTTAAAACATGTTTATAAATTATTTGAATTTATATTGAGTAAACAGAACATTTTTCTGAGAAAATATAAAATTCACTATAAATAGAAAATTCTTTTTTTTTCCTTAAAAAAATGTAAAAGTGTTCCTGTATGAATTGAAATGTTTGTTTGTTGTTAGCATGCTAGTTTCTTGTATGTTGTAGTTTGTTTCCTTGTACAAATGGAGTGTTTAATTTTTGTTTAGGAAAATGCACTAGCAAATAAAAGTGAACTAAATATTTCATTTTCACTATTTTGAAAACATATCTATCATATCTAAATAAGTGTTAAATTATTTATTTTGATTGCTATTAAAAAATTATAAAATAATTTTTTTTAGTTAAAATATTTTTTAAAGGTATTTCAAAGTCAAATAGTATATATATGTTTTAAAAATTTCAGTTTTTAAAATTTAAAATTTTCGTTTTTAAATGGAAATTTTCTTTTAATTTTTAGGATAACATTTGCTTCCAGCAAATTAATTCAGAATAATAATAAGTGCTTAGTTTTAAATAGTTCTCTTCAATTCATGCTTGTAGAACTGTAATTTCATGCACAAAACATGATATGAAGATTAGTTTTTTAGATGTTTGCTATTGAATTTAAAAAGCAGAAACGACTTACATTGATAAATGAGTAGTTTATTTCATTACTTTTCTTTTATGCTTAATATACAAATTTGTCTTATTCAACTACATATTTCCAATTTTGTTTTAGGTGAATGGTCATCAGTTGCGGAATGCTGAATATTCAGAAGTGCTTTCCATTTTTAAGTCACTGCCTCCAAACATATATTTAGTGTGTGGGAGATCACATCATTGGACTAGTAATTTGTCTCTCATTCCATGGTCAGAAAGAATGGTGAAAGCAAAGTCCGACTCCTCCCTCTTGACCAAAAAGTTCTGTGAAACTGATTATAACAACATGAACAGAAGATCATTGGAAGTTTTGTCATCGCTTGCAACATGGAGCAGTGATCCACACTTCATTGATCTTATTAAGGGAGAGGAAGGGTTGGGATTCTCTATAGTGGAATACAAGGTTTGAAGTTGATTCAATTTTATTTAGTTTACTGTGGTTTAAAATTATAACATAGTGATTTTATGCAATGGAGGGCACCAAATTCAAATTATTCCTCTTCTTGGATTTACCCTTCAAAAATAAGGTGGTAGTAAAATTTTTTTTTTTTTTTTTTTTTTTTACTTTTGNTTTAATTTTTTTTTTTTTTTTTTTTTATTTCTTCCGTTAATAAAACAACTTTATATTCTACTGATAAAAATTATATTTTTGAATATGTTTTTTTTTCTTCTTCAGAATTTGATAAAAATAATTTGATAAAAATGTATTCAAATCCATTTTAAAAGAAGGAAAGGATTATTGAAACATTGAGTATCAAAAACGAAATGTACTTTTTATTTCAAAATTTGTCCAATTTAATTAAATGTCATTTTTGTTTGTTATTTTATTTTCATATTTTTAAAAATTTGTACATGAAAATTTAGAAATTTTAGAAACAATTTGCACCGAACTTTAGAAATTTTAAGAACCGATGTATATTGCTGATTAAATCTCGTTACTAATCATAGATTATGATTAAAAACTCATTCACATGACTTATTTTAAAAGGGGACAAATTGATAGAAATAGACAATTTTCAGTGTCTAGTAATTATTGGAAAAGGAATGCACTAAACTATATTAGTGAAATATTAGCAACCTTTAATGCATTTGGTTGTATATTATATTAAGGGTATGTTTTCTTTTTTTTACTGTCTATCTTTTTTTAAATACATGTTCAAACCTATATTTGAAAAAAGAATATTTTAATGGTAAAGAAATTTAAAAAAAAATCTTTTATTAAGATTATTATCAGTACAGTTTAGAAAGTTTTTGATTAAAGATATTTTTTCAATGTATGATTATTTTTATACATTCTATTTCTTTCCCTTAAAGTTTATTCAGAAAGTTTTAATCCACTTTGTACCAGATGCTTTTTAATTGTCACAATTCTTATACATAACAATTTAACAAAAAAAAGGCTTGTTGAAGTATACTTTATGAATATGTGATTACAATTATATTTATCAGTGTGTTTACTTGCCTTGATCAGGAAAATTTTTAATTTCTAAAAAAATTCAGGTAAATTTTGAGTCTCAAAAGAAAAGAAAAACATATCAAATATCAGAAAAAAAAATATTTTACTCTTATGCAATGAATTCTTTTTACACACTCTCCATGCTGATTTTTGATTTTACCCTCTAAAATTTAAGTTTCACCTGATCATTTTTTAATTAGTTGTCATGAGGTAAGGAAACTTCAGTGATAACTTCGATTTTCTTTGTATTTATAATTTTTAAGGCATGCAAAATGGCATTTTTTTAACAGCATGATTTTAATTGTATTTTTTGGTTTATTCATATGTTGCATGCATTTTTTTTAATTCAATTCTTTATATATTGACTTATTATTATTATTTTGTGCATGGATGTCTTGTCCAGTATGTGCATAAATGCAAGCTTGAACTATTTTGATTATGTCTTGAATGTTTAAATTTTTGTTTTTATATACTATTATGTATTTCACCTTTAGGTTGCATTGATATGGTTGGCTTTGACTTGTTAGCTGTAAATTTTCGGCATCTGACTATATTGTTTGGTATATTTTATTTTTTATTTACTATGCAATTTTATTATTTTATTTTTAAAATTTTAAATCAATTTAAAAAAGAAATGCTGGTTTTTGCTTAAAAAATATTTTTGTTTTATCAGATGCTTCTGTAGGCCTTCATTTTAAGTGTTTGAAAGATAAGCATAACACATGTTTAAAATAATTGGAATGTGTAGATAATATATCCTATTTATAAATAATTTGCTTAATGTCTTTTTCATTGCAAATGCAATTTTTATTTCACTTTTTTTCAAAATGTGTATTTTTTTTAGTTCAAAATCTTTTTATTTAATTCTAGTATGCTTAGTTTTAATTAAAAAAATTTCAGAACTAAATTATAGTTATCTAATTTTTTATTAAAGTAAGGTTTTTGAATTTTTTCCAAAACTGAGAAATAATATTAATCTGTACTGTAAAATTAAGCACATTTATAAATAACAGGCTTTGTTTTAGCTAAAAATATTTTAATCTTTATTGTTTTCTCCACTACGTGCATATTTTTTTGTTAAAATAAAACCTTACTCTATCATTATTTATGAATAGTTAATTTTTTTGTTTCGATTTCTGTTTTCTACTTGTGTAATGTTTTCCCAATTAGGGAACCTAATTACAAGACATATTTTTTAAGTGTTCCTTTTTTGTAATTATTTGAATTAAATAGATACTCAAAATATAACTCAAATGTATAAATATGAGTATTTTCATGATATCAAATGTGTTATTACCATTTAACCATAACCATAATTAAAGTTAGCATTTATGAGCAGCCTGCATCAAAAATTAGGCTATGGAAATTCATTAAAATCAAGTAATGGTTTAATTAAATTGTGAGAATTTTATTGAATTAATAAAATATAGTAAAAAATTTTATATTTTGTAAAATAATAAAATACTTTTATTGCTTAAGACTCATCTTCTATTTGTTTTTTATTTAAGGAAATATTAAAAAAAAATCAGTTTATAAAATATTATAAAAAAAATGAAAAGCAAAATTTAAAAAAAACCTAATCCTTTTATAAAATGCTTAAGAAAATGTATAAAAATATTTTCTATTAAAGTATAAAACTCCATTTGCTAGATTAAGTGGCAGTTTATCAAAAAAATATTACTATACATTTTTTTATGCTTATTAGATGATATATAAAATTATATGTATAACTCTAATTGATTTTGAATCTTTATTAGGCATTTTGAGACTCCTAAACTTATGTTTTTAATAGTATGCTTTGAACTTCACTTCTTCATTTTAACTTTAATTGGTATAATGTTGAATTTCTAGGACAATTTAGCTCCTACTGTCCAAGATGAAAATGTAATCATAATTTGGAGCTTAGTACCAGGAGCTGCAGCGCAACGAGATGGTCGACTCTTGCCTGGAGACAGGCTCCTATCAGTAAACAACATAAATTTCCGTCATACCAATGTTGATATGGCTACTCAAGTATTAAAACACCTGCCTAAGGGGGTTGTACGCTTAGGAATTGCTAAACCTACCACATTATCCAAAAGTGTTCCTTGTAAGGTTTGTATTTTATTTGTGGTTTTTAAATTTTTTTTTTTGTGTGTGTGTAACATTTTAGTATTTCATGATTTTTTTATACATTTGGAGTTATTTTAAGAATATAAATATGTTGTTGACTGTTTTATGGTATAATTTTGTATTTTATTTACACTTTTATTGTAGGTATCTTAAAAAAAAAAAACACTTAAATTAATTGGGTATCTTGTTCATTAAATTGTGCTGACAATTAAAAAATTTTAGGATTTCTTTTAATTTTTTAATTAATTCTTAATTTTTTGACATGGAAATCTTGAATTTCGGAAAAGTGGGTTAAAATGTTATTTTGAATGTAAATTTTATTTTTATTTCAATGGGACAGAATAAAATTTTTGAGTACAGTGGAACGTCGCGTATCCGGAATCGGTGGGACTTCCCGAAGTCCGGATAATAGATTTTTCCGTATAATACACCCCTAAGATAAACAAAGCTTAAAATGATCTAATAAACGATCTGAATCTAAGAAGCAAAAAATAAATAAACGTTATTTTTTGGGCAATAATGTTTTAGTATTTGAATGTGATATTTAATCAATCGAAAACAAAATATTAGAAAAAAAATAATTAGTGCTTAAAATTTAGAAAACGAAAAAAAATTGACAGTAGTAATGAAAATATTAATTTGCTCTATCCGCCATTTTGAACTAGAACGATTCAAGGAAGAAACGGGATTCCCCGTCATTCATTAAGGTGGGTAGGTGGGGGAGAAAAATCCATTCCCTCCTTATTTGTGTAGAGAAAATATGTGTAAAGAGATCATTCAAGTTGAGGGCGGGGAAGTTATCAATCAAGCGTTAGGGCGCGGCATGCTGATGGAGTTATCTTTATTTTTTCTTGTGGGACTGAAAGAATCACGTTAGTGGTTGTCAAAACAACGTTAAGGAAGGGCATATTAATTTCGCCTGGCTTAAGAGGGGGAGGATTGTTATCACTTGACAAGTTGAAAAGAAATCTTTTAAAGAAAATACACAGCTATCCTTTACTAAATGAGGTGAATAAAAGAATTGCATTGGAATTCTAAAACGGCCGAAATATGTCTGTTCTTTATTCATTAATAATGTTTAAATATTACTATGCTTTATTTAATCGTTTAAAAAATAATCTGGCGCAATATTACACCTCGAGACATAATTGACCACACTAACTTAGAAAAAATACAGAAAACCATCGTACTTATTGAAAACGACAATCGACGTCACGATTATCGACACGCCAAACTGTTATTTCTTCTTTTTTTTTTATTTAAACTTTAATACATAATTTGTCAATTTATCGTGGTCGTCGGGAAAATCAACTAACCATTAGCATTATAGAAAATTGATTATTTATCAAAATTACGCCAAATACGCAGTTATAAAATGCATTAAAGAAGAGGGAATTACTGACTCAACCATCTAAGGAAAAAAAAACTTCTGATTTTTAAAATAAGCATAGTATAAGTCCATAACACATCACGTAAATAAATCGCAACTAATCATTTAAAAAGCTTTAAAATGACAACAAAAAAAATTAAATTAATGTTACAAGAAACCAGAAAAAAAATTGCCTTTCTCAACGATTTAAATCAAACAAAATATTAAAAAAATAATGCTTACGTAAAATAAAGATCAATTATTTACCTTACATAGAAATCAAAAACTCCTAATAAAAAATGCGTAGGCACTATAAATATTTTATTTTTTAAACATATCCTTTAAAGAAAGCTGTTTCATTTTCGGTTTCTTATTGAGCAATTTTTCCTTAATCCTATGAAGGGACATGATTTCTTGTTCAGAAATATAGTCTCTTTGTTCCAGTCCTTTAATGGCAATATCTAAATGATTAACTAAATCGTCAGTTGAAATCCTCTCTTCTGCTATTTCTTCTTCACTATCTACACTTTCTGTGTCACTATCCTGCTTGTTTAAAGCTATGTTTTTGATCTCCTCGTCGGTTAATTGGGACACAGTTGGGGCATCATCGTCGCAGTTTAGTGTTTCTACAACATCTTCTTCATCTAATTTTTCCCTCTCACAATGACTTTTGATGTAGTGCAACAACTCTCTCACACTTTCTTTCTCTTTGTTTGGACGAAAACCTTCAAAGAGGGGCTCGTCCTCATCATTACCAAAAAAAATAGTTGCTGGCCAAATATTATTCCAAGCATTCTTAAGGGTCTTTTGATCAACTTCATCCCACGCTTTTGCTATATTCCATATGGCAGTCTTTATGGAATAAGACTTAACGAAGTCTTGTAAGTTTTGGCCATCATTTAAAGAGGTCAGCATTGACATCAAGAATTGCGTTTTATATTTGCACTTGAAGGATCTTAAGATACCGTTATCCATCGGCTGCAAAATTGAAGTGCAGTTGGGTGGCAAGAACACAACAGAAACATTTGCCCTTTCCATCAATAACGGTATTTTGTGGGCAGAGCAATTATCCAGTATTAAAAGTGGTTTTTTTTCTTCCAAGCCAATCGACTGAAAATGCTTTCTGACTTGCGGCACAAAATCGTTGTCCAACCATTCTTCCATTAGTTGCTGGGTCATCCAGGCTTTTCGGTTAGATCGATAATTTACGGGTAACACTTTAACACCCTTTAGGGCGCGAGGGCGTGCACTTTTACCAATTGTAAACAATTTGCATTTGTGTGTACCTGAAGCATTTGCACACGCCATAATTGTCATTCTTACTTTACAGTCCTTAACACCGGTTGGATTCTTTTCCTCAGCTGCGGCTAAAGTCTTTCGGGGTACATACCGCCAAAACAGTCCAGTCTCATCGGCATTATATACTTGTTCTGGTGACAAGTCTTCATTTTTAATTAATTCTTCAAAATCTTCTATAAATTTTTCAGCAGCTTCGGTGTCAGCTTCCGCACGATCTCCGCAAATAGATAGCTGGCGCATACCATGTCTTTTTTTAAAGGCTTTCAACCATCCAGTGCTGTAGCTGCACTCCTCTTGAATGGCCATATCCTCATGAAAAATCTTTGCTTGAGCCATTAACATTGGTCCCGTTAACGGTACGCCTTCACTACGGCGTTGTCGTACCCACTCAATCATAACTCTATCGTGATCCTCGTGTTTAGCATTTCGTATATATTTTCGATCCTTCATTGCCAGAGGTGTGTCTGAGTTTGAAAAATAGTCAAAAAGCTTCTCTTTCTGTTTCTTTATATCGTACACAGTAGACTTTCCTACTTTATATTCGTCGCACAACTTAGATACTGATGTGCCCATGTCCAATTTTCTCAGTAACTCTACTTTTTCTTTAATTGATAAAGAAACATTTTTTCTTTTCTTCGACGGACGTGAAGACATCGTAAGAAAAATAAAAGGTAATAAACAAAAATAACTTTTAAAAAAACTTAACACAAATAACAGTAACTCAATTAAAACTTAATAAAAATTACGCAGTTAAAAACTTAAAAAAACAATAACTTGTCAAAAAACTTAATAAAAATAATTAAAAGAAGCAAGCTGTCGATAATCAAAAATTCTTAACTCACAAATGCTAGATCGGTAAAAACGAACAAATGTGACGTGTTGGATTGCTTTAAATACGAGATATTTGGCGAGAGAAATTAATTTCAGAGTATTTTGCAAGACTTATTTCGCCAAGGTATTCGCCTGTTCCTATAATGTATTTGCAGGTGCACTGCATGAAAAAAAGGAATAAATTTCGGAGAAATCTAATTTCGTTCTTGGTTTGGAATAAAAGGACTTTTGTTAGTCAAATTCATATTTCAGTGGCATGGGAGTCTTGAAATCTTTTTCATGTCAATGCTAAAGAAAGAATGTTACCCCCTTTCTTTTCCCCGCCTCCTAAATATTGAATGGACAATGTTTCTCAAGGACATACTCCCCCTCCACGTTTACCCTTTTCTACAGTAAAAAGGTTCCAGGAAATGCCTCATCTACTAGCCAGCTGCATACGAAAGAAGGGGGGGGAGGGGACTCAGTTGTGCTCTATTGAAAACAAATTACCCTCTTCCCCTGCATTCCAGAAGAGGAGCGTCACTAATGGTCACTCCACGGACTTGGTGGTCTTTTCTGTTTCTTTCTTTTTTTTCTTTTTTTGAGAGGGGAAGATCAAGAGATGTTTGTTTATTTTGATTGTTAAAAAGTGTCCGGGAAATCGATCCTTCCGGGAAAGGGACGTCCGGATATGGGACGTTACACTGTATAACATTTTGGGGGTGTAAATCTTAAAATCTTTGTTATAGCTAGCTTTTATTGTACTTAATTTGTTTAAACTTTTGTTATAAAGTAATTACTGAGCAATCTTAAAGTAAAATTGTACTTTACTCATTTAAAAAGTAATTTTTTTATTTTCAATTACTTGGACTCAGGACTCATTCTTAATGATTTGCAGATATAACCTTAAATTTACTTATTATTAGTGCAAACGATATTTTAAGTAACAAAATTGGATTTTCTCTGATTGAATTTACCCTTTTTTTATGGATTCTGACTCAAAATATGGAGGCTAGATGCAGTCTGAAAAAAAATGGTTGAAATAGTATGTTAAAGACAATGGAAAGTTCAGGCCCCTTAATATTTATTTAATTTTTTGCGTATTACACCACCTTAAATGTTATTTCAAAATTTTTATTTCTCAATAATTATTCGACTTTTTCCTTTCAAATGATGGATTTTTTCATTTAAAATTACCTAGAATAAATTGCAATAAATTTTTTTTATTAATTATCGAAGTTTTTTTACCATTACCAAACAATATGAAATAACTCTTTATGTATGATTACCCTGATGATTCGATAGTGCATACTAAGTTTTTATTGAAAATTTCTTCACTATTTATTATTAATTGTTATGTGCAAAATATGGGACAATTGATCTTCTTACAGATATCTTTTAAAGAACCAATTGAAACCAAACGTGAATATCTACCAAATGGATCTTCTCTGCGAGTTTTTGTAAGTGAAAACACTCGCCTTTTTGTTTTAAACCCTTTTTTCATGCATCCCAGTTTAGTTATATTAATTTGTAGCATAATAATATACATTTTTATTAGCTTTTTATAGCAAACCTTCAGTTTTGAGTATTACATTTTTGCTAGTATCAAACCCTCATTTTTTTATTAAATTCCAATTTAATTTTTTAATTTTCTGCATTACAAGGCAATGCTTTTTATAAGCTTTATACATCAGGATCTTCAGTTTTCTGAATGGTAAACGTATTATGAATATAAGATTATTTTATTTTTATTTAAGAAAGATGTTTATACGTTTTTTAACCCATCGTTTAACTGTATGCTTTAGTTAATTTTCAGTGTCTTGTATTTAGTTGCATCTGTCTATTAATCTAGATTTGTTATTCCTCATTAAATTTATTTCTATTCATTAATTTGTTTGTTTGGTTGTTTATGTTTTTGTACTACAGTAAAAGTCGTCTATCTGAAATTTGATTTATCAGAATGCTCAAATAACGAAAATTTTCAGAAGTGATGAAATAGAATAATGTAATAAGTTATTTTTGCTTAAAATCAAATCAAAACATTTGAAAAATCAAATCTCATTTCTTTTGTTTTTAGTAAAACTGGATTTTTCTGGAATTAAAATAGAATCTTTCCATAAATTTAGTTAAAATATTGCTTTAAAATATTCCTGCTCTTTTTCAAAGAAAAAGAAGAAAAAAACTTTAAAACTAAGGTAGAGTGAATTACAGAAGCCATTAACAAATTAAAAAGATTTATAAAATGATGGATATGCAGGTAATGTTGATTTCCAATAAAATTAAAAAGGAGAACATATTAGAAATGTGTGTTATGTTGTTTTAATTTGTGTCTTAAGTTTCTTTAAATTAAACTAATTACCATATAATTTCTCATATCTTGAAGAAAAATAAAACTATTTCATGAACTATGAATATTAAGTAGATTGGATTAAATGGGAACAGTTTTGTTCTATTCACTATTTTGCAATTTTAGTTTATTTTTATTATTTATTTTTTTATTGCTGTTATTCAGTTTTTCATTTATCTTTAACCATAATTTAGAAAACTACTATATTTAATAGGAAACTAGAAATAAAAAAAAATTCTGACTCTTTCTCTTCTAAATTTTTACTTAGCAATTAAATTTTTTTTATTTACTTTTAATGGTTTTTACGGCAATTATAGCCTAAAAGATAATAAGCGTTGGGACGCTTAATAATCACGAAAGCTTCAACACACATCAGAAATCTGGGTATTCCAGATAATAGAGCTTGTACTTTGCATTTTTTATTCTTTCATTGAATTTCTTTTGTCATCACTAATTTTTATGTTCTGTAGGAGTACAATGGTGTTTGTCATACTTATGAGGAGCCTTTAACTTTGTATGGGACGCGGTCTCAAACTCCTTCCTCTTTATTCTCCTTTGGAAATGATTCTCGTTGCTCAACTCCTTTTAGCAGTCCTGGATTATCATCATCTGGAAAACTTTGGGCCTTTGATGTGCCTATCTTGCCAGCTGCCCTTGAAAGAATTGTAAAAATTAAAAAAGGAAATAATAAACTTGGTAATTTTCTTATATTTTTAATACAGAAGTGTGAAATAGCATTTTCAGATGTGGTAGCAATATAAAATATTTGCTTCACCATTAAAAAAATCAGCTGAGAGAAAAGAATATAGCTACAAAACTTATGAGAATTTAAAAATATTTTTTATTAAAATATTATTCTTTAGTAGACCTCTTGAAAGAACAGTAAAGATTAAAAATTAAATACTATATGTATCAGTGTATAAGTCAGCTTTTCACGCATGTAAGATTTTGCGCATACAATTGGGATTACTTATACAGCGGTAATGAAGTTGGACATTTGTTGATCAAAAAATACCGAATCATGATAGATATGAATAACTTGATTTACCTCTTTCAAAAACTATTTTTAATATGTTATATGCAGTTAATTTTTTATTATTCTTTCATCAAAAAATTTTTACACATATAGTTTTTTAAGAAATGGTACTTCAGATACCTAGATATACTTTGTTCAGAAAAAAAATTAAGAATAGGAAAAGTTAAGATAGTTTATTCAAGAGTAGAAACAGTGCTTTGAATTTTGTTCAGAAAATTAATTTGTTCAAAAGTATTTTAAAAACATAGCAAAATTTAAGATAATAAAGATTCAATAACGTGTCATCATACTGATCCCTGATCCTGTCATACAGCTTCTACATCATCCTCACCTTCTGTGTCCCACAAAAATTAATCTTCACCCCCATCCAAGAATTCAAAATTCCATATTTTTTAAAGATCTTACAATAACATTTGAATCCACATTTTGCACCTAGTATAATTTATCATGTGATATTAATAAATTTTCTATTTTTGTAAGCATTTTTGATGTAAAGTAAACTTGAGACAATTTTTGTAGACTTCATAATTTTTTTAAGTTTTTTTATTTATTTTGGAAATTTTTATATATGTTTTTTTTTCAGCAGTCGACTTATACACCCAACATACCAGAAATTTGCTATATCATAATAAAAAAATAGAGGGTTGACCAATGTTTACCAATATATTTGATAAAAACTTGATTAAATATAAAATTAGTTAACTAAAATGCAAATGCAGATTTCAACACTCTTTACATAATATATCATTCTTTTCTATTTAATTCTTCATTTTCTTCTTTTGCTCATGAAGGGGTTGTAATGATTAAAAAAGGAAATTATAAATTTGGCAATTTCTATTTATTTTTAACAGCTGTGGGAGTACTCCAAAATCCCCCTTGCTGTGATGTTAGAAAAATTATTAGTTTAGGATAAAAAATACAGCAACAGTAACTATGATTTAAATTTTTAATTATTTTGTTTTGTAGGTCTTATTCTTGACATAGCTGATAGAGGGCAAAATGGCATGATTGTAAAATCTATCCGTCCTGCAAGTGCTGTTGACAAAGATGGAAGTATTCAGATAGGTGATTACATTTTAGGTGTAAACTCCGAAAATATGCGAAATATAACTAGATCGCAAGCGAGAGCTATAATAAGGCGAGCAGAATTAACCAGTTCTGATATTGTGTAAGTTTGCTTCATACATACGTATTGAATTTATTATCGTTTTATTATTTAGTGTGAGTTTTCTCATGCAAAATTTTGAAAGTAATTTATGCAGTTTGAAGCATCAAATATTTTTTTTACCCTTAGGGTCAAATACATACCAGCTGGTGATGCTGCTGTACATCAACAGTCTGCAGTTTTAGCAAAAATCCATGAAGGTTCTGTTTCACCTACACCTTCAATTATATCACGTCAACCATCACCAAGGTACCTTTTATTTGCTTTTATATCTCCACTAATTTTACATAAGAAAGCGGATTTTTTGTTGATGCTTATCAATCTTTTTTTTTTTCAATTAAATTTTTTTTTAATATTGTTCGCACTTTAAATTTTTTTCTGGATGGTATTGAAATATTTTAAATTTATTCTTGGTTGGGAAATTATAAAAGAACATTTAGAATTTCCTTTGGTCTTAAGCATTAAAACACACAAAAATGTATATTGAGAATATTCTTGTATGGTTTAGCAAACCTCTTTATGTTGAAAGTAAAACTTGAATTTTAAGAATATTAATCTTCAAGTAATCTTTGAATCTGTAATAGAGTATAATAGAACATTGGCACCATACCAAAACCACAAATTTTCTACCTTGGCCATTGCAAAATTAGGCACACCATCCAATCATGGCCAAGCGCCTAGCTCCATTTTTAGGGCTCTATCTTTTAACAACCATTGAAAAAATGGACATATTTTTTACCCTGATCAGATGGTAGCCTGGTCAGCCTAATCTGGTATCCCTCTCTCCAAATTTCCACACCTTAACCAACAAGAGGACTTTCGGCTATGACAGATTTAACGTACACCTTGCTGCGTATACATGCCAATTGTTTTATTGGATGCCAGGATTGAACTCACAACCCCCAGCTCTCCAACCAGCGAGAGTTGGAGATAGTCTCATGCTTTAGGCATGGTGCCAATGATATATATACATCATTAAAATTCTTTGTTACTATATAATGATAGTTGTGACGTTCAGTCAATAATTATTTACATTTTAATGCTCTGTTATTTTTAGTATTTGATTTTTTTTATCATGGAATAACTTACATTTTTGATAGGGCACTCTAAATTTTCTAATTTCTTTCATATTACCATGCCTTAAGGAGGAATAAAATGCTCTTCTATAAAAATATGATTTTCTTCTCATTTTTTTTAAAGTTTTTATTTTAAATTATGTACTTTTAAGTTTTAAGACGCATCTTTAGCTAAAAAAAAAGCTGTTCTCAGCCTCAATTATTTGCATAAAAAATATATAAATTGCCATTTCTTTATGCCTTAGAGAATTTTTTATCTCTTTTTGTTAGCAAATTATTATTCACAGTTATCTTTTAGGTAGAGTTCCAAAAATGTATCCTCTCACAGCAATTGTTTTTTTGACAGAAATTACAAAGTTGTACTTTCTTTAAAATTTTATCTATGGCATGGAATGGTGCGTGGCATATCAGACGCTTAGGGGGAAATGCAGCTTTTTTTTTATTTTCGTGCCAACATAAATATATTCTTCCAAATATTTTAAAAGAAATGCATTAAGTATTTTTATTTATAGATTTATTTTCAAACAAATGTCTTATTAAATTCAGTGCTAAACTATTTTCCTTGAGATATCAAACTTCATTTTAAATTTTGATAGTTGTGTGATATTCTATATTCTAAGTAAGAATTTTACAAAATTTGTAACATTTTTATATGAAGCAAAAATTTTATAGGTTGAATTTCTTTAAATTAATAATAATATACAAGGCATTATTTAAAAATTGCAATAAATACATTAGTAGGTTTAACTTACACTCTTAGAATTAATTTTTAATATTCATTAAATAATTGAAACTTGAAGACTTTCATTAAATTATGATGAAGTATAAAATGTTTAAAAATATTTTATCAAAAAAAAAAAAAAAAAAGAAAAAAGATTACTAACCAAATAAAATGCGAAATTCAAATTCAAACAAGCTTTATTACTAATGCATTAATACACTTACTGTGGGAAAATAGTGAATAAAAAAGTTCAAATGTGTAGTAAATCTCAGTAGAATTTAGTGAAATATCTTGTTTAGTTCATATTACATTTACAAACCTAATAAATTCTTAAGCTGTTTCATTTTCTGAAGTTCATATCGGATTAATTTCTTAAAATTTGATAAAATGTTAGCCTTATGCTGTCTAAAATTATTCCTAAATACAGTTTTAATTGTAAAAATAAATAAAAATTAATTTAAAAAAAACTTATATCAATTTTTAAAATATTTTATGTTAAAATAATTTTCAAGTTTGGAATATTGTTAGCCTATTAAATTTTTCAACTTTTGTAATGTTTAAAAAAGTTTGAATCAACCTTTGAATTCTTTCAAAGGATATCAAATAATTTATAATAAAGTCAAATAATAAAGATTTTTTCCCCATTATCATTTTCATTCTTTTTTGTGGAATTTATATATGTTCTTTAACTGAAATATTTGAATTCATTTTTAATTTTCTAATTTTAAAATTCATAACTTAATTAATTAGTTTATTTCGTGGTCAACTCTCAAATTATTTGTGGGTCAAATTCAAAATTGCAAATAATTTATGCAAGTATGTTAATTCTGAAAGTTTTATTTTGTTCATTGCAAAAAGATGATTTCTTTAATGCAGCATATTCTTAAAACTTTATATTTTAGAGCTTAAAAGTTATTATTTTTCATTGTTTAATCACATTCTTTAAATAAAAATCTATAGCTTTTCTTAATTTATTTTTCATAAAAGGAATCTTATTTGAGACAAAAAGTACTGTAAGAAGCCTTATAAGTTCTTTTTCTTTTTCACTTTTCTTTACCCTCTTCTATCACTAATGGGATTAAGTTATTGGATTGTCTGCCTTTTACACTTCTGTGTCTCTCTTTAAAGTGATAATGTTGATGATCTTTTCCTTGTCTTCCTAAATTTTCATTTTTTAAAAATATTAATTACCTAGTGTTAATTAACAATTTTCTTTTGCAGAGTGTTCCCAGCATATTACAGGTAAGCATTTATTTATATTTTTTACATTGCTATCCCTGCAAAAATATTATTTAAAAAAAGGCAATAAATTTTATTTTTAATTTGCTAAGTTTCTCCTATTTTTTTTAAAATTGAGGGCAATATTGATAATGTCTAATTTCTCCCATATTTTCCCAAGAGATATTTTTCATTGCTCTGTAGATTCTCTTTTCTTAGTTTTTCTGTGAAAATCCTATTAGAAATGTGGAAAACAAAATACTTGAAGTCTTGAACAAAATACTTGATACTTGAAAAATACTTGATCTTTTAATGTGAAACTGATGTGAACTTTAATGATTCTTTAGGTCTCCATATTTTCCTCACAAGAGTTCAAAAAGCACACCTGACCGTGATGATGCTGATGGCCAAATTTCTCCCTTCAGCTTCCTGAGTGAAGATGATGTTTTAGCCACTCCTTCATCTTTGTACACTGACAATTTTGATTCTTCTTCGGATGATCTCTTGCTAGATCAATCTTCTGATGGTGGGATGAAGGAAAACGAGCAGAGTGAAGCATTTCCTGGAGTCGAAGATAGGATACTACTCTTTCAGGGAAGTAAACATCAAGTGCCTTCAAAATTCAGCAGAATGTCAACTTCACCCACAGTGTCTCCAGTACAAGGTTAGGAAATTGTTAAATGCTGGTCAATAAATTTTCCAGACGCAAAATTAGCCATCCTTCTTTTAAACGAAAAGATTTCAGTGCTTTGAATAGTTTTAGGGTATCCTTCTTATTTTGGATTGAGCCTACTCACTCAGGGGACTACTAACATGAACTAGTATGCTTATTTTAATACTCTGGATGATAAGGTGTTTTACTAGAGCAATGGTTCCCAAATGGAACCTTAGGGTTCCGTGTAAGGATCACAGGGTACCGAGAGTTACTGCTCTTGTTTCAACCAGTTATGGTCTTTTAAATAAATAATTTGCATCTAATTAATAATGCATTATTTATTTAATATTTCTGCTATTTTTTGAATTTATTTAAGTGAGTTGCTTTTATAGAAAGAAGATTCAAAACAGCTTTTCTATTAACAATGTAACAAATGAATTATGAATGGATATGCATTTATGAAAAACAACATTAGTATTTCACATCGAATAAAAATAAGCAAATTCAACAAAGGAGAAGTATGTCTCTCTGATAATCACTTTCTACATTTATTTCTGTCTTTTGTTTTTATTTAAGCAGAAATCATATTTCAGCTCAATCATTTTTCAGTATATATATATGCACTAAAATCAACTTAAGAACTAATCTAGATACCACCTTAGACCAGTTAATTCAACTGTGTAACATGAAACTTAATTTTTAAGACTATTTTGAACGAATTTCTTTCTTCACTCTCTTTGGATTACAAAATGAGCTCAACTACTGCAGTATGAGCAGTATTTCAGCTTATTCGTATATTTTTTTTTGTCATGAATAAGATTTAATGTTTTATTGAAAATAAGTCTACAATTGAATAAGCTTCCAATTTTAAAAATATAATTTTTAAAAAGTTTTCCTATTGATTGTTGCATTGAATGTTGGTATTAAATTTTGTATCAAATAAATGTATCTTAAAGCCGAAAGAAGGTGAGAAAATGAGCTAAAAGTTACGTAAAAAATCATTTAGATCTGATTATAAATTCAACTTTTTGTTATAAGTTTTCAAATTTTATTTTAAAAACTTTTGTAGCATTTTAAATAAAATTAAGGCAAACTAAATAAATTAAGTTAATTACATTTTTCAATCTTCATATTTTTTGTTGTCACCCAGTCAGTATGATGAATATGATTTAAAATTTTTATAATTTAAGTTATCTGTTCATTCAGTTTATATTTTTGAATTTGGGATGAGAGAATTTTCACAAATATCCTTTTTTATTCTTATTTTGTCAAATTTTTTTTTTCCTTTCTCCTTTCTGCTTTTCTTTTATTTCTATTTTGTCAAAAATTATACCATTATCTTCCACCTGAGAGAGAGAAAGTGAAATAATATTTGTATTAAAAATGATAACAAATTTATTTTAGATAAAAATCAACATTTCTTAGCTTTAAATTTTAAGAGTAATTAGTAAGAAGTGTCTTGTTGAAATCATTTTCAATATTGTCATCGGTTTGATTTTTTCCCCATGATATGTAATGTGAATTTAAGATGTTTGTAAATGATTGGGGAAATTGTTCTTTGAGTAAGATTTTTCAATTAAGAATGGAGCAAGCTGCTGAATACTATACAATTTTTAATTTTTTTAGATGAATCACCTCAACAACAAATAAGTCCTGAACTTCTAAGTCCTGACTCAATTCCAGAGCATCCATTACCTGAATCATCATCGATGATTGTAAACTCTGAAGTAACAAGTCCAGTAGTTACTTCTGTTGGATGTAGTTGGGGTGTGAATAAAACAGTTGAGCTTGTTCGTGAGCCTGGTCAAGAAATTGGAATTGGTGTGGTCATGGGATGTATTGATGTACAAGAAGAAGATCAACCTGGAATTCCTTTGTCTGGAATATTTATCAAACATATTGTTCCAGACAGTATTGCTGGGAGGCTTGGAACCATTAATCGAGGAGATCGTATTGTTGCAGTTAGTTGATATCTTGATTATCTCTATTTTGATTACTATCCTACATTGTCTAATATTTTTTTATGCACTTTTGTAACTTGGCATTTTTCGTTTTATTTAAATTTTCATCATAGAAAAATCAAATTCTCTGATTAATTATTTAATTTAATATTTTAATCGCAAACAATTTACTATTATTAACAATATAAAGAAGTTTCAGTAAACAAAACAATCATAAAGGAATAATCTTTGAATTAGATTATGCAGTGTATGGCATTTTTTGGTTTATTTGAATTTTCTTCTTAGAAAAATGAAATAATCTAATTAATGTGTATTTGATTTAATATTTTAATCACAACCAATTTAGTATCAACAATAAAAAATACTAACAATAAACAAAGCAATCATAATGAAATAATCTGTAAATTAGCTTATGTAGTCCTTTCAAATTTAAATATTGTCAATATCATCATTCAAATATTTTAAAATTACATGAAAGAGGAACAATTGTTAATTATTATGTATTTTAGGTAATCTGTGTAGAAAGAGGTTGTTATTTAAAAAAAATTATTACTAAATACTTATAGTATTATTATAATGTAATATTTTTGCTTTCTGGAGAAAAAATATAAGCTGAACTTTGTTAAAAGTAGATAAAAATTATTTTGTGCTTTTAAAAAATTTATAAAGACCACTAATTTTATGTGCTAATAATAAAGGATGAGTGTAACCAGTGCCTTGACCCATAATTACATTTTAAACCTTTCTAGATCATCTTTGTTATTGAGTTAAATTATCTTATCCAAAATTGTCTAGTTGTTCTGTTTTCTTTTATAATGTTCCTTGCAGAATAAATTATTTTTTGTGTAATTACTATTATTTATAAAAGAAATTTTAAATAAATAAAAAATTTTCTTAGTTCGTTTTTTAAAAAAGGAACTATTTAAAAAAATTATTGTTAATATATTTAAAGGAACTATATAAAAAATATTGAATATTATTTTTAATTTAATTTTGAAATTCCTAGGTCAATGGAATTGATTTACAGAATGCCTCTTATAATGAAGCTATTGATATTATTCAAAATTCAGAAAATCCTATTCGTCTTACTGTGCAGAGTTTAGTGCCTTGGGTATGTAACAACAATTTTCTTTCTTTTTAACTAATGGCAAGTTATAATTATAGTAATTGTATTAAATAAATAATCCCAAGAAATTGAATCAGTGAGAAATTACTTAATTAAAAACTTCATCCCCTTCAAAAATGTATAAATTAAAAATAATAACCAGATGTAAAAGTCTGGTAAGTCTTAAAAACGGGCACCTGTTTTTGAGCCCTTGAAACATGTTGACTATTATCTCCAATTTGTATATTTTTGAAGTGAATGAAGTTTTTAATTAAGTAATATAGTGATTATAGTTACTTGTATTCTTAAACTAATTTCAGATTACATTTTCAGAAACATTTATAACCATCTGAAATTGACGTTAGAATTCAATTATCTAAAAATTGAGATCTTTGCCAAATAATTTGGAAAAGTACGATTTCTTAACGATATATGAAATTGAATTATTACCTATTAATTAATGAATTGTAATTCAGTGTTATTTACATTTGTGTATTATTTTCTGCTTTTGAGTTTTTGTTTACACCTTACCACTTAAATTTTACATAAATTCTATCCACCATGAATGCTGTTTTTACTCAGAAATTTTAACCACTTATGTATACCACTTATTGTCTTTTATCCTTTTGATGATCCATATGATTGAAGTTTGAATAACTAAAATCTTACTCTATTTATTTTTGGCATTATGAATTATGAAAAAAGGTCACTGATTGACATTTACACTTAAAAACTATTTGTGTTTTTCACTTTTATTTATGTTTCATAATTAAAATTTCAATTTTTGGATTTTTTTTATAATTGAAACTTGGATTTTTATTTAAATTACTTTTGAATTTAATGAACTGTTTGAATCTTTATTAAATTACCTTTCTATTTGTAAAAACTTAAAGATTTTTTTTAAAATTTAAATATTAGTATTTATCATTATTTGTCATTATAGCTTCCATCTAGCAATGAAAATATAGCACAAAATCCATCCCCCGAGCCAATATCTAGTCCACTTCCAAGCCCTCGAGCATCTTTCCATGCTGAGAAGTTAAAACAACGTTCAATGTCTGAAGATGAAGATCTAATACTTGATACTGATTTTCAAGGAAAGGTATACACTTCCAAAGGAGTTGAGGTATGTATATTTTTTTCAAGGGTTTGTTTGTTATAGTGTAATTGTTACATGTTATACAATACATGTTATACAATATTACATACATGTCTTGTTTATTAATGTACTTCAAAATTTTCATGTAATTTACATTGTTGAATATTGGTGGCAATGGGATACTGTGCAAATTCCTACCTCTTTTCAAAATTTGCGCATCAAGTTCAGAAACAGCCAATATAAAATTTTTTCATTTAATTGTCATTTGATATTTTTTAAATTGTGAGAGAAAAGTATTTATCAAAATGTATAATTTCATAAAATCAAATGATTTTTTTTCTTCAATATTACTGCTTGATACACTATGTAACCATTATTTTTTCAAATCGTTAATATTATGATGTTTCAAACTCAATTTATTTTAAAGAAATCCTGTTCGTTACTAACTCTAATTGCCTTGTTAAATTATAAATTCATTGTTCCACATAAAGTTCAGATTACAATTGTTTATATAATGGAACAAAAAAAATATGTACTCTCCTGTAAAATATTATTTTTATATATAATTCATTATTCTCTGAATATGATTCATTATTTCCCGTTAACATTTTAATATTTTTACAAAATCTTTTTTAAATTACACAAGATACAGTACTTTATAGTGTTGTAATATTGCACAATAGAGCCCTTATTTTTTGGAAGGGAATTATCTGTGTTGCTGCTTAATCGTGAGTTCCACTAAGAGATCGAAAATTATATGGCACCTGATCAGTTCCGAACCTTTCATTCTGAATATATGAATTTTTATTTATCAGCACTTTTATGAAATATGATTTTTTTCTTGACCATTCATTGCTTATGTAATTTATATGTTGAACAAAGTTTTTTGTTGCTTGAATACAATGTATACGCATATATGAATGCATTTGAAAATTATTAGTGTTTGAACCTTACTTTATGAGATTTTTTTTACTATCTGGGTTTCTTTTATACTCTCTTGCCTCCCAACTCTGTGGATAATCTGTGCTCTGTGTTAATTTTACTATAATTTTTTTAAAACTTTTTATCAATTGTAATTTGCTCTAAATATTTTAGATTGATCGTAATAGTGCTGGATATCTTAAAATACCTGATGATGATGAAGAAGAAGATGAATTTGGCTATACTAACAGTATGAAGAATTTTTTATATATATTTTTGCTTCATTATCAAACTGTTTAATAATTTTTAAAGAAAGATTTTTCCACCAAACTGTTGCATTTGACTTTAGATAGATATCTATACCTAACTATTAGATGACATTGTATTTATTGATTTATGTATTTTTTTATTTTAATCGAATTTTTGAAATTTATATTCCGTTTTATTAGAATCATTCTTAAACTAGCAAAATTTAAAACACTTTTTTTCATGTTTTGCAAATTACAAACTTGTGTGAATATTTTTTTTCTTGTACACTATTTCAGAGAATTGGGGAAACTGGTCTGCTATGCACAAAAGCATGCATGTTAAAATGTAATTTTCAATGTAGTGTAATGAGACAAAATTTCTTTATTAATTTATATTCGACACTCGGGTAGTCAGCAACAAAATAGAGTTCCATATTATTAACTATTCCTTCAGTATTAAATGCGTGTAACTAAGATAAAAATATGATACAATTTATTATTTTTATTGTATGCCTTTACGTCTCTTAAATATATCTTTTAAATTTTTACATTTTCTAATTTAATTTCTTTTTTGTAGGGAAAGTTGAAAGAAAGTATGGTGATTTTAAAGGTAGTGCGATGTTAGTTGAAATTGAAAAGGGTGCTAATGGATTAGGTGTTAGTTTAGCAGGTAATAAAAATCGCTCTAAGATGAGTACTTTTGTTTGTGGACTGTTCCCAAATGGGAATGCTGCAAGAACAGGTACAATTTTAGTTGGAGATGAATTGTTGGAGGTAAGATAAATTCAGTTGAAATAATTAATAAGATTAATTTAATCTGAAACATAATTATTTTCTTTGAAATTCAAAAGTTAAAGTTATTTTTAGTTTTAATTTTTATCAATTTTCCATTTCAAGTAATGTTTTAATCCATATTCTTTAAATGTTTTAATCTTAGTGTCATACATTTATGCCTTTTGAATATTTTGGCCCAAAAATTCCGTGTATTAAATAAAAATTAGTATATTAAAATTAGTAAATAAAAATTAGTATATCCTCTAATTATAAAAATTTATTTCTTTTTAATTTTATAACCCATTACAGTGTAAAGAAAATGTAATTTCATTGATTGGTAATGCTGAATCATAATGTAGATTATGAAAAAATGACCAATGACAGATAACTGTTAAAAATTTTAATTTGAATACATTTTTTAAAAACATCCATTTTTTCTTCTTTTTTATTTGGCTTTTTGGTAGTAATGTCCTATTATTTCTATAAAACTTATATTTGTTCTTTCTTTGCTAATCATTTCATTTTTAGTATCATTCTTGACAGAATTTATATTCATTAAGATATCTATTTATGATAAAGATTATGTATTGTTTATTAATAATCATTATGTTTTTCATGTAATAATTTAAAAATTCTTATATTTCTTTACTTTGAAACTGAGAAACATATATTTTAAATGAGAGGGGAAAATATAAATCACATCTTAATGAAGTTGGTCGCAGCTTCTTCTATATAATTGAAAATTATTTTAGATAACTTTGAGTAAATACAATAGATAATTAAAATATTTGTATAACTTTGTGTAAATTAATTAATATAATTTTATGTCTTAAACTAACAGGTGTTTAAATGAGAAAGAAAAATTTGGGACATAGCTAAATGTACCACTGTTTTCTATTTATTAATTAGAAATGGCTTAGAATAATTTCGTATAAATAATTCTTATATGTGTAATTGTTTTGAGATACTTAATAGTCAAAAAATAAATATTACTATCTACGATAAAATACTGGATACTTTGCAATTTTCAAAATTATATATTCAATATCTTCCTCTATAGTTTTCAATTTCTTATTTAATATATTCATTTTGAAATTTCAGTCATCTTAAATTTGACTCAATGTTTTCCGCTATAGGTGAATGGAATTGTGTTATACAACCGGTGTCATTTAAATGTTTCGGCTACAATTAGAGGGATAATGACAAAAACATGCAAGTTTGTTATTCTGAGGTAAGTTTATTCTAAAACTTTATTAATTTTAATGCTTATTTATTTCATTTAAAACCTGCAAAATTGTTTACACCCTTTGATCTAACATATTAAATATTTATTAGTGGCAGAAAAGTTTGTATTTCAACATTCATAATAAGTTCAATTCGAATTATAAAATCGGCAGATAAATGGGTGTTAATAATAGCCAGATCAAGGCAAATAATATATATATATATATATATATATGTCACGTCGAAAGACCGAAATCGGTGGTTGTTGACTTTCACCGGTTAATGTCGACAAACATCAAATACGTCGGTGAAAGATCGAATATTTCATTACATTCTTGTACATTCGGACCCTCACTGGTGTATGTCGACAATCACAGATATGCTTTGGTGAACGTCCGAATTATTTATTACATTCGATTTGATATGAATTTAGTGGATATAATTACATTTTTTCGATATTTTAACCCTACACTGATGTTTTTTTAGGGTTAAGCGCCACTGCCCGGTATACCCTACACTGATGTTTTTTTAAGGTTAAGTGCCACTACCCAGTATACCCTACACTGATGTTTTTAAGGTTAAGTGCCACTGCCCGGTATACATTTGCCTGGTATACCCTACACTGATGTTTTTTTAAGGTTAAGTGCCACTGCCCGGTATATATTTGCCCGATACTCCAAACACTGATGTTTCTTCTAATCTATCGTCAGTAAGTATTAAAATATAGAATAAATATAAATATAGTAATATTAACAAATAAATTAATATTAAATCGGATATAACAAATATTTTGGACATTCACCAAAGCGACTATGTGATTGTTGACATTCACCGGTGAGAGTCTGAAATAAGGGTATTTAGCAAATATTTTGGACATACACCAAGCAACTATGTGAATGTTGACATTCACCGGTGAATGTCGACATTCTCCAGATTTCGGTGTTTTACTGTAACATATATATATATAAATGGTTATCAACAGTTTTTTATGGTGTGTAAATATTTAGTTTTGGGAGTCCTGAATTCTTGAACTTAATTAAGAAATTAAGAGAAACTTATTGAAATGACAATAAGAAAAATGGGACACTAGTAATTTGGCACACATTCTTTTGATCGAAAGACATCTTTATACAACCTAACTTGTATTCACTGTACTCAAATTTCTGCATTATTTCATATAGCTAGGAATTATGTCAGAAAAACTGTGTATTTTTGCAAGAAGTCTTCATTCATGTTGATTTTCTGCCATGTTTTAAGCAAAACAATAGCATATTTTAAAGTAGAGCTCTGTCATATTTTAAGTAAAGTATTGGATGTTTTTAAGCATCTTAGAGTATTCGGTGATGTTTTGACTTTTTCTATTATTTAAATTTTTTATACCCCCCTCCCTTTAAAATTTATATTTAATTTTGTTTTAAGTTATATAGTTATCTTTGATATGAAACTATCTAGTTCGGCCATTAGCTTATGACTTCAGTATTTGTAACTGCAATGTTACTAAATGAAATAGATCAGTCTCCATGATGTTGAGCTAACCAAGGAATGATTTTCATAGTTTTTCTCCTCATATAATGTAATTGTAGATTAGTTCCATCAAAAAGTCCTTCATTAAGGCTAGTTTCTCCCAATGTTTAATCCAAAAGTTTCCTTGTCTTCTACGGTGAGTTCAAAATCACAAGACAAAGGAGTTGAACATTGATTGTCATAAACTCAGAATTTGGTCGGCTCTTTAACGCTGGTTTTAAAAATAAAACAAAATGCTTACTATGGTAATAAAAAAATTATTATTGATGTTTGCAAATGAAGGTCCTGAGGCAGTATAATGATGATCCACATTTTAAAATCAAGCAGGTAAATAATTTTTTGTTAAAAAAAAGCAGTTTTGACGATATCTGAAAACAATATTAAAGAACAGTTTATAAAAAATGTCACCTTCAAGAAAAGTGTGACTTATCACGGTGTTGCCCTTCAAATACATATGTATATTTTAGCTAACAATTTATGTTTTGAACTTTTTAGGAAAGAAAATAGTATTGAGGAAATGGCTGTTAAGCCTCTTACACATTTCCCTATGGACTTAGAAAATGAGGTATGATTTTTCATTGAACTTTCTTTGTTTCTTTAACTCAGCTTTTCCCATTAAGGTGAAAGTTATAAACTAGAATAATACAAAAGTAAAGAAAGTTTGGGTTTTATGCTGCATTACATGCAGTCATTGATCACATAGTTGCCCTCAAGCTGTACCCCTTGTCTTACAGTTTCAGTGCTGTGTGCTTATTTTTCAATTTAGAGACTATTTTTGAAATTGCATGCATTCATAAAAATATTCTGTTAAGTGTGTTCAGGAATCTTGATTTGTAGTAAGTATTTCACATGTGGACAAAATCTCCTAATTTATTTGAAAGATTTGTTTAATGAGCCTGGCTTCAAATTTTTTTTTTTAAAAATTGAAGCAGTTGTTGGTTTCTTACTAAACAAAGCAGCGATATTTGTTTAGTAAGTTTCTTTGAATATAATTTACTATTTTTCTCACAAATAGCTTATTAATTGAACAATTATATGGTAAAAACAATATACCTGTTAGTTTATAAATTTCTGTGGAATTGAAATTTTTTTTTTTTTTTTTACATTTTAGAATTTTTGTTCTTTTTTTGTTTCAACTATTTTATGTGTTTTTCATTTTATTACTTTTTTCTAGTTCTGTTAATTATGTAGTTCTTTTACATAGGATGAATGCATATTCTTGTATAACATTTTGAAAATTGAAAAAACAAATAGTTCGTTGGATTTTATCCTTGAAGTCGTTTTCTATTGCAGCAACCATTTTAAAGTTTGAAGACTTGGAATTAAAAAAATGGCTTGCAATGTAATGAAATTCAATTTTGAGTTAGATGGGTGGTGCAATTTACCAGCAATCACATGCTTCACATAGTATAGTTTATAGCTGTTTTTTTTTATTATTATTCAAGTTAAATTAAGATTAGTTACATTTCTGTAGTCAAGCATAACTCTCTGATATTTATTTATTTTTATTAATATAAATTTTTTTCACTTAAGAAATAAAACATTTTTTTCTCTATTTTCAGTTAATGTTTTTCATGTATTGAAAATGCAAGTGTACACAACTTTAATTATATATAGTTTCATTACATGCATTGTTTTATTTCATATATTGTTTTATTACATTTATTGTTTTATTGCATACACTGTTTTTAGAAAATGGAAGATATTATAGCTGCTCATCCAGGAGTGCGGATGATTACAACCAAAAAGGTGAATTATTACAATTTTTTTGAAACTTCAATTGTGCATTGAAATGCTTCTTAGCTTTTAAAAATAATTTTCATGAAATTATGTATTTACAGAATTTAGAAAAATTGCTTTTATATTTTTAGGGTGACTGTGGTTTAGGAATCATGATTTTAGAAGGAAAACATGCAGAATTAGGTCGAGGTATTTTTATATCTGATATGCAGAAAGGTAGTCCTGCTGAAAAGGTATGCTATATTACCTAAACTGTTTATTTTTTTACTATTTATTTTGGAAATAGCAATAAAATTTATTTTGTAGACTTGCAGTTTTTTATTTTGGCATATTTTTTATTGCAGTCTGGGCTTAGTGTTGGTGATATGATATTAGCTGTTAACAAAATGAAACTTATTGGTGCTGATTATGAGTTGGTATGTCTTTTTATTTTAAGTTCATAAAGTAAATTTTTAAATGCTGTATAGTTTAGTTGGAATAAATTTTGAAAACTTATATTCTAAAACAATATTCTTTGTGTTTCGGGCACTGAAATATCGTTATGAAGAACTGTGGAACCCCAGCTGCAAATAGAAGTCCATCCAGCTTCAGATCCATGTGTACCAGCTTGTCTAGGAATTAAAACTGGCCTGGCTGCAATGAGGACCACATTGTCACAATCATGCCATTGGTCATAATATTGTGGACCCCTAACCTCTATTACCCCTATGGCTCATAGCAGGATTTAGCTCGAATACTTTTTATGTATTCGAAAACTAGATACTTTTCTTAATTTAGTGATGTGATGCCACAATATGCATTACATATTTCTTAGCTTTTAAAATTTCTTTAATTTCGTAAACTTATTTTTTTAATTATTCTTAACCAAATTTTAATTAAATTAAACCAATTGTTTAATTTTTGTTAACATTTATAAAAAGGGAATATAAAATATTTTATTCTTTTCTTAATGATCAACGTAACGGCTAACTTAGTATTAATTCACTGTTGCGACCAACTCGAAAACAAAAATCTATTTTGAACTCTTTATACTTTATTTCTTACCACAAAAATGTTTCTGTTACATGGTTATACTAATTCGAAGTCTTTTTGGCAATTTATTTTCACCAAATTATTTTCAAATTTAATATTGGTTATGGGGTGTTGGCTTCATTTTTGGCTATGTTATCTTATGATAAATCACCAACCTTGGATCTCTTCTCATGCTCCTAACTGTCTGTTGGGAACTATTCAATAACTTTTTAATTTGACTTTTGATTAGGCAGGTCATGGGGGATTTATCTCCCATGACCCTTGAGATTAGTCCTTATTAATATTATTATTCAAAATTTATTGTTTAACTTAGAGAGTTTTATTATGGATAAAATATGATTTTGTATCTGGAGCTCTACAAATACTAAATAAAAGTTTTATCATAATTGTGATCCAGTTTTCATCTTCAACTGTCATTTTCGTTATTCTGTTTTCACCACGATGTTCAATTAGTCAATCATACAATTCCAACCGCACCTAATTTTATCATTATATAAAATATACTAGAGAAAACCCTTGAATTATATCTGAAATAGTTTCCTACAAATATTCCTATTTTTTATGTTTAAGCACATTTGCTATCGATCTCACACCAGCCTGTGATATGATAACCAATAAAATAGCATCACACACTGGTGCTAAATTGGCAATAAATGATGCATTAGAAATAGAAAAGTTTCAAATTTGTTGATGACACAAGACAAAATATTTGTCCACAACTTTTCATCATTTGTAGCAAAAATATCATTATCTAATACCTAGATATGATCCATGGTGGCTCAGTGGTTAAGGTAATGAACTGCCATTATGAAGAACTGAGATTTGTTCCCTGATGGCGGCCTGAATCCTAACTATCTTTAGATCAATGGGTGGAAGCTTGTCTGGTAAGTAACAGCGGTTGGTGCACAATGCTTCCAACATTGTCTCCATCATGGTGTTGGTCACGAAATTGTGAACTCTTAATCTCCACGACCACTATGGCCAACAATGATCAGATTTAGGAATGCTTTAATTTAATACCTAAATATTCGAAAATTCTTTAGAACGAAAATTCTCAATAGAATGTGTAAAGGGATTCTAAGTTTAAAATTAGGCTATTTTTTAAAAGTATGAATATTAAGGCCAAGTGCATTAAAATGTGTTTGATCTGTAAAGTTAATTTCTCCGAGGCTTTCTAATAACTTAAAACGTTTCACTTTTAGGCTGCTTCTGTCTTAAAGAATGAAGATGGCCCTATAACTTTTCTAGTTGTTAATTCACAAAAACCTGGTTCTTCCTCCAGCCCAGTGCACAATGATATCAATCACGAAAAGAAACCCAGAAATAGCTTAATACCTCTACCTGAAACAAATGGCCGTCGTAAAAGTAAGTGTTCTTTTGGCTGAGTTATTGCTTTTCTTTATTATTGTAATTTTATCTGAGAGAAAAAAAACTAATACATTCAGACTTGATTTATATTTGTTTAAATGCTAAAGTATGATGATTTCCATTCGTTTTTATTTTAATTCATCATGCATCATCAATTTAATGCATCATCATGTTTTAAAAGTGATTTGTGCTTTATAAAAGCATACATATTCATCCAAATTCAGTGGATTAATGTGATTTGCAGTGTTGTTCACAGTATAAATTTTTTAATGTTAAATTTAAATAGTTAGAGTTTATTAACCCTTACACGATTGGTTAATTTTCAAGAAAACGGTCCTAAAAGTGACTATTTTGCCAAATACACGTATTTGATTAGTGCTGGCATTTAGTTTAAAATAAACTATCTACAATTGCCTTAAAAATATCCTGGTACTGCCATCTGGCGTGTAAAATGTGAAATAAAATGTTTTCTGGAAAAAAGAGATGAATTAGTTTCATTCTTATTGGTGCATTACTACTGAACGCTCCAGCCTGGAAATTTCACGGGAGCGAGAAATGGAGGGCGAAACCTCACCCCGTCATTTTCATGGAAGCAAGAAGGAAGGGGTAACCTTTTGGTACAATCACAAATGGGTGGATCATTTTTACATCCACTAATGTATGCGTGATTAGTTTGTCATGCTGAGAATCGTGAAGACTAAAATGTTATTTTCGACATTCAGAGGGTTGAACATGAATTGCATTGAAGCAGCTACAGTGCTTATTGCCATTTGAACATGCTTTATTTCTTTTTTCTAATTAAAGTTTATAATTTAATATGGTTCTAGTTAACTTTTGTATGCATAAATTTTATTTCTACTGCACAAATATATTTTAATTAAATATTATTACATATAATGAGGGAGATGTTTTTTAACATATATCTTAAGAGTTAAATAACAATGAATAAAAGGTATTTCAAATGCTTGGAAGTTCTTATGTCAAAAGAATTAATCTAATTAGCTATTTTTTGGAGATTAGCATTTGTTATGTGTTTCTACATCTTGAGATTAGATGATGACAATTACTTTAGGTTGGTTAATTACTTTTTAATTTTTGGAACTGTGGGTTTCTAAGTATGTCTGTAAAATATAATGATGATGGAAAATGTTATGTTTTTTAAATTAATTACTTTGTCTTAATAAGCAATTCTACATAAAAAGATGAAAAAAAATTGAAATATATTTCATTGCTATGGAAAATTTAAATAAATGCTTTTGTTATATTTAATTGAATTCTCCATTTATTCAGTATTGAGAAAGAGAGAAACTTAACTTTCCAAATATAGAGCCCCTGTATAAAAGTGTATGGAAATTTCCTGTTACACATTACCCTCCCATTGAATAACATGGGGGAAATCAGTTGTTTGATACCGGAAAGCTTGCAGCTAAAAGTTCGGAAAAAGCTGCGAATAACGCTGACAGTGCTAAAATTGGTTTCTTTCTTTGTGTCTCAATTGTTTGCTTAGTTGCAATATAAAGTTTAATACAAAGTATATGTGAAATTATTTTTGAGTCAGGGCTCAAAAAATCCACAAATTGTATTCCCTAAACTTAAAGCTTTGCGTGACCAAATTTTTTTTCTTTGATTGCATATTGATAAAAATTTGTGACCGTATTTATTATTAATCTGACAAAAGAAAAAACTTTAACAACATTATATTTACATTAACCTTTTTATTTTAAGTATTCGGTATTATTAGCAAAAAATATATTAATTACAAGTAAGTATTGAAAGAGTTACCTGAGTGGATATTTCATTCGCTTTAAAAATAAACAAATAGGAAATAACAGTCAAAATGTTTCAAGCGCTTCAAAAATAAGTGCCGATTTTCAAGACTTGCCAGGCATAAAAGTAAAAAAAAAAGTTTTGAAATAAAAAATGTAAAGTTACCAATGAATATGAAAAAATAGAGAAACAAAACAAGAGAAACCATAGAAGGAGAGAGAGAAAAATCGCAGTGGCCGAGAGATAATGAAAACCTATTTTTGAAGCACTTAAAACATGTCAACTGGTTTTTCATATTTGTTTATTTTTGAAGCCAATGAAGCTTACAATCATTTAATATCTTACTGTTACAGTTTCTTGAGATTATTTATTTAATATTGAAAGAGTTGTTTTGCGTTGCTTATTGGTTTTTTTTATACAAAATAGGCATTGATGAAATAAATACAGAGCATTATTATTAAAAAAATAAGTATGATAAGTGGATAAATGCTTTGTATATGCCTATTTTCTTTTGTGTAATCTACAAAATGTTCAATTTTAGCTAATGGATGAAATTTTGAAGATTCTTCTTTTCAATCGATTTTTATTGTTTTTTTCAGTGGTTAATCTGCATAGAATCGTGATTTTAACTCAAAATGTTGCATTGAATCCTTTCTCATAAGTAGATTCTGATGAAATGTATACATACTTACCAGTCATGTGAATTATACTGGAAAAATAACCACTCACCGTGTGGTAACTTACATAAACAACTGGTCACTTTTTCCTTTCTTTTTTTTTGAAAATTGTTTAATGATAAAGGTACATCAACACAAAAAGATTCTGGAGTACAGAATTTTCATTAAAATGTTAATGTCTCCATTTAAAATTTTGATCCTTCAGAATCTAACTATTTGTGATGGAACGATTCATGTGGACAGTATATTTAACTAAATTTTGACACCGGCTCATTAGGTTTGAGGAAAAAGTGGCTACTAAATTTTAAGAAAAGTTGCCGGCCACTGGTTACCAACTAAAAATTTAAATTTTCAGGTCTAATATGAATGCTTAACTGCTATATAAAGTCTAAATTTTTACCTGTATAGCTATATAATTTTCAAAAACTCTTTTGCAGAAGTGTATATAAAAATATTTTTTTTTAGTATCTAATCTATTTTATCTAGTATTTTTTTTTAGTATCTAAGGCAATTTTGAGTGATTTTTTTGTTCATTAAAATCATTGTTTCTTAGGTTCAACCCCTTCTTCCACCTGTCCATCGCCATCCCCAAACAGTGTATCACCAAATTTGCCTGTTTGTCCTATTCCTCCACCTGCTGAGTTTTCTGATCCGTGTGTTACATTAGATTCTGTTGGAAAAGAGATGGTGATTGATATACACCGTGAAAAAAATGGCCTTGGTTTGGGTATAGTTGGTGGTTCAGACACCCCTTTAGTAAGTGTATAAATGCAGTTTGATGATATATTCTTGAGAATATATTATGTATATAATGCATAGAACACTTAATGTAATTATGTTTCGGAATTCATGGAACCTGTATAAGAATGTGTTATAAAATAATGGAATATGTTATAGAAATAAAGAACATATTACAATGTAGAAAAATTTATTCTAACAAATCATTAGATTGGTTTTTAATGAAAAAATCAAGGTCTTATTGTTTTTGTTTGAAATCAATTCTTTTTTTAAATTTGATTTGAAAATGTTACATTTAGTCTATCTTAATCTGATCCCCTAAAATACTTCTTATACATAAAGATTTATATTATGTAGAGTGCTCTGAAATCCCCATTCTTAATATGTATTGTTAGAATCCTTCTAAAAAAAACAAAAATGCTATCAAAATCTGTTGAAACAATATTGAGTAAGAGGGGACGTAAAACATTGAAATCAATTTGTTTCCTTGAGGGAATTTGGCTTCATCGTATAATTGCCTAATTGCATAATTGGCTTTAACTTTTTTTTCCTTCTGAATAGTGTGATAAGTTTCAATGTTTTGTTCGCCACTTTTACTTTGTTTCCTTTCAATTATAATTAAATATTAGTTTGCTACCATTTATGTTTTTACTTCTTTGACTTCATTTTTCACTGAGGTTTTAAAATTATAGGTTTAGGGCAGTCATTGCAGAACATCCTAAAAATTGAGTTAACATCTAAAATATTTTTAGAATTAGCTTGTACAGTTAGGTAGAGGTAAAAAAGAGGCTGGGTGGCTGAATGGTAGCGCTTCACGCTTCTGTGCCACGGATCTGGTGTTTTATCCTCAGACTGAGCAGAATTGACTCAGCCTTTTATCCCTTCAGTGGGTGGATTAAATGAGTATCAAGCATGTTTGGAGACTAAACACTGGTGGTTCTGTATTTGACTGACCATACACCTAGAACATCCTTTCCTGCACCCCAGAGCCCAAGGGCAACAAAACTGGGTTGGGCACAGAAAACCTTGGCCTTCCATGTGCTTACATGCTACTGAATTTGATTTAGTGGTTAAGAAATTCCATAGACTATTCAGATAATAAAGTCAAATCAAATTTTATATAATTAAGAATAAATTAATTTCTAATGAAACTATGTTTAGTGTCTGTAAGAAATATAAATGAAAGCTTTTTATGAAATGATTGCTTATTTCTAATCACTGTCTTTATTAGTCATATTTTCAATATATTTATTAAATTTTCCGTATTACTTATTAGTTTTTTTTTATTAATAGTGTGAGGTGTGAGTGATCTGTCTACATTATCACAAATATATACATATATATATATATATATATATATTGTTGAAATTCAGTATGCATGATGCTGTTTTTCACCATTTGTTCACTCTTTGTTTAATCTCTTTTTATGTTTTATACACTTTAATCTTGGAATTTTCATTTACTTTCTAAGGTGTTTACTAGTTTGTTAAAGTTTTTTAAACGCATGAATTTGTAAGCTGGATTTGTATAAAATGTTTAGAAATAGTTCCTTATTTTTCTGTTTTCTAAATAGGGTTGTGTAATAGTTCATGAAATTTATGCTAATGGCGCTGCTGCTCTAGATGGAAGGCTAAAACCTGGTGATCAGATCCTTGAGGTAATGCTTTCTACTTATTAATAATACTGTGGAATAATAGATTCATTTTTAAAGCAGTTTTTTTTTTTGAAGTTCTATATTGTTATGGAGAAGGTTATAGTGAATTAGTCTGAGTTAATTAAAAAGCTTTGCTAATAGAATGTAATGTATATGGTTGTTATGGAGAAGGTTATAGTGAATTAGTCTGAGTTAATTAAAAAGCTTTGCTTAATGTGATGTAATTGGCTTATTTTAATTTAATAACCAATTTAATTAGCTTAGACTTTTTATTTTTATAACCAATATAATTGGCTTATGTTTTTCATAAATGTTTACTGTGCGTTATGTTAAAATGTGATTCATTTTTATGATAGTGTCATACTTTGAATTTGAATCTATTTATTTGAAAAAATTTTTTGTCATTTTCTTGGTTTAAATTTTTTTTTTCTCAAGTGCTTTTAATTTCATAGATTTTTGTGTCACAATTTGTCTACTTAAATTTTTATTACTAATTTGAATGAAAGTTTGATTAATCTAATTATCTTTCTTTTTTGGCTAAAATTATAGCTTCCAAAAACCAGCATTACATTTTCTAAGAAATGCCATACTTATTGAATGGACAATTGCATTTACCTGCTGTTGTAACTCAATTAATAGGCCAAACATTTATAACTGCCTTTTTTAATATTTTTAAAAAAACTATTTATGAAAAGTAAAATTATTTTTATTAATAATACAATAAATTGTTTTAGCATATATTCAACTTTATTTGTATCTTAAAATAATTTTTCAATGTACAAGTAAAGTTTAATGTGTGCTAAAATGATTCATTGTTCATTGCATAGCTAAGAATTTTTATGAACAGGAATTCAAACTTTTTATTTTATTCACAATATGAATTTCTATAAAAAATAAATTTTTTCTTTCTTTGTCTTTATTTTTACTTTCTCATTATACGCAGTAAAATATTGTTTTAATTTTGTCACCTATTTAGTGCAGTGCAGTTCTGTGTAAGTATTCAGTACAATGTTAATTTAACAAATAATTTATTTTTTTTATTCTTTAAATAAAATAAGACTTGTAATATGTCCTTTGACGAAATATTAAAGCCGAGTGTATTTAGTACGGTTTTATTGTATTTATTGTACATTTAGTACAAATACATATTATTATTGTACTAAATAATAGAATATTGAAATAGTATTGTCTTACATTTTAGATTAGTAAACATGATGTTAGAGGAGCTACTCATGTAGAAGCCATTAATTTACTCAGGCATTCCATACCAGTTGTAGAATTACGCATTTATAGGCATAAAGAGACTAGTGAAGTTTCATCTTTGGCCGAGTTTACTGTTGAATTTTTCAAGAAACCAGGTCGTGGTCTGGGATTAAGTATTGTTGGAAAACATAATGCTCCAGGAGTTTACATTTCAGAAGTGGTCAGTAACATTTTTTATGTCTTAAATAAAGTTCAAATTTTTAAAATTTCTGTTATTCATGCACTGGGAATGATATTTTTTTATATTGTGATGAATTTCGAATGTTGTAAATTTCCAAGCAAAAAATGTTTTTGTTTTTGAAATTATTATCTAAAAAGCAAAAACCAGTATTTACAGAGCAGAGAATTTATTTTAAAATGAGTTTTTTTTGTTAAATCAGTGTAATTTTTTACAATTTTACTTCCGTAATGCTCTTTTCTTTTACCTCTTGATCCAAAAGTTGGTCATTCTTAGAGAAAAGTTTTCATACATAATTGGTCTCACTGTGAGGCGGTTGCAATGTTACAACTCAACATGACTTTCTGGCTGGACATCTTTTTCAAAATTGGTGTCTTTTCTGTGTCTAAAACTGGTGTCATACTGCTGTACACTTTGCAGGAAACACATCATTGTGGATGGTCATTAATTTTTCTTGGAAATTTTTCTTTTAGAAATGAAATAATAGTTTCAAAATCAATAGAAATTTTCAGTTTTATGGATATAAAATCTAACAAAATTAAAATTTTTTCCATTGAATTAAGCCCAACCTTATTTTATTAAATAGTTTTTATCAGGTTCAATGTCTCGAACTTGATTAAATATTAAAAACAAATTATAATATTTATTTTTTGTGTCTTTACCCAAAGAAGAATGACTCATTAGTTTTCTTTAGCAGCATGAAATTTATATTAAAAAATTATTGAAGTGAAATTCATAAGAAAACTTGAATGTCTTTTTAATTATTTTATTTATTGAATGAAATAAAAAGTGTTAAATATTGTAAATGATGGAATCAGCTGTGAAATTAATTATATTAATTTTTACTTTAATTTTGTTTAGAAAAATATGAAGTTTGGAACTATTTGGTTGAATCTTATAATTTAATCTTTGTTTAATGCTTATTTTTTACTTTCAAACTGTGATCACTATTTACCAATATTAACCTATTAAATTTTTAACTTTGATCATGGAAGAGAAAATACAATTCTTCTCGGATAACTTGAATTTTCTTTTTTTTAATTATTATTAATTTGTTAATAATGTATCTTTTAAATAGTATTTTTTAATCATTGCTTGTGCTAAAATGTTAATTTTAGATTAAAGGTGGCGTTGCTGATGTAGATGGGAGTCTAATGATAGGGGACCAAATTTTAGAAGTAAATGGGCAAAACTTAAAGGAAGCTGATCAAGAAATTGCTGCTATTTTATTAAAGGTAAGCTTAAATTAAATACATCCTTTTTATCCTTTAGGCATTGTTGATTAATTAATATATTTCACCCTGAGGTGCTTTCTGATAAATTATTTTTATAAATTGCTTACTCGTTCTTATTGACCAAAAAGCAGTTTTTTAAAATTTAGTTAATTAACTCAATTTTATTAATAAACTGTAAACATAAAGGCTTTAGATTGTATGAATAAAATAAGGTGTAATGATGTTCATTTTTCACTTTACTGTATTGATACCAAATATAAATATAAATGTCATCAAATTATCTTTTTTGTATATTTCTCCCTTAAATAGTAACAAAAAAAAACACATTTTTTGTTTCTCTTTTAATGAAAATAGACTAACTACTTTTAATTTGTTGTAAACAGGCAATTTTTTAACTTTAATATTTTGACAGTGACTTTGAGGCTTGTCATAGCAGGCTTCCCTTAACATGCTGCACTTTTCCCATAAGGCATTTACTTTATCCAAAATTTAAATTAATATTGTACACAAATACAATTATATCTGCTTATTAATTAAAAAAAATGATAATAAGATTTAGAATAAACTGTTTTTCTTTAAGCAAGTATACTGAAAATTAGTTTATTTGTTATATAGGAAAAGAATTATTTTTTCCTTATTTTACTGGAAATTTTTTTAATCATTAAAGTTCTGTAGTATTTTTTTCTTTTTTTGCTTAGCTTTCTGTGAGTATATTTTTATATTGCTGTCATGTGATGTATCCAATTGCCTTAATGTTTATCTTGAACAGCTTTGTGATATTACTAACAAAAGCAATTCCTTATAATTATTTCTATATTTTTATTGTAAAGCATAATCTCTATGATTTAAAGTTTCTCTTCCCCCCATCCTAAATTTATTTCAAACCTTACATTTTAATTTTTCAGACTTGTGTAGGAAATATTAATATGAAAATCGGGAGACTAAAATGTGAAATAAATCTTCCACCTAGAAGATCGATGCACTAAAAAAATGCTTCTTATAAGTAAGTGATTGATACTCATTGATTGTTTGTTTAAATTTTATTATTTTTTATTCTTCAGTATAGCTTAGAAAATTCGAAGTTACCAAATTAGAAATTCTAACCAAATAAGAAATTCTAAATAAACCAAATTAGAAATTCTAAATATCTAAAAATTTAGATAATACATGTTCTCTCAAACAATCAAAATAGTAAGAGATTACTTCTTTTACCAAGGATGTAGCCAATAAACTTCGTCTAAGTGCCCAGTAGCAGAATTTTTGTGATCAGTCAGCAGCAAAATCATTATAAATTCAAAATTGTGTGAGATTTTAGCACTGTCAGACCAAGACTAAATTCTAAATATTAGGCTTAGTGTAGCATGTGTATAGAAAAATTAACACATAAATAAAAAAATAGTAAAAGCTTTCAACAATATTATAAATAATAAAAAATTTAAAATTAAATTTATTATTCTAATTAATTATTATTCTATTAAATTTATTATTCTAATTAATTATTATTCTAATAAATTTATTATTCTAATTAATTATTATTCTATTAAATTTATTATTCTATTAAATTTATTTTTCTAATTAATTATTATTCTATTAAATTTATTATTTTAAAATTTATTATTCTAATTAAAAAATTTTGTGCACACTTAAAAACAAATGGAATAATTTAAGATTAAAAATGTTTTAAGTTCTTATGCAAACAACTACAAATATCAATTAGAGCTTTTGAAAATTAAGAATTTATATTTTTAATTTTTCTTGTTTTTTAATTTTCAAAATTTCATTAATTTAAAGTAACTTTGTTCCTTTTTTTTCTTTTAAATTTGAGATTAAAATTTATCTACTGATGCTGAGATGATTATTTAAAAAAAAAAAATTGATTTGAAAAGCAGTTTGAAGCTGTGCTGGAAAATTGCTACTACTGAGAGTACTACTGCATTTTTTTTCTTAAAATTATACTTTTTTAACCTCTTAACTAATTATCACTTTAAAAAAAGGCAAATGGTTTTTATTACTTCATTGGTTTACTGGATTTTTATTACTTCATACTTACTAGGTTTGAGCCAGCATTTGACTCAAAAATTCTGATTTCTTTTTAATTTAAATTCTTTTCTTCTGATTCTTTTTTTCCCTACTTCTTTAATATTTCTTACCTTTTCAGCTAATTTTAATGACTTATAAGGAGCTTAAACATTTGAAAATACCAGTTAGAGCATATAAACAATACTTAATACACAAAAAAATAATAAAAAATGTTGCAAAATTAATGCTACATTAAATAATTTACAAGAAATGCCACGACTCTAAGACCTAAAGAATGACTACACTTTTGGAGAAAAGTTTCTTTTCAAACTGCCATGAAATTGAGTCTCCTTTGAAAGTGATTTCACAAAAGTGACAGGCTTTAGATGAGAAATGCTTTATAACTCTTTAGGACCTTATGCAATTTGAAAGTACTTTATTTTATGTAGCTCAAAATGTAAAAAGTTCTAAACATTATTATAAAAAATTAAAGGTAATTCATGCACACTTGAATATATTATTTATTTTAAGATCTTATATTATGTGTTATGTAGCAGCTGGGTATTTTTAATGTTAAAATAGTAGCTATGTGAAGAAATCAGTTAAAACTTGTTTAAAATTAATTTAGTACCTAACCTGCACAATCATGCAAGCTCAGTATTAAAGAGATAAGGAAGAAAATCTCGTTTGGTTTTCATTAAAAAGACGTTTTTAGGAACAGTTTTTGCAAAAGCGCCATGACCAGAAATTTAGCATTTCAAAACTAAATGACCAAAAATGGAACAAAAGCATTATAAATCAAATATGTTCTGTTCCGTCATAGCCTATGAAGAAGAATAGCCAGTGCTTCTTTAAACTGTAACTGCTTAACATAAATTTCTTTGGAAAGTTGGATTATTTTTGTTTATTTTCTAAAGGAGATTGAAACACTGAATCAGTTGATGGTAATTGTGCAAATAATTTGAATTATCCAAAGTTAAATTTAATTTATCACCATTGTTTTAATATTATTTTTATGCAGAATTCTGCATACTGAGAAAAATTCTAATTATATAAAATTATTAATTAATTAAGTTCAATTTATGAACTACTGGTACACTATACTATAGTATTATAATACATTATAATATAATGTACACTATATGTAATGTAAATATCTTTTATGCTTGATATTTTACTCTAAGAACACTATTTTCTTATAAACTCTTATTTTCTAACAGTTTTCTGAAATATATTATTAGTTTTTCTAATTTTTGATAATTTAAAACTCTTATATTGTTAATAATTAGCAAATTATTTATTTTGATTTGTGTTCTCGTTGAAAGATTAAGTAATCTTACAGTTTTTTTTGTATTATAAATTTTAAAATATCAAACATATATCCAGAGTTAAATAAAACGCAATTTAAATAAAACTACTGTAATGCTATTGTATTGTCGTTTATATCAAATATGTATATTAATTTCTATTTTTCTTGAAAAATATTTTCAGATGTATAGCACCCAAGTACCTTATATTGATATCCTGTGACTATGCAACTTTTCATCCCTATGCAGATAAAGAAAAATGATTTTTAGACATTTTAAAAAAATATACTGCTTTATAATTTTCACAACTTTTTCCAGTTTCAAATTGTAATGAAAATTTCCAGTTTTATAGAACAATAGATTGTATGAATCTTAATCTCGAATTTGTTAATTTTATCTTCTTACAGATGAAAATAGTACTGAATCCTACTACTTGATATTCAAGTACTTTTAATGAATAATCTAGTTTATCAATTAATGTTGCAATGATGAAGTTTTGAGATATTTATATACTGTTTTGTTATTTTCAAGTTATTTGTAGTCTTGAATTATTGAGTATTTGTTTATATATATTGCTAGTTCATTTTTACATTAATGTGAACTCTCTATATTATCATCTCTACTTTTTGATAGTTGTATTTAAACATCAATGATAAACCCTTGATAGAAGGCAGATTTTTTATTTAAAATTAAATAAATAAATATGGCAAAATAAAGAAGATTTTATTTGAAACAATGTTAAACAAGGCAACTATATTAGAAGATAATTAGTTTATAAAACTTGTTGTTCCAAAGAACATATGAATGTGATTTGAATAATTTTTAGATTAGAATATTTGTTTTTACTTTTTAGGTAAAAAAATATTTTTAAAAAGTTTTGAATTTATTGACTATTTGGTTTTTTGAATAGCATTTGATTTTATTCAGTAATTTTCCACAGACAGTGGTTGAATGCATTTAGATGGTTTTCTCCAGCATTTAAACTGTTTTGTGTGATAAATATTTATTGTTAAATTTGAGTCGTATAGTCTTTTATTTTATTTTTAAATCATATGCATTAGCACTAAGAAAAGTCTGACCTATATGATCTTTTAAATAAATATCTAAGCTTCGGAAATTTTCCCTAAAAGTTGTTGGTGAATACAATGTTTATTATGAATTTGTTCTATGTCTTTTAATTTTGTGTTTAGGTTATATGACTGACTTTCTTTAATGCAAACTTTTTTGTCTCATAAAAAATATAATTATAATATAAATTTTTAAAAACTTTCAATTCTATGCAATTTTTAGTCAAATAAATGTAATCCGCTTTCTCCAAAGAAAGAGCATTATAAATGAGAAATTACCTGCTTCTATCAATGATGATTGATATTGTTTTCATGAATTCATTATAATTGCTAATATTTATAATAAATATTAACAAATATTTGTAAAGAATTAGTTGCACGTCTTTTTATTTTTGTTGACTGATTTGCTTTTATGCAGACTTGATTAGTTTGTCACATAAATAATGTATGTATAATAATAAATTTTAGCCAATGTCAGTTCTATGCAATTTTTAAAAATCAGAAATGAATGCTTGCTTAAAAAAAAGAGCATTATGAAGTGCAAGAGCATTAAAAGTTAATTCGGTCAATAATTTTTTTATATTTTGATGTACTGACTTAAAAAAGGGATGCAAACTGTTTTTTAATTTTAGTTATTTCAATGATAAATATTGAGAAAATGATTTTCTGTTACTCATTCAGAGTTTTGTCAATTTTTCATGTCAGAGTGCCAGCAATCCATTTTTCTGACATTATCAAAGAGTGGTATTTTTTCCTCATTCAATGGTTAAATTATTTAGTGTGATCAGAAACATTGTAATTTTGGATTTTTAAATGCTACTGTGGTTCTTGAATATTATGAATTACATCATAAAATTTAGTCTTTCTTATTCATTTCAATTTGTTGTTTATAAAATTTAGAGTGTCTTAATCTTCCATTTTTTCATATCTTATGAAATAGTTCTTGCTACTTTTTATTCCTTGTAGTATTGATCCTTAAGTCCCCTTTTAAATTAATATTTAGAATTGTTTAAAAGTACTTATATTACACTGTACAACATGAAAAATATCTTTTAGATGAAAATATGTATTTCTTGTATATTTTCTGTTAAAAATAACAAATCTGTAAAATAATTATTTTCTTCGTTTACACGCACCATTTTCTCTAAAAACCTTATTTTAGCTTTGCGACTTAACATAGTTTAATAACACATAATAAAAATTTTTGGGCAAAGGAAATGCTCTCATTGACTCTGAGACCGTCGCCAACATTTTTGATCTCAGAAGCCTCATCTACCTTTCTGAAATTTCAAGGATATGGATTAAAAGTCGAGACAGTAAGGTGATGGGCCTTTTTGGTTTTAAAATATGAATCAAGCGCTTTCTGTTATAAAGAATCACCAAGTTTCAGCTAATGGACAGTAAAAATGTTTAAATTTGTTGTACAGTGTTATTATTATTTAGTTTTCCTATAATAAATATTTTTAGAATGCTTTAACATGGATTATGCTTATAGAAAAGGTGCTTATACACAATGTTTATGTCAATGTTATCTAGTTGAAAGAAGTAGTGTAAATATACTAATTCAGAATAGAACTATATAACAATGTGCACTCTTATAACAGAGCATGTTTTTAAAGTAATATAATTTTTTTTCCATTATTTATTCAATAGAATAGAGTCTGTAAAACACTGTGATTTGTAAAACCTATAAAGCAAAATTTCAATTGCTCAAATTAAATATTTTCCAGGGAGTTTATAAACACAACTTAAAAGTCATGAAAATGTATATATTTGAGCTTGTGATTAATGATTTCTTTTCTTAAATTTTTTTTTAAAATTCAACTAAAAATATACTAATGTTTCACATTTATTTTTCTTCACATATTTTGCATTTCTGAATGCATATGTTGTAATTTTAATGACAAAAATGCAAAATATTTTTCCTATCAATGTATTAAATTTCCATTATACTTTTTAAAAGGACACTAATCAATGTGAAAAATTTTAAAAAAAATTACAATTTTGCTTAAACACTGCCTAGTTCTCTGATAAGAACTTAATTATTTTCTTAGAACAATTGAAATACCAGTATTAAGTATATTTTCACTGGTTTTTTAGTGTTGTTTAAAATTGTTGTCAGTATTAGTAAAGCATAATTGAATTCATTCCGCCCACATTGAATCTAATACTATGCAATCTACCATTGAATTAGACCATCATTCACTTAAATATGTTATTCTAAATGTTAAGATATTATGTAGATGGGCAGTAATATTGCCAAACATATGAAACACACACACACTTTTTTCATTAAAACATTTGATTTTACTTGGCGTTTTCCCCCCCCCCCCCATTTATTAAGAACTATTTGCTCTTTCTTTATTCTAAAATAATTTTTTATCTTTGATTATTATCAAAACGTCTTCAGGTGAAATTTTTCTGTATAAAATAAGGGAAATACTTTATTAACTTAAGATCTAATGATCGGATTTTCACATACTAGTGCTTGATCTTTGTAGTTCTGGAGCTTAATCTTAATTTCTGTTAATTAATTAGTACCGATGATATTTTAAGATAAGAAATCAGATACAAAAATGTACTTTCTCTGATTTAATATCCATTTATTCAACAGATTTGGATTCTAAACCTTTAAAATAGGGGGTGTTACGAATCTAGAAAATATGGTCCCAGTTATTTAGGCAAGAAAATTAGCTCCCATTATGTTAATTTCACTCTTTTCTCTAATATCGAATTTTTGAATTTTTCGTATTTTGAATTTTTATTTCTTATTTATACTTATTTCCTTCAAATTGTGATTTCTGTGATTTAAAATTATGTTCATTAAATTGATGTAAAAACTTGTATACAATACAATTAAGAATTTTTGGTAAAATAATAAAGAATACTAAATAGTAATGTAATAATAAGTAATTATAATATAAAATAATTACTAATTATAATTTTTTTTATTTGGATTTATTTTAGAATAAATGACTATTATAATTGTGTGCAAAACTTTTCGATTCAAAGTTCCCGAGATCTGACAAAATGTGCAAAAAGTTAAACTAACATAAAGGGTACAAACTTTCAACGACTCTCCTGCCTAAACAATCAGGACCATAGTTTTGAGATTGCAGCTACCACATGCTTTGAGGGTCAAGAATCTAAATCCATGTAAGAAAAAAGTATACTTATTTAGAGAAAATGTGTTTTTGTCTCTGATTTTGTAGTTTAATATATTCTCTGTACAAATTTATTTGCTTATTGAAGACTAGGCCCTCAAACAATTATGTTCAAGTCCTAACGTGTGAAAATTGTGTTATTAGTTTTAAAAAGTTCGCTTGCCTGTTTTGTGTACTGTACATTGGCATATAAAACTTTTGTCAAGTACTTCCCTTGCTAGTTAAAAAGATTTCTAATTTACAATTTAAGAATATTATAAAACATTTACTTTTTTCAGACATTTGATTAGATTTACTGCATATGGGATGGCAAAAGTATATATACATAAAAAATAAATAAATAGAAGAAACTATATTTTAACCCATTAATATATATATTTAAATGACTCTGTTAACTGTCATATTTGTCATTAAATAAATAGACTAAGGATATGTATGTGAGTGTACTTCATTAAATTACTGTACCTTTAATTTGTAAAATCAAGGCAAGTTTGTTTTTGTGATAAAGAAAAATCATGTTTTTAGTGTATAGTAATAGGCAAAAGTTTATGTATGTGCCAAATCCTTATAAATTCAAAATTTTATTTACATAATCAATTAGAATTTTTAATATGCTTATTTCATGTTTCAGTAATTTCTGTGTCCTAAATATGATGCAAATATAAAAACTAACTCATTGTGTACTGTTTTATAAACAATCATGAAAAAAAGATGTATGAATATTTCATTGTTAGTTTAGGGCAAACCTTTTTTTATTTATTTGCATAATAAGTTCATCTGATAAAAAATAAGTCACCCCTAGTGAAATCATTAAAAGCATAATTTAATACTCTGTAACTCTGGTTCTGGACTTGATGAGCGCCTAGATTTTATTAGGATGTGAATCCACCAGTACTGCTGATACGATCTAAACCACTTGGTAAAGGTTTGGTCTTGCAAATTTAGGCTTTTGTAAAGATGTTAATTTTGGCGTATTAACCATTGTTCTAATATGTCTCACAGATTTTTGATGAGATTCAAGTCAGGTGCTTTTTCAGGCTGGTTGAGATGGATGTGTGGACCAGAATAATGAATTTTGCTACTGTCATCTTAAAAAATCGATATAGAGCAAACTCGTCTTGAAGTTGTTGACTCAAAGTAACCCACTTAATAACTCAGAATGTTAAAATGAAAATACTTTAAATGTTAAATATTTGTGTATCATTAAAATTTAACCCAAAGTGGCGCTATAAGTACACTAACGGTGTAAATGAAGGGAGCGGTCGTTTAAACCTACTTAATGAACTTTTTTGATTTTGATCCTGAATTATTTTTTTTTCTGTAGTTTTAAGTTGTAACTAATAATACGAGAAATCATCAATTGCTGCATATTGTTGAAATTTTGTTCATAAATGTGATTTTGACAATGTCAAAATTATTTCTACTCCAATCACACCAGCCTATCTTGTTTTATTCATATGAATGCTGATTCCCTTGTTAACGACACTTGTTCCTCACCACCTCTACATAGCGTGTGAAAATGCATTTTACCCTCACTTACCTCTCTTGGCTACTGTGGATTTTCTTGTTTTGATTCTTATATTTATTTTCCAATTTTTTCATTAACAACTTTAAGTTTTATATTTCAAATCCCTTTTGTTTCTTCTAATTTACGCCTGGTAAGTCTTGAAAATGGATGCCTGTTTTTGAACGTTTGAAACATGTCGATTTTTCAATTTGTATTTTTTATTTATTATTTTTTTGTAGCAAATGAAATTTTTAATCTTGTAATAGAGTTTTGTTCATGTTGATGTGAAGTTAATGGGTCTTATCTTTAATAAGAAAATCTCATAACATCACAACTTGAGTTACAAAAAACAACGCATTTCATTGTTTCTCTGGGGTGATTAATTTTTTGTCTTATGTGCTTAGTTACCTTATTGTAAGATTTTTTTTAGTTGAAATCAAACTGAAATTTATGTGCCAAGTACTTTATATAAAATTCATTGGATTTAAATAATAGGCGATCATTTCTTCATTTTAATATAAAGGTATTCTTCCATTTTAAGCTGATGCTACTTTTTTAATCTAATGGGACTAAGAAGAGGGGTATATAAATAATTTGTTTGAGCGGTATATAAATGTTATTTATTTTATTTTAAAATCTTTGGCCTATTTCTTATATTTTAAATCTAAGTATCAAATTTAAAAAGTTAACTGGTAGAAATGAAGTAACACACTGTAAAGTTGTTACTAAAATCTGCTAAAAAATAATGCAAATGTTTTTTTTTTTTTTTTTTTTTTTTTGAGTTGTAAAATATAAAAAGAAATTAACTATTAAAATAATAGTTTATTGTATTATTTAGACAAACTTTGAAACCTAGAATATTCATGCAGAATGAATCCTTATAAGTTATATTGAATTTTAATTAAATGATTATAATAAACTAATGATTATAATGAACTAATGATTTAATATTAATAATTAGTCTTTTTTAAGGTGGTGGTACCGTAGGTTTTTTTTTGTTTTGTTCTTCTATTTCATTAAATAAATGAGAAAAATGTTTCGATTTACACTATTATTCCAGAAATGTAATGAAAAAATGCAACATGTTAATACAGTAAGAAACCCTAACTTTTGAAATCTCTCTTGGCTAAGCTATTGGGTCACAAAAGTTATATTTATTCAGACACGCTACATTTTTTTTGTTGTCTCATTTCATACCTTGCGTCCACATTGTGTGAAAATCTGATTACCTAGTCAAAAGTTATGTAGGGTGATTCTGAGTGTAAAAGAAAAAACGTTATTCATTGAATTTTTTATTGTTGAATGATTCATATGATTTACTAAATTTAGTACTTTTTTTCTTCTATTTCACAACAAAATTAGCAAAACAAAAATGGCAAAATTCTTCAAAAATGTACTACCATCTTAAATAGATGTGGCAAAATAATTTTTTTTTCTAATGAACTGAAATGAAAAATTGTTTTTACCTAATAATTAGCCTAATTTACATAAAAATGGCATTTAACAGAAATTAGTGTCTACTATAAATATAAGAAGTGTAAGTATTTGATGAAATTAAAATTAATCGGGAAGTATTACCTAAATGTTTCTAAATGTAATACTCTTTTAGGGATAATAATGAAACCGTATCATAGTTATCCGTGTTATAAACATAATTGTTTATTATTTATTTATGTTTATTATTGTTGTCTTTAAATTATAAGCATTTATATATCATTTGCATTAATACATTCATTTGTAAAAATTAGTTTGTATGTGTTTATTTTTGTATTCACAAATATGCATTAAAATATTTGTATCATATATATATGTAATTTTTCTAAAAAAATTAACTGCAATGGTAATTATTAATCAAGTTCTATCTTGCTTTCAAATAATTGTAATTAAAAGAATGTAGTTATCATGCTTTTATTGTTAGTTGTTGTTTGTTTCTTTACTTGAGTTTGAGAATGTTTTCATAGCTTGTATATAAGCCAAGTTGTTTACATTCTTATCATTGACATAAGTATAAACATATTTCTGTAATGAGCGCCAAATAAATTTAAGTGTACTTTATTAATTTTAGACCTTTACTATGCATGGTGTTTCAATATTGTTACAAAGTATATGCTTGATATTAGAGAGTACATTGAACTGTTATTTAAAAAAAAAAATATTAATGTTGATTCTTAATTTAAGAATAATTTTACTTGTTAGGCTTTTGGCTCCAAAAATATTTCAAAGTTTTAAAAAATTTTGCTAAAAAGATTTATGGAATTAAGTACACTTTTGAAATGGAAATAAAATTTTAATACCCACTTTAAAATGTTAAGAAATGAAAACCATTTGTATATTTTTGGAGTCCTAGGCTGATATGGCTCTGTATATAAGCTGTTAATGGCTGTATGTATATAGATCTTTCAATGCCTTCTTTAAATCTGGTTTAAGTTTTTAAGTAGTTTCAGTTCATAACTATGCAATGTAAATGAGATCTTTCCCTCCCTCCTCTTCTTTATATCTAGTGATGCCTATTAAAATATAGGTTCTTCACATTCTGGCATCACTAGTTTCATCTGTAGAAATGCATTCGTGTGATGATATGTGTGCAAAATGCATCTGATGCGATGTAATCATGAAGCTGAAAAGTGTTTTATCATTTGTTTAATAAATAATGATTTTTAAAATTACACTGAATCTTTTGTTTATTATTATTTACTAATTGAAAAGGTTGTTGTTTCTAATGTGACTTGCTAATATCAGTAAATCTGCTTGATGAAACCAAGCAGGCTTATATTAAAAGTCGAGCGAATATTTAAAGCCGAGGGTGTGTCTTTGTTTTTCAGTAGCACCATCTATGGCCAAGAATACGACTTCAGCCACACACACCTCACAATCTGTTTTATAGGGCGGGCCCATTCATTTATTCTCAGATTGTATTTTTGACCTGAGCCAGAGACCGATAAATCTCCAATTTAGTACCCCAAGGGGTTTAATTTGTTATGGGAACTTGGAGGACTTTGAGACCCGACAGATTGACATGCACCAGTCACCATTTCCTACGCGACGAGCTCTTGGACATGGGCCCAACGCCCTACCTCCCAGGCTATTCTGGCCACATTGAAATGCTCTGAAAAGGGTAAAATAAAATTTGTGTATAATATTATAACTGGCTTTGAACAGCCGACCCTTTTTTTGGGTTTACTACGACTGTCACTGTTCAACTCCGTAGCCTTGTAATTTTAAATCCAATTTAGAAGACAAGGAACTTCAGGACCAAATACTTGCCTGCAAACAAACCTTGGTGGAGGACATTTTGATGGAACTAACCTTCATGGACCACCATGGAATATACTCTCCAACTTTTGAAAAAAAATTTCAGCTCTTGTGTAGCAAATAAGTATTTAAAACAGAACTTGAATAAAACTTTTGGGAGAACTTAAAAACATAGCCTTTTGATCTGACCTTTAATATGTCTATATAAATGTTAAAATAATATGTAAGAATTTTAAAATTAAAGTTTCATAACGAAATAATATCATAATATTTCTATGTACTATTTATAATAAGAGTCCTCTTAATATCCGTTGCAGTTAATCTAGCAATTTTAATCATCTAAACTAGCAGTTTACTAAATCCTTTTAACTATAGAGCTATTTGATACAGTTTTGAGCCGCAGTTGATAAACAGTTGAAGAATTTGCGTATCCTCTTTTTCGTTCTTATGCTTATGATTTTAAATAAATGGAACTAAAAAGAAAAAAGTATCGAGTCTCCCACTGTTAACCAACGATTTATAAAAAATTAACGAAAAATAAAAGTAGATGGAAGTTATTGTTTGCTGCGTTCTGTTTAGAAAATCAGATTTTTATTCTCAAGAAGTTTCAAAATTAGTCACAAAGTTTATCAACAGATGGCAATGACACTGTTGCTTGGAAAAACTTGTAAAACATTGTTTCTTGCAGCATTTCAACAGACACTTTTGCATTACTATCTGTTAATTTTATCCTGCTTGTGCAACCTTGCTATTGCAAATTGCTATTGGTTTGGTAATGCTATTGCCTTGCTATTGATTTAATTTAAAGCGTTGTTTTAACCCTTTTTTCAGTCAAACGAGTAATCTGCTGGCGAATTTCGTTGCCAATTTTAAAACTTATGTTTCCAATACAGAAAGCAGCAAAAAAATACATTTCTAATTTAAAAAATTTTTTTTTCGTAATTCTTGGTCATTTTGAAACATTTTGACTAGCACAACACGAGTGCACACACAAAAACTCTTAAGTGTTTTGATTTGGTGTATATCTTTGTCTCTTAAATTTGGCGATCTTTGAAGAAAGGAAAGTGGTTTAACCGGTTCTATTTAGTAACAAGCTTTGCTTTGTGTATTTATGAGGAAGGGAAAATCTCTTCAGCACGCTTCACAACCGGATTTTGAACACATTCAGTGCAAATCTGTGGCTTTTATGAGGAAAATATTTACGTTTTGTCTCGGTTAACAGTTAACTTACTACGTCACAAAATGAAAATTTGCTAGTTGTCCATTTTGAATTGATGCGTTGCTTATATTGTAATGTGTATACTACACCGTTCGATAAATTCAGCAAAGCATAAAGAATTTAATTTTTAATAAAAATTTAGATTTCTGAATAGACAAATGTTAATTCATTGTAAATCATCGAAAAACCATATCACACAAATACCTCTTACAATATATACACAGTTTATAAATATCAAATATTTTTGGTATAAACTACCATGTTACATTTTATTTCATTCATGCCTCAAACTGTTGTTACGCGACTAGTGATTGTGATGTACTGGATGTTGGACGCTGGTGGGGATGGCTCAGAGTCTGTACTGTGACCTGCATGAGATCTGTCTGCCTGTACAACTGGAATTAAAGGCTCCAGTAGAAGTATTGCACCAGGAGTAGATTGTAATGTAAGAGATTCTTCTGAAGTTACTGGTGAAGATTCTAGTGATGATTGTCTGTCAACCACTTGCACGTTCCAGCTACGATTTCTCCATCTTCTCCAAATCATGATATGATATCTAACAAAAAAAAAAAAAATAATATTTATCGTTTTTATTCCGTTAAAAGGAGATTCCCAATAGCAGATGAAATTGTTGTTACAGCGAACTTTTCCAGATAAGCAAATACACATATTTATTTAGTGTTAAAAAATGCAATGAAAAGTTTCAAAAACGTTATCAATAACAAGTTGCCAAAAGTTATGCAAAGTTTTTGCGAGAATTAAGAAAAAATGAAAATGCAATAGCTTTTGACGTCATTGTCAATATGAAATGTTGTTTTTAATAATAAGCTGTTGATAAGGAAAATTAAAGGTCAACAAAAAGCGAATTCTTTTGCAGTGTGAAGCAAAAATCCTGAAAATAGCAAAAAAAAAATTTTGTAAGAAAGAAATAAAGTTTCTCTTTAGTTACCCACGCATGTTTGCTTCAATATGCATAAAAAGATTGTAAGATGGAATGAGGATAAAATTATGTTCGTTTTTTTTCCCCAGTATAAAAATGTCTTCCATTTTGTCCTTATATGCATAACATTGCTCATTTAATTAGCATTAAAGCATATTTACCTCAATTTTTTTTGTCGCAATAGCAAAATGCTAGCAATATTTAACTCGTCATTAACATAGAAATTTTCTAAAGTTAGTTCCGGTTTTAAGAAGCTTTGTTTGCTCTTGGTTATCCGAAATAAATCGAATTGGAGTTCGTATCTTATTTTTTTGATAATTAAAAAAAATTTCTCGTTATTTTATTTCTTCTTAAAACAAGACAGAAAACTAAAAATATAAAATATTTTTTCCATATGAAAAAAAGTTTTTAAAGAAAGAGTTAAAAACATTTTTAATTATTATAGTTTTTACCGTGCGCATAAGACAATCCATGTGAAATAGGCAAAAATTAGGAATATCGCCAGTATCACTAGGGCAACTGTTTCCACTGTTGAGTTTTTCACCTTGAAATAATACACAGCACCTTCAATGCATAACCAAAAAGTGGCAACGCCTAATGGAGTTAGAAATAGGCAGCATGTACAGTCTCCTGCCAAGTTTCTTCTGTCATTCTGAGTATCTTCTTGTTTCCACCATTCCCAGCAACTCTAATAATAAATATTTTCAAATTAAATAACTGGCTGTGTAGCCTTGTCTATAAAGAATCGTCGCATAAGACAATCCATGTGAAATAGGCAAAAATTAGGAATATCGCAATCGACTCCGCTAAGATCCACCGTGTACATGCGATATACGAGCTTGTAAAATCTGTAGAATCGGAAGTCCTGTGATCCGTTGCTGAGCAGCACCATAGGTACATGGATCTCGAGAAAACTTCCTTCCCCTTCAGATCTATGTCTAAATTGGGGAGAGAAAGTGACCTCACGAATAAATGGTGCTGCCATCTATCAATGGAGTTCTGAGCTAATTCGAATTTTCATCATTGTAGTGCTCTCTTTCTAAATGAAAGGCGCACTTTTTTCACGTAATTGGCAAGCGGTCAATGGCTGGAGAGTTTGGCTTGTACAACTGTCATTCAAAATAACAAATTAAATAGCTTCCAAAAACGATGAAATGTGACTCAGTTTTAATTTTTTAAAAATATACTTATAAGCCTTTGGATGAATTGTGAGAGAAAAAAATATAATACTGCATAACTTTAGTACTAATGATCAGATTTTCACGAACAAAGTGCTGATTTTCAAGGTTCAAAAGATTTATCTCAAATATGTTAATTAAATAGTGTCAACTGTTGATTTAGTCACGGAATCAGACACAAAAAAGTTCTTTTTCAGAATAGACATTCTTTTCGACAGATTTAGAGTTTTGACCATTAAAATATGGGAAGGGGTTAACCACAATCAGAAAAATAAGATCACAATAACTTGGGAGAGCGGTCAAAAGTTTGGTCCCCTGAATGTTCGCTTTATTTTTTTTACGTATTTTGCCTAATTTTTAAGCGTATCAAAATGTTTTTGCGTGCAATTATAAAATTTTTTTATCCGAGGAAAATTCCATGTAACGAAAATTTTTTATAATTATTTATTATTATTTTATTTATTATTATAATGGTAGATAAATTTTGAACGATATAATATTCAATGACAAAATCCGAAAAAACAACTGGAATAGTTTTTGGAAAATATAAGTTTAAACCTACAAACTTTTTTGAAATTTCATAACTATCGAACTGTTCGCAAAAATTTCGACGAGGTTTTGATTAGATATTGTTGTTGTCACATTATTTGAAGTGATGTTAACTTTTGTACACTTTATGATTTAAAAATTTTTCCTACATTTTTAAATAAAACAATAAGGAAAAACAAATGATTGTCACGAATTATTTTTTACATGGATAAACAAATTTAATAATTGTGTGCAATAACTTTTCCATTCACTAAAAAATTCCCGAGATGAGGCGAAACAAAAGGAAATCATTATTAAGGTGGTGCCCAATATTTTGACCACTCTCCTGGTCAAACTATTGGGATAATTTTTTTTCTTCAAAATGGCAGATACTGAGATGGAATACTTAGTGACTCAGGGGAAAGAAAGTTTGCCTTCAGATGAGGTGAGCCTGGGTTCGAATTTCAGTGGTGGCTGGTGGGTATGAATTTTGCTCCCGCTCGCACTGACTACAGTGCTGGCTTAAAATATCCTCAGTGGTAGCGGATCATGGATTAGAATCCCCTTGCCGTCGGGCTAACCATGGGATATTTTCGTGGTTTTCCTCTCCATGTAGCACAAAAGCAGATTAGTTCCATCAAAAAACTTGTCTCAATGTTTACTTGATCCAGGAGTTCCCCTGTCTTCTGGGTTGGGTCCAAAATTACAAGGCTATGGAGTTGAGCATTGATAGACGTAAGCTAAAGATTGGGTCAGTTGTTCAACACCGGTAATAAAATAAAATGGCGGTTGCTGGTACCACCCATCCATGTTTTAATGGTCAAGAATCCAATTCCGTCGATAAAAAGGGAAATTTATTCAGTGTAAATACGTTTCTGTGTCTAATTTTGTAAATTAATCAGTAGTTAGCACTGATTAATTAGCACAGTTGAGGTCAACCCTTTGAATCATGAAGATTTTATAACCGTCGTTGAACAGCTGACCCAATTTTTGGGTTTACAGTTCTTGTTTTTCGGGTTACCTGGCTACCAGTGTTCAACTCCGTAGCGTTGTAATTTTGGACCCAACCCAGAAGACAGGGGAACTCCTGGATCAAGTATTGGGAGAAATTTGCCTTCATGGAAGACTTTTTGTTGGAACTAACCCGCATTTACGTTACATGGAGAGGAAGACCCCGAGACCCCCCCACGGTTAGCCTGACGACTAGGGGACCCATGATCTGTTTATCACTGAGGATATTTCACGTCAGCACTGTGGTCGGTGCAAGCCGGATGCGGAATTCATATCGGCCAACCCGGTTCAATTCATTGGAAGGCGAACGCTCTATCCCCTGAGCCATCGCGGCTCTGAACCATTAAGATTGGCCTAGTACGTGAAAATCCGATCACCAGAGCAAAAAATTATTAATTATTTAGACAGAGATTTTTTTAGTTGTTCATTACGCAAGTTTTCTTACCGCCTTCTCCCATAATATTTTGCATACTAATATTAAATGCTGTGAAATAATCTGAAAAATGCTTGAAGTGCTTGTTTTTTTCTTAATAAAAAGAGAATTTTCTTCTCTTCTAAAAGAGTTAGATTTAAACAATTGTTTTCTATACTTTAAAACTAATATATAAAGAAAGATATATTTTCGTTTGTATATAAAGTCTATGAGTTAAAAGGCTGATTTTAGTTTAGTTTTTTTTTTTATTAAAAGTCTTTTTCAGGAAGTAAATATCCATTTTCAGTCTTAAATGGAGTGATATTTCATTTCATATTTTGGATATTACTACGACCTTTTGAATTTCTCTTGTCCGATATTTTTATGCTTGGAATCTGATTCGAGTACGATTATTTAATTCTGATTCATGTTATGGCGTTCAATTGAAATTTTAGAGGGAGAACGACATACAGTTTGACAGGTGACGCATTAGGGAGCGTTGTCGTTGAGAAATACTGTGTTCAACTTTCCTCGTTGATTCTAAAACGCATGTCTCAGTTTTAAACCATATTTCATCGTCCCTATCAGCGTTTATTTCATTTCTACGATGCTTAAAATTGATATATAAACTGTTCTGATCCTATAACGCCATAAAAGATGAATTTTAAGACGTTTTCAGGGTTATGATGGGGAGCTGGTATGACATGGGCATACAAAAACATTTTCAGCGTTTACAAAAATGTAAGGATTGATGATATGATTATGTATAAAGCATTGTAAATTTTCAATTTTTGACATGATATAAACATAATGGGAAATAAGCGGATTTTGTATTTCTAAAAATACAGGAAACCTGCCATTTGGCCGTTGCATATGTACTTTCGAATAAATCTCGAAATAAATATTCTTTGCGAAATGTTATCAATAGATATTCTTCAAAAAATTGAAAAGTTTTATAATATTTAAAGCATTAAAGGGTAACTTTTTGAAAACTTTGATAACAAAGTGTGATAATAAGCTCAATATGTCTATTATTGAAACAAAAGGATTGGAAAAGCTGAAATTTTTATCAATAGTTTTTAGGAAAAAAAAAGAAGTCGAATGAAATTTACCTTTCTTGTTCTTCGAGTAGTAAAATGATGGTGGCAAAGTTCACACGCCTCATAATTCGTTGTTTCAAGCCACCTCTCCAAACAATTTCGATGGACGTATTCTATCGTACCTGATAAAAGAAAAATTCACATTGATCAGAAAATGAGTTAATAATTCATCACATTTTTTGTTTTACTAAAGAAAATCTTTATGTCTACCAAAAACTGACAGTATTGTGCTGTACGGTGGCTGGATTTTGAATCAAGGTAGGTAGGTACTTTATTTACGTCGCTTTAGAGCTTCACAATGGGCTATTGGTGATGGTCTGGGATACATCCCTGAGTATGATCCGAAGACTTGCTCATTTGTGAGGTCTCTTCCTCAATCTAGTCATAAATTTGATGAGGAAGAAAATTTTCTTCAGATCACTGTACTCATGGCAGTGCTTAGCGACCGACCACAGGACATTCGGAAACCACAGGAAAAACCACAGGACCACAGGACACAGGAAAAAACAATGCTAAGTTGTGCGATTTCTAAATTCAGAAGGTGATGGTATCATTCCTTTTAATCACATCAGACAGTGTTGCCCCGTTATCACGAGTCGTTACTCAACGATTACCTCCAATCATTTCATCAACAGCAGAAATGAATTTTCACGAGAATCAGGGTGCTTGTTTGCCTTGGGCTTGGGCAGATTCGATATTGATGTACATCTTTCGCGAAAACTTATGTAAGACAGCTGTGTTCTTTTGAAGTTTTTTTAGAACTTTTGCGAAAAACTTGATTAAGAATTTATGTTTTTGGTATTTATTGAAACAAATTAGCAATTCTTAGGTTAATATAACAGGTTAACATAAGAATAGTGTAAACGACGGCTATAAACAATTATCATGAAGAACAATAGCATTAAGGAAACAAGAAGCTATGCTGGTATGAAAGCGCTAGCAGTTTACCTTACTAGTTTGGCGTCAAATCCAAACCGGGAAAATTTCTTAATACTTGCTATTATAATATCATATTATAATGATGTGCTATTATAATGATGTGCTATTATAATGATTGTGCTATCATAATGATTGTAATGTCATATGTAGTAAATCAGTTTCATTTAGTTCTTTTTTTTTGTTTAAACTATTTAACTGTGTATAAAATAACGAATCCTTCTCTAACTGTGCTGATTTTTTTTTTTTAAATCAATTTTACCTACCTTTACATTTACAAGGTCTCAAGAGTCGTTCTCTACTCGGACCGCTATAACAAATCCTACACATCTGATTATTTTCTAAATTACCAACTTGCAGCACTACATCACTTGGCACTTTATCAGTGGTTAAAGTTTTTGCGCTGTTTCCATCTGAATTTGGGCAAAGAATTTCTTGCATTTTACACTTCGTTTCAAAATTTTGTCTAAATTTTCGACATTTTAAATGGTGTTCCGATGAGTGGAACTGCTTTGCATTTCTTTCTACGTTATGGTTTATATTGAGACTGATATTTGGAATTCGAAGTGTTAATCAATTTTAAAATTCTGCTTAAACTAGCCTTTGAAAATTCAAACTCTATGTGTTCATAATACACATAAAGAGTTAAAAAAATAGCGCACTTCGAAAGAGTTGTTAGAATGAAACAAAATTTTAGTTACGTAAGTACAAAATTGATATAAATAAATGATTAAAAAGTCAAAGAGAAATGATCAGTTATTGCAGGTATTAACCATTTACCAAATTAAAATTTGATTTTAATTCATCGTACTCTTTGTACATTTTTAACACTCTATTATACAGGGTGTTTATAAAGTCCCGGACCCATTCTGATGTTTAATAACTCATAAAATAATAAAGATAGATTAAGATTAATAACATAAATGGTTAGATAGACTCAAAAAGTTTCATAACCCTTGTCAATGAACTTCTAAGTGTGCCCCCTTCGTCGCACGGAAAATATCAAGTCGATAGTCAATTTCAAGGCAAGCAGGTAGCGGCAAGAATGTCGGCATCTACAGAGGCTATTGCGGTTGTAATTCTGGCTTTTTGGTCATCAATGTTCGACACGATCCTCCTGTAAACATTGTCCTTTATAAATCCTCAAAGAAAAATGTCCAGCGGCGTTATATCAGGTGAGCTGGGTGGCCAAGGAATTGGACCTCCTCACCCAATACATCTTCCTGGAAAATGGTCATTCAAAGAGCTACGAACGATGTTACCCCAATGAGGAAGTGCACCATCTTCTTGCAAAAAGACATGAGGCTGAAGCTCTTCTAGTTGTGGAAATACGAAGTTTTCCAACATGTCTAAGTATACGACTGATGAGACCGTCTTTTCTGTAAAAAAGAAAGGCCCAATGACTCGGTCGTGCATCAGTCCACACCACACATTAACCTTTGGGGAATCCCTTTGTGTCTCACGGTATTCATGGGGGTTTTCAGATCCCCATATATGCGCACATTATGGCGATTAACAATGCCAGAAACATGAAAGGATGCTTCGTCGGAGAACATTATGTGCTTCAGAAAATCAGCATCATCTTCTATTCTTCCTACCATATCTGTTGCAAACGCCATCCTTCTAGGCCTATCGTCCGGTTCCAAACCTTGAACAATTTGAACTTTGTATGCATGCAGTCTTAATTGTTTCTTAATAACCTTGTACAACGTCGAAATTGGCATATCCAATTCTCTTGCCGCTGATCGCACAGATCTTCTAGGATTGTCTAAAAATGTCTGTCTGACACGCTCAACGTCAAAATCACTTGTGCTCTCCGAGCGACGAATATTCTCCGTGCGACGAAGTGGGCACACGTGGAAGCTCATTGACAAGGGTCATGAAACTTTTTGAGTCTATCTAACCATTTATGTTATTAATTTTTTTTATCTTTATTATTTTATGAGTTATTAAATATCAAAATGGATCTGGGACTTTATAAACACCCTGTATTTCAGGTTCCGATTTCGTTTATAATTTTTCGCAGAAAAACAAAGTGTAACGTAGTTACTTAAGTTAGTTAGTGTAAAGTTAAATACTCAAAACAGGTGACGAAAGCAGCTATTATTTAATGCAGACAGATTCCATTGAAAACTATTTTTCTATTTTATTTGTGCCATATCAATGTGATGTTTATTTTATTTTACTGGACTTATCAGTGTTTTAAATACTACGAAGTAATTCGAAAAATTACCCTTTTCTTTCATTAAAATTTCCTCAAAAAATGCAATTATTTACTTGTACGCTTTCAGAAAAATTGGTTTCATATTGAAGCATAATATCGGTACCTTATATACCTTAATTTCGTGAATATTTGCTGTAACCTGAAAATATCTTAAATTGAACAATGTTTTACTTTCAGTTGAATCATAGTATCGTTTAATAAAGTTCAAGATAAATTACTATGCATGGTAATATGATTCAACTTAGCACTTTAGCAAGGTTGCAGCAAATGTTTACTGTTTATATTTCAACGCACCCTAGAATTTCTGAACGTATAGTTTTCGAGGAAGTTATAGCCTGATTAGTTATAGCCTACAAAGATATTCTATGTCCAAATCATTTAGAATTATCCAAAAATTGTAGTAATTTTCACACTCTTAACCGAGCAGGTAATAATAATATTGTATACGACATTTTTCATATTTATTAATTTTTTAATGTATATAGCTCGTTAAATTTAAAATTAAGTCTCTTTTACCTTTTGTAGGGCGGAGAAATTGGAACAAAAATTTTTGTCTAGAAAAGCCAGGAAAGTTATGGTCTGACCACAAAGAAATGGCATTCTTCATTTTTATGTTTACAAAATTTTCAGTGGTTAGTTTAAACCTCCGTAGTTTAAGAGATAAAAATTCCTAAAGTTTTAGTGTTTTATATTATTGTCTATAATAAGTGGAACTGTTTTTCCCTCAACGCTTCTAAAAGGGTTAAAGTTTCTATAACCTCAATTTAAAAAAAAATAATAAAAACCGTACATCCCGGTTTTGTTTGTAATACTTTACTATTTCTGTGAATAAAATCAGTGATAAATTGATTCCATTATTCAGCATTTGTTAACGAGTTTCTTTCTTAGCTTTCAAAGAACAATGATACGATAGCACTAAAGAGGAGACAATACAAGCTTTATCTCCTTCAATTCCTTATCTCTGTTAGCTCAAGGTTCATTCTTGGCGCTGCGACAGATAAATCAGGTACTCAGTTGACACCCAGTATCTGGTAGCGATCAGAACCTTCGTGGGTGTTAAATTTCCATAAGGGAACACGCCCCCTTCTTTAAATTTTCAAAAATGACCCAGGTCAACATGGGAACTCCCCCAAAAGCCAAAGAAGAAGCTATTAACAAACTTTTGGAAGAGACCGGCTTCGAAATTACCAACGAAAATGGACAGCGAAAATACTGCCCCAAGGACCCCACCGGTCCCCCACCCGCAAAAGGTAGTGAAGTGTTTGTGGGGAAACTACCTCGAGATGTTTTTGAAGATGAGTTGGTGCCACTGTTTGAAAGAGCCGGACCCATCTATGAAATGAGATTAATGATGGAATATGGGAACAATAATCGTGGTTTCGCTTTCGTAATGTATACTTGTCCTGAGGACGCTAAAAAGGCCATCGATGAGTTAGATAACTATGAAATTCGCAAGAGCAGATTCATCGGAGTTTGTAAGTCTGTCGACAATTGTCGGCTGTTTGTTGGGGGTATTCCCAAAATGAAGACTAAAGAAGAGATTCTCGACGAAATGAAAAAAATTACGGATTCCGTGTCAAAAGTTATCCTGTATAGCAGCATTGCAGATAAAACAAAAAACAGGGGTTTTGCTTTTGTTGAATATGAGAGTCACAAAGCAGCGGCTATGGCAAGAAGAAAACTAATACCCGGTAAAATACCCCTTTGGGGACATGACATAGCTGTGGATTGGGCTGAGCCGGAACCAGAAGTTGATGAAGAGACCATGTCTAAGGTAAAAATACTTCTTTCTTCAAACATCTCAGTCGGGCATTTTTAAAATTGATATATGTCAGTATAATATTATTAACAAATTGGCAATACTAATGTCTCTGCTGAAGTTTCTCTAATTTTTTTCCACTTATATAATAATGCATTTTATACTATGTTCTTGCGTTTGAACAATTATTTGTCTCTTAAAGCTGATGAAATATTTCTGGTAAAAATGAAAACAAAAATTGCTTCTCTTACAAAAGACATAACTGCAAATTCTCTATATTTATATAGTAATTTCTTAATAATATAAAATGCTCATGCATATCTTATTAATCAAATTCCATAAGCTACTTTTTTATAACCGTCGTTGAAAAGTCGACCCAATTTTGGTTTCATGATTGTTGATGTTCAACTCCGTATCCTTGTAATTTTGAACCCAATCCAGAAGACAATGGAACTCCCGAATCAAGTGTTGGGAGAACTTTGCTTTCGTGGAGGAGTTTTTGGTTAAATTAACCCGCATTTGCATTACATGGAGAGAGAAACCACGAAAACCTCCCACGATTAGCATGACGGCAAGGAGACTCTAACCCATGATCCGTTTACCACTGAGGATGCTTTACGTCCATACTGTGGTCGGTGCAAGCCGAATGCAGAATTCGTATCGACCAGCCATTGCTGGAATTCGAACCAGCTTCACCTCATTGGAAGGCGAATGCTCTATCCCCTGAGCCATCACGGCTCTATAAGTTAGTTTAAAATGTTACAAATTATACAACACTTTTAGTGAAGTACAAAGATGTAAAACGCTCTTGAATGTCTTGGCAGTAGTCGCACCACACAATATAAAATGAATTTTATTTATTTATGTAAAAATAGAAATGATTGAAGAAATATAATGGATTTATGTGATGGAAAAGCAATGGAATAGTAAAGATCTTACTTTTGATTGAAAACAAAAAAGAAAAATTTATTCTTGGTCCTTCTCAAATAAATAAATAAATAACCAAAATAAATAAATAAGTAAAATAAATAAATAAAATAAATAAAATAAATAAAATAAATAAAATAAATAAAATAAATAAATAAATAAAATAAATAAGTAAAATAAATAATAAATAAAAAAAATTAAAGTGGGAAAGGTTTCTGGTGTTAAGGCTGTAATGTTCCTTACACCATCTTTTCTTCTAAACTATAATGTGTAGTTACTTCGTAACGACTAACATGCTCTTTGTAATTTGCGATCAGAAATATGATCAGGATAGATATAGGAAAAATTAGTAAGTTTATAGGATTTTGCAAATTATACTACTCTCATACTTGTTTGACTCAAATGTTTAGAAACATAGTGTAGAGCTAAAGTTTTCGTAAAAGTAATTTCGAACTTGAAATAAAATGCTTGTTTAACTTTAAACAAGCAAACAAAAACTTCAAATACAAAAGTTTTAGCAAAAACAAGTATATCAACAAATAGCAGAATTTCACGTATGTGATAATACATAGGAAATCTAAAATAAGTTTATCCCTAGATTTAAAAAAATCTTTCTTTTGTATAATTTTGATCCAACAAATTGTTGTTAATCATTGAAATTTATCTAGACCCAGTTAACTAAATTCCTCCGTTGCTGATTCAATATGCATTACTAATCTTTGCAACGAATGTTTCCTTTATGCTTGTAATACGCAAGATAATCTTTTACTTAAAAAAAATGTTGAACATTTAATTCTTATTATCATATTTTATATAATACATCGCTTACATGCATTTTACGTTCTTATACTGAGAAAAAAGTATAGTGAAAATTGCCAGTATATGGTAAAGTTTACCGTGTTCCTAGCTCTATGGGGAAAGGCTCAGTAATTTTTAACGAAGCGCTTTGATAATGATTTTGGTAAAATTAACCAAATATGGTTTTATAATTTGTGATAAAATTTGGTAATTTTATAATGATGTCTTAGGACTTAGCATAAAAATCATTTATTCGGTTATATTAATTTTTCAGTTTTGTATTTTTGAGTAAATGTGTACTAATAAGAACTATAATTTTGAAAACCAGAATTTCCGGCAAACCATTACCACCTGAACGGAAAAATTACCAAATGAATGGTTTGAATACTGTGTATTTTTATTTTATTACTTTTTTTCCTAAAGAAATGTCATTAATCTTATTTTAGTCCATCAAATATTATACATTTTTATATATCTTTTACCTATATTTTTATATACTAAATCTATAAATACATCTAAGGAAATTTCAGATTATAATGAACTATAATAACTATTATAATGACTTTAACTATTATAATGAGCTTTAAAATAATAATATTTAAAAGAATTTATTTTTACATCAACGATATGATTTTAATAGTCACATTCAGGAAAAAATATTAAAAGAATGTCTTAATATTAGCAAATCTTACGAACATAATACATAAACCAAAACATTGGGATTCAAATTCGTTGAATATTTTTATTATTGAGATCACATTTTGTATAATATTTTTAGGGGAAAAAAACTGCTAGTGAAACTATCGTACTGTATAGTAATGATATTCTTGGTTAAAAAAAAAAAGCATAATTCTGCTTAAAAAACCAAAATATACGAAATTTAAACCATTCATTTGGTAATTTTACCAAAGATCATTACCAATGCTCCTCGGTACCAAGTTTGTGATGTTCCCATAGAGCCAGAAATACGATAAATTTTACAATATTCAGGATATTTTGAACAAACATTTTTTTCTTAGTGTTCGTTGTCCGTTATCTTAATGAATATCATCTTTAAATTGCTGGATAAATGTTTCAAGTTTTTAAATACTTCTTAAATTTTTTGGAATTTAAGTTTTCTTTCTAAGAGTTGTATGTTCTGTCTCTCAACAAATACAATTCTAACAATCAAACTTTCGAGTTTATTTGTAAAAATAAACTCCAATATGATATATTGACATATAAAAAA